TAAAGAGCGAAGGCCGCGGTACGCGGACTTGGGGCTTGAGGCAGCTCTGTCCAGCCCTCCTGAACTGGCCTTGCCGCGGGCTACGTTACATCACCTGCTGGCGGCACGATCGGGTCACGGGGACTTCGAGCAATATCACCGACGTTTCAACCACGACGACGCTCTAATGATGTGCTCTTGTGGAGAGGCGAAAGACGTGGACCACCTGGTCTACTGTCGACTAACGCTGGCGAGGAGGCAACGGTGGCCGACCCTCCACTCTCGCAGTATGCCCGAGCCCATAGGCCCTATGGGATCTCTCGAGGCCTACTTCAAGAGATTAATCACCGACCCACGAGGCTTCGAGGCCTTTCTCCGCGTGACGGACTTCTTCCAGAAGATCTGTCTGCGGTAGCAGCATCCACACCTACGTAGATGTGAGTGCGGACTACAAAGAACCTCCCGATTCCAAGGGACGATTTGGGAAAGAATGAAACTGGGGCACCAGCGGGAACCGGGGACAGACAGAACGCGTAGTGGCCACAAGGCATGATTTGGAGGACGATGTAAAGAGACGACGTACTGTAGAGTAGGTAGCCTTGGCTCACGGCCCTCCACGCCATATACCCTTCGGGAGGTCTGCGGTAAGGGCTCTAGCCCGGCCGCCACGGCGTTAAATACAACAACAACAACAACAATATGACCACGCTATACGAGGCGATGCAAACGAGTTTGTGGAAAAAGGATATTTGGCGGCTTGAAAAAAAGCATGAGGGGGAAAGAATTGAAACTGACGACTTAAAGAATGCTGGTCAACTGAGTGTCGAAAGACATGTCAAGGCCGAGGCTAGTTTTCTCGAGCATCTCGCTTTCGCTGGGTTAGTTGCCGACAAATTGGAATTCGAGTCGGAGTACCGAGACATGATCAACGAATATGCGACCAGTAGCAGCTCAGATCTTATGCTGGATAAAACGCTGCCTTGCCTCTCATTTCTACGAAGCTCAGACCCATCGGTCGAGCCTATTCACCAGAGCTATCATTTTATCCACTTGACATTTCAGGAATATTTTGCCGCACGCCACTTCGTGCAACACTGGAATCACCACCAACCTTTCAAGCAGCACCTACCTGGTCAACGGAGTGGTGGGGATATAACTCCTGTCGAGTTTTTCAAGAGACATAAATACGATACACAGTACGACGTTATGTGGCGTTTTGTGGCTGGGCTGCTGGACAAAGAGAAGAACGCGAGTAATTTCTTTGAAGAAATTGAGAAAGAGCCGATCGACCTCCTGGGACCTACCCACCAACGGTTAGTCATGCACTGCTTAAACGAAGCATTTGAATTACCAACTGGGCTTCGGGATCAGAGGGAGGGAAGACTGCTACAATGGGTATTATTTGAGAGGGACTTTGCAGGATCATCAACATTCATAAGAGAACCAGAGATTCCAGAACCAGTATTGAATAGCGCCTTGAATGCTTCTGGAGGCAAAACCAGCTTCCTGGACGCTTTGAACTATTCTCAGAGGCACCTATCAGACACATCTATGGCCGCCCTCGTCAGACTCCTCAAGGACGAGGACGGCGATGTACGGAAATCCGCCGCTAAAGCCCTAGGTAACCAGTGGACGTCATCAGACACAATCACGGCCGCCCTTGTCGGACTCCTCAAGGACGAGGACAAATACGTACGATCTTCTGCCGCTGAAGCCCTAGGCAACCAGTCGACGTTATCAGACACAACCACGGCCGCCCTTATAGAACTTCTCAAGGACGAGGACTGGAGAGTACAATCTTCCACCGCGGATGCCCTAGTCAACCAGTCGACGTTATCGGATAACACCATAGTCGCTATTGTGGGACTCCTCGAGGACGAGGACAAATACGTACGATATTTCGCCGCTAAAGCCCTAGGGAACCAGTCGACGTTATCAGAAACAACCATGGCCGCCCTTGTCAGACTCCTCAAGGAAGAGGACAGCAACGTACGATACTACGCCGCTAAAGTCCTAGGCAACCAGTCGACGTTATCAGACACAACCATGGTCGCCTTTATCGGACTCCTCGAGGACGAGGACAAATACGTACGATCTTCCGCCGCTAGAGCTCTAGGCAACCAGTCGACGTTATCAGACACAACCACGGCTGCCCTTGTCGAACTCCTCAAGGACGAGGACAGCAACGTACGATACTACGCCGCTATCACCCTAGGCAACCAGTCGACGTTATCAGACACAACCATGGTCGCCTTTATCGGACTCCTCAAGGACGAGGACGGCGATATACGATCTTCTGCCGCTTATGTCCTAGGCATCCAGTCAACGTTATCAGACACAACCATGGTCGCCCTCGTCGGACTCCTCAAGGACGAGGGTAGCAATGTACGAGAATCCGCCGCTAAAACCCTGGGCAACCAGTCGACGTTATCATACACAACCATGGCCGCCCTTGTCGGACTCCTCAAGGACGAGGACAGCAACGTACGATCTTCTGCCGCTTATGTCCTAGGCATCCAGTCAACGTTATCAGACACAACCATGGTCGCCCTTGTCGGACTCCTCAAGGACGAGGGTAGCAATGTACGAGAATCCGCCGCTAAAACCCTGGGCAACCAGTCGACGTTATCAGACAAGATATTAGATACGTTAGGAATGTATGTTCAGCCGGAGGAACAAACACTCGACTACTCTCATGATTTAGAGTCTTTCTATGAAAGCTTTCTACAGCGCAGCTTCCAAGAGCATTTTTGTCTTTCTGTTGATAGAGATGTTTACGTCATCAACCAAGCGTCTGGACTCAGAAAAGCGAAATTGAAAGATGAGAGTCGATTTCAAGTCGAAATCAGGACGGCGCAATGTCAGTTAGAGAAGACCTATAGCTTAGGTCTGTGGTCTGCTCTTGGCAGGCAGAATGAAGACACGATCCACCATGGATGATCTCCTAACCAGATAACTAACCATACGACCGGCCATCGCCTCGTATGCATCAAAGTATGGAGTGAAGATATTGGAGGCAACTGAAAAAGGCGTTCACTAATTTCTCGACCTAAAGAGCAGGAAAAGATCTATGTTATCTATATCTTAGCCTAGATACATAGAATGGCTTTACTATTTACGTTATGGCAGGGGCGTTCATAGATCACTTATCTTAATAGTCTCCAGTATTAAGCTTTATGAATTCTAACAACGAACGAAACGTACTCCATATCCTCATACCGCTCGCTCATTCCTTTGAGTGGCTAGCTTATTCCTTATGAAGCCAGTAATTAAACCGTATTACAAGCCACTGTGACCGAGTATTGATATACGATATGATAGGGTCAAGATTGCGAGCACGGGGCGAGGCCTTCGGTTCCGTAACGTTATGGCATAATTCGTAATCGTGGGGGCTCGCCACCAGACCCATTCATATCACAGCTAGACGAAGCGCCGGGGCGGTCCCACCTGCGATTGACTGGCCCTGCAGGCACCGAAGCGCCCGTCACCGGGTATACCTGCTAGGGACCGGTTACCGAGCATGCCGATTGTAGGGACCCACCCCGAATGCACGGTCTTACTACTATCAACATGCACCGGCCGCAACTCCCAACCCGAAGCGCGCGCTTTGGTCGCCGGGTCCGAGTCCGTGATCCGGAACAAACGGCCCCGTAAAGCCAGTCTGGTGCCCGTTCGAACACTGCTAATCAATCCCCGTTTGGAATGAGCCTCGTTCCAAGCGCCGGGATAGTGATAATTGAGCACACTTTTTACTTGCTATCTCATTAACTGGAGTATGACGTCAGTATATACGTCTCCGGTTTTCTCCAAGGCTGATCCCTTTTGTAATTTTTTAATTGGGTGCATACTTTGAAATAACACGGCAATAATCTGGAATATCTTAAAAGAATACGTGATTTTTTATTCCTCCTCATGAGCACTACGTATCCATGTACCGACCTCATGTCGCAGTTGATGGGAACCCAGGTCAATTGTAACGATCTTTGGACCCTGCCTCGGCACTCAGTAGTCGTTCCCGCCTTGTAGCCCATGCTATTAATGCCGAATTGCATGTTTAGATCGCGCACACCATTGTCACTAAAGGCGCTAAATAACTTATGCTGAATTTGATCGCGATAAGACCTGGCGTTAGTTGTTCCTATACCCGTCAAACAAACGCCTCCCGGCCAGGCAGCTGGCCTCTCGGGCTGGGAACAAGGAAAACGGAGGTGGCCCTGTCACTGAACGGCCCGCTCGAAGGGAGGAGAATTTGGGGCCGCACTTCCGTTTTTACGGACAAGTCAACGTCCCAGTCGCCTTCTGATAGGCCAGCTTATCATATGGCACTCGGTATCGTGAGGTTGTTGTAGGGTACCATCACCGGGTGACGATGGATTGTCCCAGAATACAGAAGAAGGATCATGCGTTCTCAAACGGTCGGGTACCGTTTTGGGCTGAGCTCCGTCGCTCGACGGTCGAACACCCAGACACCCTAAGCGAGGCACACCACCACCACCACCACTACCCAGCCCGCCCACACAATCTGCTTCTGACTTTCAAGAAGCAACCTTCGAACTCTCCGATGAGGGTGAGATGTAAGCGACCATTCTTGGTTGAATCAGGGGAACACCGTGCAAACATATGCTAGCGTAGCCGCCCGAGAAGGACTTGCAGGAAGCATGCATAATCCCTATAACCAGAGAGCGCCCCAGATCCAGACTCTGCGTGAGATCATCGTGATTATTAGAGACCCCATCACCATTGCCAGCAAAAGAGCCATGAACCCCTGTAGCCTCAAGGCGCACGTAGACCGCGCCATCGAAGAAAGCAGTAACGAACATGTTCGCAAGCTCTAGGCCGTGTCCGCCAACCAACTCAAGAGCGGCGACCTGAGCGTCAAGACGGCGACGACGAAAGACATGGAGATCCTCCGCCATTTCGCGGAGGACTGGGAAAACCACATCGGCAACGGTGCCGCGGTGCGGATTGCAACCTACGGAGTGCGAGCGCACGGTATCAGTGCCTACATAAGTGACACTCCAAGTGGAAAGTCGGGTTGGGTCTGAAAGCAGAGGCCAAGAATGGAACCTAGCCTGCGAGGTATATGGCGCCTCATAGAAGTGCCTTCTTGGTTATGTATTAAATTGATATTTATTGCACCTTGAGCATGGATTCCAATCGATGCACGGTCGTCCAAAGCGGGTGTGATGGTAGGCTTCTTGAGATTCTGTGAGTGCTGCATCCGGCAGCATAAGGCCAATGGTTGCAAGAAGAATCGTTCAATCCGAGAAGCCGCAAGACCGGCTCGATTAAGCAAGTCATAGGCAGATAGCTGCGTCATATACTGGATCATCAAGGAAAGACCAGCTCAGTCGGCCGTAACCGCTTCGGCGTAGCTGCCGGAATTCGTTCCCCAGCCATTCACCGGTGGCGGCAGGACACGCACGGCCCCGAATGCGACTTGATTTGGCCGGCCAGGAAAGACCAACCAAGACATGGAGTGCCAAGTACCTATTATGGGTACAGTAGCCGGGAGTAGGCGAGATTTCACTGAAAGGTATCCGCGAATGATTTCGGATCTCCAGGTAATCGACGGACGTTGTGGACGGTATTTACACAGTACGAAAACCAGTCCTTAGCGGGTGTTTCTGTGGGGGGTCTGCTGGCTTACAATAGTCACGTCCCGACCGTGAGGTTTCCAGAACTATTAGGCAGTCGCCTGGCCGTGGAAACTAGAAGCAAGCATTCAAGTTTATGACATATGGGTGAACTACACCTGCCAGATTCTCAGCGGAAAGTATCCTAGTTCCATCTCGATTGTGCTAGGGAGGAGTATGTGCAATACGCACCGAAGGCATCGGGCTGTATGCAAGGCATGTTGTATGGTGTGTGGGGTGGGGATAATTGGAGGTGCAGCGGGCGGGCTTGAACCCCAACTCAGGTATGTGGAGCATGTCACTGCTGGCTACTGTCTTAGTACCCCAAGACTGACATTTCCCAATTCCTCATCAACCACTTCGATCCGTAGTGCAGCGACAAATACGAATATTAATTGAGGGTACTGATTCGATCAGCATAATGGACTTAGTATTGATTGCGCATAGTTGCGTGTTCACCATGCCGCCGCTACTTGTGCCGAACCACTTGTCCAAACCCAACTGGCGAACTGCAGATGGTGAATCAGTACCACCTAGTTCCCCCTGGAACCCTTCGCATCTAACAGGAAAGTTGTCGCTGTCTGCCTGCGCGATTGGGAACTCTGCTAGAATGTGTCTCGCCAAGATGGGATTGCAGCGCCTCAGCGCAGCGTATCTACTGACGATTGAATCACACGCAGTCGGGTCGCTGCAGATAATGCAAGACTCTGCACGCAGTGTTTGCGAGGCATTGCTCAACGTGGACAAAGTTCGTCCAATTGTTCGAACGTAGGCTGTCGCGCATCTCTCACCGGCTGCGAGTATTCTGCATGCGTATATGCGGGTCTGCCGCGAGTCTGCCGCGAATTTGCGAACCACGTATAGCGGTGTTTAATTGGTCAACCTTTTCAGATGTACTGCCGCTAGCCCCGCGTTACGTCCTGTCGGGTCCCGGGCGAGCTCTGAGAACAGGGATAGGGAAGTCTAGATCCCACACCTCGCCCTGGAAGAAGGCGTGCTTATCACAGGATAACTCTGTCCGGGTCGCACCGTTCTCGCGGCGGATGCCACACCTTTCGGTGCCTTACCAAAGAAACTTAGGATGGTACACTCCCTACATGTGAGTATTCGCACAGCGCAGCCTGCCTTGATAGAGGCAACAGTGAGTTCCACCCGTATAAGAGCTTGATCGAGACATACTGCCCGCATTTGCGCTTGGGCAAACGACACATCTGCCATCACACGGAGCATTCTTTCCTCGAACCACGTCAGACGACTTACGATGGCGACTTGTGGAACTCATTATGTGAGAGGCTCTGTGGTGATCATGAGAGACAGAGACGTTGAACAAACTAACAAGACTCGCTAGGGACATCAGCCCCAGCAATGCATTCGCCCAGCCTGTGGGGTAAATTGCGGCCCGCCAGTATCCGGTTCATGCAATACGCAGCGCCTCGATGACGTTGATGAGAGGCTGACCAAAATAGCCGAAAAAGCCGAGAAGCTCTTCAATATGATGCACGCGCAGGCATGCATCACCAGTCAATTCGACGACAGGTAGGTAGACTCGTCCCAGTCGTTACCTGAAAGCACATATTTACGCAGCAATATTACAACAGATTGAAGAAGATTGGCGAAGCCGTCGTATCCATTGAGAACACCCTCAGTGTGGTTAGTGCTACTCTTGCCAATGATCATGACACCTTGGCAGCAATCGTTGTTACGATCAATGAGACTCGTGACTCCTCTGTGGCAGTCAATGACACAGTAAGCCAGGCGAAATCTGACATTACGGTACTAAATAACACCACTTACCAGACACGTACGGGAATGACAGAGATGGGTAATACACTTACCACCACTCAGAACGACTTGCAAGTAGTCAAAAATACGGTCAACAACATTCAGAGCGCCATGGAGGCAGTTGTCAATACGGTCACTAGGACCCAAGCTGTTGTGATAGCAAATGGCGACACCGTGACTAACCTACGGCTCGGATTGGCAGAAGTTACTCGCACTATCACCAACACTCAGAATGTTGCCGAAGCGGTTGATAGGAAAGTCAACCAGACACACGATGCCACGACAGCAGTCGTCAACACAGCTGACAACATTTTGAGTGATCTAGCGGCAGTCCGACAAACAGTCGTCCGTACCCAAGATACTGTTTCGGCAGCGGACAATACGATTAATCAAACTTTAGCTGCAGCAGTAGCGGTGAACAACACGCTCGATCAGACACGAGCTGCAGTGACAGCGAACCACAGTCTAGCCAACAGTATATTGGATGGATTGGAGACAGTCGCCTGTGTTGCCATCAGCACTCAGGAAGCTGTTACAACGACGGAGAGCATTGTCAATCAGACGCAGCATACGCTGGTAACCGTAAGCGGCACAGTTACTGATGCCAAGAATGCATTAATTACAATGGGAAACGCTGTCAATGAAACCCGCCAGAATATGACAGGCGTCAATCATACGTTAAACAATGCTCACAATACCATAACAACGATTGAGCGACAAGTCGCTCGCAGCAATGACAATGCTCTTCAAAATCGGACCGAAATCGACAATCTGCATCGGACCGTTGGGGAGCTTCTCCTGGAAGTTCGGGCAGGGTAACGACGAATGAGCCCATGTCGTAACATTATGATCCCACTAACCCTACATAGTCATTTCAATCATGTAGCACGCTTATCTAATCGTTTCGCAAGTTGCTGCACAACATAATACGAAGCTTCCACGGTATCAATAATCAACACATCCCTGGATTTCCGACATCACATGCCTTGTTTCAGAGACTCTCAGGTAAGGAAGGCTTCGAGCGGTAGGAACTTGACTAAGATGACCACAGAAGATCAGATGGGCGTTATTTTAGTAAGCCTCGGTCTTCCTGTGAACGGGTCACTGCTGAGCAAGAAAACTCGCTTGAAAACATATCTGGGACTGAGGATATGATTGAAGGTTTGAAGATGTGTTGACTGTTTTGGGGATGTCAGTGTGGCTAATACTTACTCATGTTCACAATGATGTCAGCGAGAATAAGGCCCTCGACTCGCTTTGCTCTCATCTAGATTAAATGTGATAGTATGGATCCGTATTTTCTTGACGTTCGCATCGGCTATGTCAGGCCATACCTTGCCCATGGTTCCTGAGACGCGGTCAGCCGTCGAAGCAGGTGACGGAGAACCACATTCGTCTCGCCATTTCCCTCTCCGTCTGTTAAGGGAATTATCGTGCCCAACTCAAGAGCGTTGACCGTCAATTTTTGGACGGAGAGGAAGGCCTTGACCGAGTTTTGTCTTTAGCCCTTACGTGCAGGTTCTATGAGATCGACAACATGCACATCTGTTTTACAGATCTGCTATGTAAGTTGCCAGCGAGTCTTACGAAGTTCGATGCCCTACCGATGCAATGATATCTTGTACTGTGCAATACATCTCGGAGGGACTCTGACACCAAAAACTCTGCAAAAGCGCGCCACGCCTTTATGTTCCCTTCGCTACCTAAACAAAGTCCCACTTCGTCTTGTAGGCCTTATAGGTAGTAAGCCCAAGCCTCTTGCTCTGCGGGGGCCGTCGTCTGCTATCCTAAGTGTTTTCGGAGCTAATCAGACCAAGTGACCGATGGAGAGCGGAGTTTGTATAGGAAGGTCAGAAGGGCGAGGGATGATGATACAGGTGGTGCGAATAGGCGATCGGCGGTAGGTGAAAGGCTCTCTGGCAACGCGCATAGTACCTTGGGTGTTGAAAGGGGTCGACTTAGGTCGGGAAGTAAGACAACCAAGAACTTTCGTGAGGATATGGGAAAAAGAAGCTGCGGACGAGTTGAAGCTCTAAATGGATTGAAAAGAAGCCTAAGAGAAAGCAATTCCAAGCAGCAAACGCCATTGAATGAGTGCTGGTTCGACATTGATAGATGCTGTTAACGCACCAGCAGACTGACCCCACAACTGCCGCACTTTCCAGGGGTTTCTATGGAGCTGCCGAAAGTTCGTCCGAGAGTTGCCGGGCCGTTCGCTGATGACTTCGAAAACTGTGAATTGTATCATACAGAATTTGGCTTGTCTATATGGTCGCGGTGACTAATGAGCGCCGAGGCAATGCCTAGGACTTCAGCCATCGTCGGTGGTCGAATTTGGGCGCTGTTCTTGCCAGATGGCAGGGGGACGGATTGCATGATTACCTTCGCCATTAGTCAGGGACTCCGCCGCAGCTGTTAACCTTTTAACTGGCCATATCCACTATGGCAGCGGACCTGCACTCCCTCTCATCCACTAGCCTTGCCGGACACCCATAAACTTGTATGTCGGCCTTTGTCGGTGATAGCGATTCGTGGTCCGTCATCTCAAATAGCTAGCATCCCGCGGCGAAGTCTCGTTTGTTTTCACGTGTCATCTTTTGAATAAGAGCTGATCATAGTCAGTCACTTCACACCGATGAAAATAACCATTTCGCATCTGGAAGGCATAATGCCTGCAACGTATAATGGCCCAGAATGCATAACAGGACTAAAGCCCGTCCCGCAGACACCTGGTCTGTCTCCAAGTTCCCCGCTTTGCTCTCCAGCCTAATCCAAATTTAGTTGGCTCCCTTATTGTTAGTGTATGGTTCTCTGCTACTGCACATGCGTCGAGCCCCGCGTTTGCAACACTCCTCGAAAGCTACTTATACTTCGACATAGCCCGCGGAGAATAACCATTCTTGTCGTGCCGGAGTTCGCCACTTTCGAGAATGAGTTCTCTGCGACCTTCGCGTCAACCCTAAGGAGTACAAGAACATTTTCGACTTCATGGTATCATTCTTCTTCTCTCCCGGAATCTTGCACATAATGTACATTCCTCTTGATAGAGCGGCTCGCATCAACTACAATGCGACGGCCGAAAATGTCGTAAACATTGTTTGGTTGATGGCTGATGGCCTTTCCATCAGTCCGATAATGAGGGGACTAGAACACGAAGGAAGCCGAGGCTCATTGTTCAAGCAGTATTGGGGAGCTTTCGGGGCTTGGCTGTCCCAGCCACGTAAGTGGCTGCTGCTGGACTCTTTTAGGAAAGCGAGGTTTGCTGGCTCAGCTGACAGAATTCTCCAGAGATCATAGCTTTAATAATGACATGGGCGATTGTATTCACCATCGCGAGTATGAATATCCTCGGCCTAGGGTTTGGTCCAGCCGGAGTAGGCGCTGGTGAGTCGCTAGGTCTATTCACGCTGTCGACGTTCCTTACCTTCTACCGAGATCGCTGACTGCGTGGCGCACAAGGAACATTGGCGGCCGCTTTCCAGTCTTGTGTGTACGGAGCTTTCACCCCAGCAGGGGGATTATTCGCAACATTGACAAGCATGGCCATGTTGGGAACATTGATGCCATGGGCTGCTGTCGTTTCTGGGGTTCTTGCAACATTAGTCACGGGTCTTGTGTGGGAATATGGTGTAGATCGATAGGGCGCGCGTATAGTGAGTCCCCTATCCGACAAACGAGACGAGGCTGTGATAGCAGGGCACGGAAGAGCAGCGTTCCATATTCATGGGACACCTTCAAGCAGTCGGTCTCGAAGCCGCTCTGTCCAGGACGGTCATCGTATCCATCCCCGCGGCCTGTCATTTCTTGCCTTTGCTCTTGGCTTCCTCTGGCAGCTTTGTTCACTAGTAAACTATCCTGACCCTGTACTTTGCTAGTAGAAACCGACGCCTCCATCTGTAGCTGTCGCTTGTATCTAGTTTTCGGGAACTGTCTGAAACTACTGAACTTCGGTTCTCTGAAGGGGATCTTCCTGTCCCGCGCATACGATTCTACCCAACAGGAGCCGCTCCCGTCTCCCTGTGATGATTCAATGGTAGGCGTAGTCTCCTCGGTGTCTCGTCGAATGGTGTCGTGTCGTCTTCGGCTTTTCATCGACTACAAGAATCTTGATTCAGATGACGGGCTGTGGGACGGATCAGAGCGCCTCCCTACGCTGTAGCTTGAGGTGAAATTAAAGTAAAGCTCTTGTCGACATCGGACGCCATGTGGGGCCTTAAGCCGGCCTCCCCCGGTCGCCATAGCGGTGACGTGGTGGGCGTATAACATGAGATTTCCATCATGATCATTGGAGCTGTAGACGTTGAGGGAACGAGGGTTTCACGTGTCCTTTCGCCCACAGCCTTAGTGCGGCTGAGCAGCGCGTTGCTGGTGAACCAGAAGTACGGCGGGCTTTGATATCTTCCGCAATCTTGACCGCCAACTCCCTGGCTTTCCAATCCTCCTTGGCGGCCGCGTTAGCTGCGTACTTGGCACAGGGATTCTCCTTTAGTCCGACCGTGCTCCGCTGGATGGTATTAACCTTGATGGCTCTAGTGTCGCGGGTGATATTCTCGCTGGCTGTTTTGGTTTCCGTTCGTTAGCTTTCTATGGCTTGGTGGAGATGCACGATTTAGAGTAGTTTGCTGCATTTTGACAAGCAGGAAGGGGAACTGCGATGAGCGTGGCTCACACGGCTTGGGGTCCAGTGGGTGTCCGTTTGCGGTGTCGATAAACTTGACCCGATGGTGCGCTGGCCTCAGTTGCTCCTGTGGCCATGGAGTTGCCATGGTGCCCAAGTCGCTGTAGGCTTCGCGACGAGCAAAAGGCTATCCAATCGACCGTTCAGGGCTTCGATTTCCAAAAGTTTCGTTGTTGCTTTGAACACTTTTCCCTTTTGTCGTTGCGTAACACTGGTTTTACTTGGTCGCATCTTAGTCATCAAAGTTGGTACACTATATCCACTCTCGATCAGATTCCCCACCAATCTTCTCACTCTCCGACCTAGTCACCTTTTAGCCAGTGGCACTATGGTCGAAAAGCAAGGCCTTGCGTGTCGTGAGTACACCATTTCGTAGGATGACAAAGGCTAATTTTGACCGCGAGTTCAACAGCTCTGGCATCGTCCAGTTCGCGCTTTCATATCAACGGCTCAAGAGAGGAGCCTGAGGACCTCGATGCTCACTTCAGCTTCAACAAGACTTTGCTTGTTGAAGACGACAAAAATGGATATCACACCGCTATCTCTTCGCCTGAAGCCGCATCATTAGAACTTAACGAAGCCCTGTTGACTGACCAAACGATGATGCCACCGACGGCTTATAGACTTTATCTAGAAATGGTGGATATTCAACAGTCCCTACAGCCGCTCATTCTGAGTAAAGGCCACGACGATGATTGGGAGGACGTTTTGGAGCTCTGTAGAATGCTGGAACGAGCTACAACAGGCCTGGTGCTCATCGTTGCCCAGGAAATGTCCGCGTTGTCTAGCATAGGACACCGGCGAGACCATTGACGGCCTGAGCTGGTTTAAATGATAATCAGTCATCGCTTGGAGGCATTACATGAGATAGCATAAATGCATGGAGTGAGCGTGACAATACTGGTATTGACGCGGACTGCCACAGAAGGGTTTGGAAAAGGACAATCAACGAGGCTATTTGGACGGAGAGCACTGTCCAGCATCGGAGTAAGCTCGCTGACTGATGAGCTGAATACGTCGTGTAGCTATGCGCCCGCCGATGCTAATCGGGATTGTCGACGAACACTGGACCTCTACGCTGGAATAGCGAACTTGCCTTGGGAGATGTGTTCTGATGCAGGAAAGGAACTGATGCAGGAAAGGAACTGATGCTGGCCAGGTAAATGATAAAGTGGTACATGTGAATAACGATCATGAAGTGTTCCATAATCATATCTTTCCCATACCATGAGTATTTCCTTGAATTCTCGAAATTGGAACCTGACACTGCGCACTTCATCGCGCGATGGCTAATTTGCCATCCAAAGTTGACAGAGTCAGGACTTCGTGTTAACCGTATTTTCTGACAGTTTTACGCTCCCGGTTCCAGTCGCCTGCAGGCTGATTCGGGTAATGTCGCGTGACATCTGCTGGAGCGAGGCATCGATGAGGTGGCGGCCTACCTACCGAGTCGTTGATCCGTAACCTCGATTCTTGCCATATATCGTTTTCCCAGTAGTCGACACTAAGAACTGCACGGTATCGTCTCCGGTCGCGTAATTGTCAATGATGCTAAAGTCCTCCTCCACGTGGCTTTCAGCTTGGGAACAGATATCGAGACACTGTCCGGCAGTCGTCCACCCCTCACGCAGTCTAGTGAGTTGCGCCACGTCATGCTCCAAGCTCATCTGCGTCGACGACCTCACGATGAGCCGGTCCATCAACTGTTGCATATGTTTTTCTACATCCGCGACGGTCTGGGCCAAATGTTCCCTGCAAGCTTAGAGGCCCTCGTTGGTGACGTGTTCAGGATAGAGGTTCTCGTGAGTATGAGCGTCATAGCCTGCAGAAGTTGTTGTAGAACTCTACTGATGCGGTTCGCCAACTGCGCGCTGAGTTCAAGACATTTCTGTGTGCTTTCTCTTTCTGCGCGGATTCAGTGTAGCTCTCGTGTATCCGCATCGTCTCCACCCAATGTGCTCGATTATAGCGGCAAGATTAGCGTCAATGTTTTCGAGACGAGCCTCGAGATCATCGGTTGTCGTTTTAATCATTGTTTGATAGTTTTCGAGATTCTCGGCGGTCGTTACGGATCGGCGCCTGTTCGAGACACACGGTCAGGTGATTCAATTCTGTACGGGGCACGAAACTTACAGTTGCGCATCAGCGAGGGCTATTTTGATAGTGGACTTGTAGCCCGCGAGAAGCTGTGTAAACTCGCCGATGCCATCGCCCATATACTGCAGCTTGGCCTAATCACGGGTGCTAGCGCGATCGCCGCTAGACCGCGAGGAGCATCGCAGGGGCTCTTGCTCAAACTCCTTGCACGCCTCGTCGCCTCGTCGCAAAGGCGTGTCAAGCGCAGATAGTTCGTTACCGGGCGCGACGTCGATAGTGTCGGTAAGCAAGTACAGCACTTCACTCACGGCTCTGAGCTCGTCGGCGAGATCCCGCACACGCTTGGGTTGGGTCCGGATGCCCTGAACTGTGTTGTACAGGGCGATGCTGGACTTAGAAGCGAGCAACGCAAAGCTTAGCACCCCCGATGCCAGGCCGATAGCTTCTGCCATTCCATCGAGGAACTTGTAACGTAGGATGGACAGGTGTCCAGTCTGCTAAGAGCAGCGGAGTCGGCGTTCCGTAGTACACCTGAGACGGGCTTGCGGGATGCAGGAGCCAATCAGAGATCGCGGCTGTGCACGACTACTCCCAGCTTTAACCCCGGGGCAGCGACGAATCCCAAGTCAGAGTCCAAGGCGTGGGTCTGCGCCAGCTCGTCAGGCTGGCTCAGCTTCAAGTGTAAGCATTTTGCTTAGCATTGTGTAATTGTTAGCGCGACCTCTCGTCGCAATGATTCTTATGCTTCAAGTGCTATGCCGCGGTAGCCTGGACTTTACACTCAAAAATGATCTTGACTTCAAAAGGCGAAACAGTTTGCCTCAGTGCACCTACCTTACCAGGACCAATAAGCCAGCTCCGTCGTTCAGGTCTCAGTCATCTCCACTTTCGATGGCTGTATGTTTTGCGATGAAATTTATGGGCAATAGCTTCCAGCTAGTAGTGCGTGCGGATGCCGAGGCGTTCAGCTTGATGTCGATAGGCGACATTGCGCCTGTATGCGTAAGCGCGTGTGTGAGGGGCTGCTAATTCTAGCAGCGTTAAGATGGCTATTGTATTCGGATGACTTGGTGATGATATGCAATCACCCACAGGGGATTTGCATCTGCGGTCAGTGAAGGCTTAGTCCGGATCACGGCGTCGACCGCCCCGAGCGATTCGCCTAGTGGAGGCGAGGCCTTTAGGGGGACATTCATAGCTGCTAGCCGTCCACCAACAGTGAGCTTGAATGTCTTGGGACAGCCTTTGACCGCCAGGGCCATCCACATCGATAAGAGCGTGTCTCATTAGCCGCCGCCCTTCACTTCACACATCAAGTGCGGACCCCTGGCGAACGCAGCAGACGGAGAGGGAAAACTCTAAAATGCATTCCAAGTACCAGCCGGAGAGTGTCTAGCGCAACGATCAGTACCTTAATCATCATCCACTTCGATGAGCAGAGTAGCCGTCTGCACAGCCAAGGATACCACATTATGGCGGATCCGAACAGCAGTGGCTTCCGTGCCTAAAGCCAGTGTGGCGCTCCACGGAGCCATCCGCGACTACAGAAGCCAGGCCAAAGACGCTCGAGGGCTCAAAGCAAAAGTTGGTGATTTGAGCCGGGTCCTAAGCGCACTCTTGGAGACGATTGCGACCAACCCAAGTCTCGACTTTGAAGCTCTTCAACAGCTGCTCCACGTTTTTATACTATGACAGAAGTATTACTCGATACACAAAACGTTCCAGCGACGCAACGCGCCCGAGCGTTCAGGACTGGACTACGCAAAAGTACCTCCACAAAGACATTAAGAACTTCAGAGAAATGCTAGTAGCGCACGAGTCCGCCATCAACATTACTCTAGCGAATACCACTATATAAAAATAACCACCTCGCGATTCATAGGCGCCGTGCTTATCTTCAGTTCCACCAGTCGCATCGCCGCCATATCGCCCGAAGTTCTTAAGATTACAAGGATATAACCTCCGACACCACCAGCGACCTAACTAAACATCTAGCATACGATACTAGAAAAGAAAGCATTAGGCAGGGTCTCGAAATATACGCCCAATCATCCGCCCAGCTCGCATAACACGGAGCTACGTCTATAGAATCTACCCAGTTTTTTGGACATCTATCGGCACGCAAGCACATCAAGAATAGTCTGAGTAAAGCCGGGCGGTCTATTCTCCCAACTAGACCGACTCCAAAGGACAAAAGAGAGCCTCAGCCCGTAAATTCACGTGATAGCCCCCGATCGAAGCAATATATTTGAAGATCCAACCTTGGCAGACAACAGTCACGCCTTTTCGCTTTCGACTGTGAACGATCTCGTAGCGGCCCGACGACTCAATCTCATCGGTTTCGGCATTTTGGTGGGCAAGCCAGGATAAAACTGTGCAAAAGTCTATAGAGGCTCTGATGAAACTGGACCTGAAGCATCTTCGGTCTTCGTCAGGCACGCAAAGTCGTCGACAGGCTCAACGGACAGAATCGGGGGTGTCCATGTATGCCACAAAGTTTAACAAACGTTTTGGACCTGGACTTACGCTTGTAGCCAGGAAAGCGATTGATCGAGACAATTGGCATATAGATAAGGGAGTGAAGGTGATGATTTCGAGTAACATGATTACGGTCCCTCCTAACAGAGATCTTATCCTTGCCAGTGCTCATGGTTTTGTGAACATGCCTTACTGCTTGGGATAAGATTGTGGACCACAGCTCGAGGGGACCTAGAGCGTTGTTCAAGGCTAGAAGCCGAAGCTCTAGACTAGAACCCTCTGATTCGCAGTCCCTTCCCTGTCATCATCGAGTGCTTTGCAGCAAACACAACTGCCGTTTCTGGCCTCCAAAATCTCGAGTGATTGAACCATCTAACCATATCGCTGAGTAGTCTAGTCGATTTAAGTGACCTACCGATGAAGGATCACTCAACGGCGCGGGCGAGGGGGTTTTGAGCAATGCGATCGACGGTAGAACCATGATTTCGGTATGATAGTGAGGGCGGCGAGGCCGGCGCGGCCTGCGATCGTCGTCCAAAGAACAGGTGTTGCTGTCCCTGTCAGCGCCAGGGTTCTCGTAGACTTGTAAGAGCCGATGTACTTAGTAGGTTATGACCTGAACATTTATCCTCGTTTTGTCTCTTTCGAATTGCATGCTTAGCGTGGGGATCTGGCTCTTTCGGACAAAGCTTCTTACCGTAGATGAGGTCAATCAGGCAACCTGAATGCTCGGGACTGGCTTCGTTGAGACTGGAAACACCACGGCCTACTACTTTGAGAATGCTCAAGGTGCATGCGTATGCGGGACTAGTATCACGGCTCCGAAGGGGCAAACTACTTTGGATGCTTTCGGGTCAGATTCGAATTGTTTTGTTCAGCGCGGGTGCGATGGCGGTCCTCAAAGTTTCCCTCCGTTCGGACAGACTGGTTAAATAGAGCTGTCACACCGGCACGGCGAGTATGGGCTCGTCTGCATTGAACTTGCGCTGTTTGGGCGAGGCTGAGTCGGTCCGTCGTCTGGCTGTTTCGCGGGGCCATCGGCACGGCGAGGATCTTTCGAGCATCTTGGCAATCCCATTATGTCCATTCCTTCTTGCTGCAGTGATCGCTGTGTTCCCATCGCAATCCTCGATGGCGGGATCAGCACCAGCCCCGATCAGAGTAGTCACAACTGACTCATCGCCCTGGCTAGCTGGCCAGAAAAGAGGCGATCTACCCGAAACTGATCTCGAGTTGACATCCACATCTGGCCTATGCACCAGAGCCTCGACGACTGTGTTGTGCCCAAAACTTGCTGCAATCCATAAAGGCGTTACCCCCCTGATGTTTTTTGTATCCGGCTTTACGCTTTCCCGTAAGAGCCGTTCAATAACCTGAACATCTCCAGCTTTTGCTGCGTCATAGAACTGTGCGATACAACGACATTCATCCTCAAATGGGATGTGACCGGTTTTTCGAGATAGGAAGTCCAAAATCCGGTCCTGACCACAAGTAGCAGCAGTAACGAATACCTCCTCGCTGATAATCATCTGGTCGCCTCGCCGGTCGAGAAGTAGTTTCATCACTTGCTCGCCTTTCCAAAAGTTTCCTGCTGCAGCCTTCACCACCTCTTCAGTAATGGTGATCTGGTCGCCTCGCCGGTCGAGAAGTAGCGCCATTGTTTCGTCAGAGAAGCTGCTAGCAATGGTGTGTACCATCTCCTCAGCGATGTTAATCTGGTCACCTTTCCGATCAAGAAGCAGTTTCATCACTTGCTCGCCAGCCTCTTTGTTTCCTGCTGCAGCTTTCACCACCCCTTCAGTAATGATGATCTGGTCGCCTCGCCGGTCGAGAAGCAGTTTCATCACTTGCTCGCCAGCCTCTTCGTTTCCTGCTGCAGCCTTCACCACCTCTTCAGTAATGGTGATCTGGTCGCCTCGCCGGTCGAGAAGTAGTTTCATCACTTGCTCGCCTTTCCAAGTGTTCCCGGCTGCAGCTTTTACTATTGCTACGTCTACCGACGTACCAGTATCCGCTCGGTCTAGCATAGCCTTCAACACCTCAACGTAACCTTTTCTAGAACACACTTCAAGCGGCGTCGTCTGCTTCGAGTCTCTATATGCTGAATCAACATATGGGATGAACGACGTCTCGTGTGCAGACGCTTCCGCGAGACCTTTCCCTGGCAAGAGCGCATGATCAATGAGCGATGGAATCCCCCATAGGGCAGCCACATGGAAGACCGATAGCCGAAAAGGCGCCCAGTGGTTCCTCTGAGAGTAACATTTGAGCCAGCTCTCACGCTCCCCTGAAACGATGGCGAAAAACTGAGCCTGCCCATCGTCTATTCGGAACTCACCCTTAGCCATGTGAGCGTGCTCCGGCCAAAATTCCGTCGCGTATGAAGCAAGATCGCTTCCATCTTTTACCTCTCCTCCACCCTTTAGGTGGTGCATGGACTCCGCAATAAGACTGCCAACGCAGCGGCTCGCTAGCGCATTGTGTGCCTTCAGCTCGGAGATGGAGATGTTTCGTCCTGCGCCGGTGACTAGGAAATCTCTGACGGATTGGTGAAGTAGCAGGACCTTCTCGTCCCGAACCACGATTATCAATCGACAGGCAGCAATTACCTCGGCTGTGAATTGGATGCGCTCCTCTTCGCCTTCGTTCTGGTAGAGGTCGCAGGCAGAGGCCAGCTCCCGTGTACTCATGGGACGCCGTGCTACCATAACGATGCCGAGCAGTCGTTTGATCGTTTCCGGGTCTTCGTCTTGTTGGAGTGCCGTATCGAGAAGTTCTTGGTAGAGCCATTGAAGTCCTTCGGGGATCTTCTCAAGGCGTGTGACGGCATTTCTTGAAGCGACCTTCTCCAGCTCCTGACAGGCTAAACCGACCCAGAGGAAGATGCCGCCAGCCTTTTCACGAAGCACCCGCGCAACATTGGCAGCTACCGTAGCAGTGTAGTGCTTCATCTCTTTGAGGTCAGCTACCTTCTCGTTGATAAACCTGGAAATATCTCGTCCAGATTCTTCAAACGATGCCAGGTTTTTGTTCAGGAATGCCTGCAGGTGCTCTCTAATCTCCAAGTATGGCCTGCTGGTAATAAGGAGGCTGACATTCAGCTTGCCGCCTGATCGATCTCGCCCGAAGGTCTCCTTAATTTGCTTCAGCAGTATGACCTGCTCGTCCTGCGTGCACTCGTCTAAGGCGTCAACTAGGCAGTACTTGCGGCCGGTAGCTGTATCCGCACATGCCTTCATGAACATTGCCCAAACCCCATCGAACGAACCAAAGGCTCGGGCTCCGCGCTCCTCATACTTGGGGAGGATGTATTCAATCAGCCGCGGGTGCTGCTGCACTAGCTGCAGGAGGAGCCCGCGGACGACTGCCGTGGCCGTTCTGCGCGTGTCATAGCCCGAGTCGCAAAAGAAGTACGCGAGCGTTTTGTTCGGAGTCCTGGAGAAGGTACCCGACAGGGCCTCGGCAAGGAACATGGACATGGTCGACTTGCCCGTCCCCGGGTTTCCATGGAGCCAGAGGACATCCGTCGAGGCCAATGTCGACTCCGGCGTGTTAGCAAGCCAGGCGGTCAGCTCGTCGGTTCCGAGGATCCAGGCACAGGTGCCTTTGGCGCGTTCGCCTTTTTTCCGCTTCAACGCCATCATGTCCTCGTATGGATCGGTGAGGAAGAGATCTCGGAGACATTCTCTCGCTTCGGGCTTCTCTTTCAAGGCGTCTGCAGGTTATGAGCACAGCACAGGAACGGCGAAGGGGGGCCTTACGGTCTCGATCGGTAACGATTGGTTTCGCTACGGGGGTGTCAGCTCCAGAATGTCGACCGAGCGGTCCTCGACTTGATCACTCACGTTTTGTTCGACGCTGAACGACGGCCGGGGCGTCTGCACAGAGCCTGCGCAACTCCGCGGTAACACTCTGAAAGGAGCGGTCGTCCGGGCCAGAGTACTTGTTCAACTCGGAATGATTCGCCGCGAGCGGGATCCTTTGAAGACCGGGAATACACGCCGACGCCTCATCAACTACCTTCGATGTGTCAGCATCCATCGGCTGGGGCAAGGCAGATGGGACAAACATACTCTTCCTCGACCAGGCCCTCCCATGCGGAGCATCTTCTTCAAGTAATCGGTATCGTATATCTCGAAGAAGCAGGATGTCGCAATAGACAGAGTGTTCCGCATCCGACAAAATTGGTGCAGCGTGTCCATCAGGTTTTCATCGTCGTATGCCAGGTTGCGGACGATGCCGTCGGGGGAGCCAGTAAAGCGCGAAAACCAAGCCACAATCTTGGCCAGAGACTGGAACTCGGATCCGCGGAGAGGAGAACCGAGGAAGACGACGCCGACTGTCAAGGTAGCGATGTGCCTGAAGGCGTCGTCCGAATTGGCGTACAGGAGCGCCTGGGCTGTCAGCCTCGTCCGCCGCTCTGAAGACATCTCCGGTCACTCACATGTTGGATTACGTTGCCGCCCAGGCTGTGGCCGACGAAGACAACCGGTCGGCTTGCCGTGGTTCCGTCCCGGAAGTCGCGGATGCTGCGAATGAGCTCCTCTCCACACAGCGACAGGCGTATCTTTGGCGCGTCGGCGTGCCACCTCGAGTCGTAACTGTAGAGGAGAATGCGCGAGCGGGGAACTACAGTCGGGAGCATGTTGGGGTCTTGGAGCCATTTCACATGGCGGCCCGGGGATTTCGGGTCCTTCCACGTCCAGGACCAGTCGACGTTGGCACCAAGACCGTGCACGGCGACGATGCTACGGAGGTTAGTGCGTTCGGACCCGACACCTGGGAACCTACTCGACTTCGGGTTCGGCACCCTCGTACACCGCATCCAGGGCCGGGCGGCTATGCGGGATATGCAGCGTGCGTCAGCGGGAGAGAACTCAAGAGAAGGGGCCACCTTACCATGGCGTTGAACGACGGCTAAGTGCTTGCGGTTCGGGTAGTAGACGGCTGATGGCGACTAGATGATCGTGCTGGATATGCAATGAACGTGATTGATTTGGGCAGCGATCCTGTACGACGCTGTAGGATGGGTTGACTGCGATGTAGTTGGAAACGTGATGAGATGTGTGCCCAGAGCCCAACGTCTATGAGCCTGCGTCAGCGGCCATCTGAATTGACAGGCAGCAAATCAAATGCGATGTCCTGCTCGCAGCCTGCATCACCTGCCGGTGGCTTGCCCTCGGCAGTGCCGCGGCGATCTCACCTCGGAAATACCCCCGGTACACCAGCAAGCCCAGATGTGTGCATCAACATAAGTACCTAACTGTGCTGCTATAAAAGACAGCCCGTGAGAACACGGGATTACTTTTGCCTAGTTCAGAGCGCTACATCATCCCAATATCGCACGTCGCGATGGCATCACAAGTGAGCTATGTGACCCTCTCTGGTGTGGGAGGTCGATCGGGTGCACGGGTAGTGAGTACCCTATCTACCAGACAAGGCTAAGAGAGACGTATTTAAATAAGCAGCATTCCATAGTCTTAAGAAAAACTATTTGCTTCGTCGGTCTCAAGACACCCTACCTAGTGAGGTGATCGTGTCTGTCCTTTCAACTTATCTTCTCTTGTACTTGCTCTTGACTTCCCTTAGCAGCTTTGTTGACCAGCCAGTGGTCGAATGCCGTTGTGTCGTCTTTGTCTTTTTGCTGACTACGTCGGTCTTGATTCGGAGGGCGGGCTATAGGAGGGTCTAGCGCGCTTCCTTGTGCTGTGGCTTGAGGTTGAAATTGAAATAACGCTCTTATTGACACTGTACGCTACGGGCTTTGGTTCGCCTGTTGAAGACTACCTTTACCCTCGAGGCGGAATGTAGTCGTTTCGTGAAGGTCTCCTGCGTCGGAGTTGTTATAGCGTCAGCGATCTGCTGCTGAGGCATATCGTCGACATCCCGAAAGGCAATATACTCCGACTGATCCTTGATGAGTTATTGGAGCTAGAGTGCCATCTGTGAGAATTACGGCAGTCGGATGACCTGTGGAAACGGGAGAGACGATGTATGGCAATTCACATGAGTACCTAACTATGGATTGGCGTTGGCAAAAGCGGGGTAGAGACTTGCCTGAAGCCTTTGGCAAACGTACTTTGCGCATCATCGTGGACACGTGGTTGATATTGTGTTAATTCGTGCTAGCTCACTTGCGGCCCCGCCAAATTGCCTGGCCGTTTTCCATTCACGGCTGTGAGACTCCAACGCCGACGCTCAATCGGAATGGCTGACGGTGGTCGGCAAGGCCTTCAGGCTGTTGGCACGATGATCAGCCATTCAGGCTGCTTACACCTTTGCGTCAGCGGCTAGCCTGAGACTCCTCAACGGGACCACGGGTAGTCCGAAATATCTACTATTCGAGGTTGCAAGACGAACCATTGAGAAACCGACTGGTAAAGTACTGATAGGTGTGCTTCGACGCCTGGCTATCGTCAGTAGTCGCGCATCAGCATCAGCGTCTTATCATCCTGCTACGGGAATCCACTTGTTCCATCCGGCCACAGGGCAGCACGTTCTTCCCAAATGTGACCAGCGATGGCATCGCATCCAGACCAGGGAGGCACTCTGTTCCGTCTTTGACCGGGAACGTAAGCATGGTAATCGAACTCAATAGTCGCCTCCCTTCACCCAGAAGCTCCTAGGAAGTAATGGTTCGCAAGAAAGTAAAGCGTCGGGGCTAATTGAAAACGACCTCGCTTCCCTTTTGCCTGCCTCTCGGCGGACGAAAGATGATGATTTGGCGGCGCCCGCTTGTTCTTCCGTTCTCGATTCTGCCAATGTCAAGTTCGATCAGTTGCGACTAGCTGCCATTCATGACTGGGTTGATGAGGAGACCGATCTCCGTCGGCTCGCCGACATCCACAACTGGCTGTGGACCGCGGGTCGGCCCATGCCGCCGCGTCCGCTCCATCAGCAACGCCTGCTCAATCGCGAGATCGTGGTCACTGAGAAGCTAGACCTGCACCTTGTGTGGACGACCGGTCGCATCTTCGTCAAGCCGCTGTCACGCTTCCTCCTTGAGCCGCACTTCTGGGCAAGAGTCCTCCAGTGTCATAGGGTGCCCGTCTCCAACGCAGACCCGTGCAGCTGCGGTGGTCGGCGGGAACGCGCGCTCGGCTTCCTCTTCTCGCACGCGGCCCTCATAGCGCACGAGAGCGACTTTCACATCGCCAAAGAGATGCACCTTATTCCCGAAGAGGTACAGTGGTTGGCGTGGCGGACGGCCGTGCGGGAGTTCCTAGGCACTTCGTCCGTCTACCCCTGGATCGACCCCCGCTTTTACTATGGGGAGCTCCGCCTCAGCCGGCTCAACAAGATCTACTTCTTTTGGAAGACCCCGTTCCGCGGCTATATGTCTCGCTGGAACCAGTATGGCTCATTCTTCCACGACAACTTTGCGCTGCTGGCCAGCTCGACCGTCTATATCGCTGTCGTCCTGACGGCGATGCAGGTCGGTCTCGCTACGGAAGCTCTTCAAGACAACGGAGCCTTCCAGTCGGCCTCGTAGGCTTTGCCATCTTCGCCGTCTTAGGGCCTCTGGCCGCTGCATGTCTCGTTATGGTCACGTTCTGCTACATGTTCATGGGGAATTGGACTGCCACACTGCGTTACAGCAGGAGGAGGTTCGAACGAATCGAAGGTCGGTAAAAGTTGGGGGGCGTATCACCGCGCCGCAGTATGACAGCGTTAGGCAACATCCAGTCCATCGTCGAAATGCCGCACCACGTCAGCCAATCTTTCCCCGTGATCTGGTCAGCTCACAGCTTGTGCTGCAGCCTTCCACCCGGCACATGCTGAATACTGGGAAGCATTCCACCAAAGCCTTCGTCTCGTACTCATTGCCCAAAGACTTGACGCGACGCTTCGCGAACGTAATTTCCAATGGCGACGCCAGCTGTAGTGATCCAACAAACGGATGGGATGCAATCTGGTGTATTCCTCTTTTTGGTTTTCATTGCTGCTGGCGTGTACTTGTGGATGTCGATGAAGACCAGGCAATCCTCAACCTCGCGATTACAGGCCAAAGCTGTACACAAGCGCTCCACTGCTACATTGCCGCCAGAGGCAGAGGAGGTTAGTCGACCCGACCGCTCCGTAGTACCCAACTAACGCCGCACAGAACCGTGTTCGACCGCCCCTCGACGTTCTCTACCCTAGGCCGGCCGACTATCCGAATGACGATGTTGAGGTTGAGTAAGTGTAAGAATGCAGCTTTGGGAACGTCGAACTAAGCATGGCAGCATCATCGCCGTGCACGGCCTCGGTTCGAACGTTGACTGGTCCTGGACTTGGAAAGGCGGCGGAGAGCGCATCGACTGGCTTCGAGACCCCGACATGCTGCCCGCCAAGGTACCCAAGTCGCGGATTATGGTGTACAACTACGAGTCGCGGTGGCATGTGGACGCCCCGAAAACGCGCCTTCAGCTCTGCGGCGAGGAGTTCATACACGCTTTGCACTTATTTCGCCGCGGCACCTCCAAGCGCCCAGTTGTCTTGGTCGGCCATAGCCTAGGTGGAAATGTCATCATCCATGTGAGCCCATATGATCGTCCGTGCTATGTGCCTAGCTGACTGCGATATTGAGGCCCTTTTATATGCTAGCGACAGGGTAGAGTATAGGTACTTGTCAGAGGCGACGGCAGGCGTTGTGCTGTTAGGCTCACCTCTTCGGGGCACGAAGTGGCAACCCTTCCTCGACTCTCTCGCGCAGCTGATGGGATCGACAGGGTCGCACCGCGGGATCACCAAAGAACTCGGCTTCGACGGGCCTGAGCTGCAGGATAGACTGCATCGCTTCTGCCGGCTTCGAAACACCCTGTCAACGCCCGTCTCCTGTTTCTTCGAACTCTTCGAAACGGACTATGGGCGCAGGTTTGGACTGAGCGGGGTGGCAAGGGGAATGGTATGCAATGCCCGGCTAACCTCAAGAGCCTAATCTCACATCTTTAGATCGTGGAAGAGGCGTCTGCTTGCATCCCAGGCCTCGACAGATACGCCCTTCAAGCGGATCACTTGAAGATCAATAAGTACCGTGGTCCAACAGACCGCGGATTCTTGAGCGTGTCAGGGGTGATCGTCGAGATGTGCGCCAACGCGAACGACGTCGTCACGCGTCGGCAAGATCGTGAGTGTTCCCGCTCCTGGCCTTATTATTTCTTCTAATCATTTCCTAGCAACGGATGTTATTACTGACAATTCTTGTAAACCCCCCCTCCCCCCCTTTCATTTGTGATCACCGAGCACAACTGACAGGCTGCCAAGATGCACTGAAGCAGAAACCCGATGCTGGTGCCTGTCTACGTGATCTCTTCTTGACCGACCCGCTGGATGACCGAAAGGCACTGAAACGCAAGAAGGGAAACCGTGCTTCCGGCACCTGCGAGTGGATCCTCGGCACCGAAGAGCTCACTACCTGGCTTGGTTCCGATCAGACAGGCCGTTCGGAGGCTCCGTCGACTCAGGTTCTTTGGCTTCATGGGAACCCAGGAACAGGAAAGTCCACCACAGCCATCTTTCTTACTGAGGAATTATCGAAAGCATTTACTACTACCGTTCGGAAAACGTTAGCATACTTTTTTTGCGACTCTGGGTTCGATACGCGAAAAACGGCCACGTCAGTCGTAAGGGGGCTTCTCCTCCAACTCGTCCAGCAGCACCCACAACTCCTCGACTATGTTTTACCAAAGTATAACGAGCGTGGGGTGGCGTTGTTCACCTCATTCGACGCGCTTTGGACAATCTTTATGAATGTGGCGGCGGACGAACACACCGGTGCAAAATACTGCGTTATTGATGCGCTGGATGAGTGCGATCGGGAGTCTCAAGTCACCCTGCTGCAACAGCTTAGAGAAACGTTTCAGAGCCAGCATGTGCCACCCAACGTCTTTGTACTGGTCACCAGTCGGCCGTATCCTGAGATACGCCAACATATGGGAGGGTTTATCAACAAGAACTTAGCTTCCTACCCAGAGGCAAAGCAAGACATTAAACAATGCATCGAGGAAAGAACGAGAGACCTGGCTACAACCAAAAACTACACCGACAAAGTCCGAACACAGGTCAGCAATATTTTGACAGAGAAAGCTGACGGTACTTTCCTTTGGGTTGGCTTAGCCTGTAAAGAGCTTAAGGATGTCCCTTCAAAGGATGCCGTCCGAGTGCTGGAAAGTATACCCAGAGGACTTACCTACCTATACAAGAGGCTTCTTGACACAGCTCTAGAACAGAACACCGGAGCCGCCGGACTTCGGCGTATCCTGAATTGTGTTGCAGTTTGTGTACGGCCATTGAGTGTACTAGAGCTCTCTGAAGCTTGCGAACTTCACTTGGACGAGGACGACGAGCAGACCCGGATTCAGTTTACCCGAGATCAAATTGACTCCTGTCGGCTTATAGTAGTCATTCAGGAAGAAAAGGTACTTTTACTACATCAGTCGGTAAAGGACTTTCTGACTGGGCCCGAAGCCGGCCATTTCATCAACGAGCTTAGGGCACACGCTGGTCTTGCTTACCGCTGCGTGGATCTGATCAAGGAGTCATATGATGCAAAAGGTGCGAATAGCCCCCTCTGTGGATACGCAATTGAACAATGGCCAAATCATGGACGCATGGCAAAGTCAGAATTTGGTGTCAAAGAATCACAGGCAGGGTTCTTCAAAGTTAGGTCCAACTATCTTCGGAGTTGGCTCAAAGACTATTCTGCACGCTTTCCCTTCGAAGGAATTACAGCACGAACTTCGGTCCTACACGTGGCTGCGAAGTGGGGGATTCCAGCTCTAGCGGAATATGTCTTTCAGTCAGATAAAGAAGGTTTCGACGCAGACAAGATGACCGAACTGATTGATCATAAGGATTCAAACGATAAGACACCAATGGAGGAAGCTGCTGGATCAAGGTATCTAGGGATTTTGCCTTTGCTTCTAGATCTTGAAGGGAAAGTATCACCGCAAGTTATAGTGGCCGCAGCAAGAAACTATTGGAACGGTAAGGAAGTCATGACACTATTTCTCGACCGACGAGGCGACCAGATCACCATCACCGAGGGAGTGGTAAGGGCTGCAGCAGGAAACAATCAGAATGGCGAGGAAGTCATGACACTACTTCTCGACCGGCGAGGCGACCAGATCACCATCACCGAGGAAGTAGTATCTATTATCGCCGGAACGTTCAACAAAGAAATCATGACGCTACTTCTCGACCGGCGAGGCGACCAGATCGCCATCACCGAGCAAGTGGTAAGGGCCGCAGCAGGAAACAATCGGAATGGCAAGGGTATCATGACACTACTTCTCGACCGGCGAGGCGATCAGATCACCATCACCGAGGGAGTGGTAAGGGCTGCAGCAGGGAACGAAGAGAACGGCAAGGAAGTCATGACACTACTTCTCGATCGGCGAGGCGACCAGATCACCATCACCGAGGAAGTAGTATCTATTATCGCCGGAACGTTCAACAAAGAAATCATGACACTACTTCTCGACCGACGAGGAGACCAGATCATTGTCACCGAGGAAGTGGTAAAGGCTGCAGCAGGAAACAATCGGAATGGCAAGGAAGTCATGACACTACTTCTCGACCGGCGAGGCGACCAGATGACCATCACCGAGGAAGTAGTCTCTATTATCGCCAGAACGTTCAAGAAAGAAATCATGAAACTACTTCTCGACCGGCAAGGCGACCAGATCATTGTCACCGAGGGAGTGGTAAAGGCCGCAGCAGGAAACAATCGGAATGGCAAGGAAGTCATGACACTACTTCTCGACCGACGAGGCGACCAGATCACTATTACCGAGGAAGTGGTAAGGGCCGCAGCAGGCAACGAAGAGAACGGCAAGGAAGTCCTGACACTACTTCTCGACCAGCGAGGCGACCAGATCAGCATCACCGAGCAAGTGGTAAGGGCTGCAGCAGGAAACAATCGGAATGGCAAGGGTATCATGACACTACTTCTCGACCGGCGAGGCGACCAGATCACCATCACCGAGGAAGTGGTAAGGGCTGCAGCAGGAAACTGGGAGTGCGGCAAGGAAGTCATGACACTACTTCTCGATCGGCGAGGAGACCAGATCACCATCACCGAGGAAGTGGTAAGGGCTGCAGCAGGAAACTGGGAGTGCGGCAAGGAAGTCATGACACTACTTCTCGACCGGCGAGGCGACCAGATCACCATCACCGAGGAAGTGGTAAAGGCCACAGCAGGCAACGAAGAGAACGGCAAGGAAATCATGACACTACTTCTCGACCGGCGAGGCGACCAGATCACTATTACCGAGGGAGTGGTAAGGGCTGCAGCAGGAAACAATCGGAATGGCAAGGAAGTCATGACACTACTTCTCGACCGGCGAGGAGGCCAGATCACCATCACCGAGGAAGTGGTAAGGGCTGCAGCGAGAAATTGGAAGGATGGCGAAGAAGTTATGGGACTGATTGTCAATCGGCGAGGCGACGAGATCATTGTCTGATACATAGGACTAGACACATTTCTTGGTTACCGACTTGCCTTGGAGCTTGCCTACGATATTTCTGCATTTATATCTGATTTTCATCCTTATTCTCAATTTTAGAGCTACTGGGAACTACTCTTCTGCGTCCGCATCTTGTGTTGGCGCTGTGACGTGGTGGAGCACGGAATGTGCAAGCTCAGTGAAAGCGTGTGGGTGAGGACCGATCAAACGAGGCGTAGTAAAGAGTGGAGGGATTGAAATCATTGAATCGGGACTACGGGGGCCGCTCTCGCGTCTTTCAATTCTGGCTTCCGTGATCTCCATAACGGATGGACAGCACGATCGGTCAGATGCTGTTCGAAGCCACGGAAATAGGAGGTTGTCGACTTTCTGCCCCTAGTCATGCTTGAGGGTTCTTGCAGAGTCGTGGGATTGGTGGGGCCCAGTCGCTGAGCTTCACGAGGGGCAGCTCATGGCGGCGGCGGCAGATGGGAGAGTGGTTATAGTGTCAGTGTATCCTCGAAGGTCTTGTAAATTGGGGCCAATGTGCCGTGCAAGCTGGGCTAAGTCGCTAGCGATCGTGGGTATGCCGTCTCGTGCGAACGTGTCTGGGGGGAAGGTAGGAACAGCGACTGAGAGTGCGCCTGTGGTGTTCTTTTGAGCGCTTCAGATGGCCGGGATCTTCGACAATCTGATTCCAAAACTCGGGCGGATACTGTCAAGACTTGAGATCCTCGGACGCCGGCCTGGGTCTCTTGACCTGACGGCCGTCTCGAAAAGGCTTGTCGGTACACGGCCTCTTTCGGCCGTTGATGGAGCCATTTTGTTACGAGTGCTCGTCGGAGCGACGCCTCTTTCGATCTTGTGGACTAGCCATGAATGACCGCCTATCGGGAGTCCAGTTTGGAACGGGATTACAGTGGTGATATCCAGGTCGCAAAGAAGGGTCACTACGTGGTGCCTATTGGAATTATTATGTGAAGGATGCACCACTGATTTCCTTAGCCAATTATTAGCCCCTAGATTCATGCAGCAGCCTTCTATTGGTCACACAGCCCTGGCCTTCCTGCGGCCTGGGCCTGGCTCCTCTCCAATCGGGGAAGCAGGCCGATAAGAGGCGGTTTGCAGAACCTTGCCATATGGTCAGCTGCAATGTTGAAGGCCTGAGCGCTTGGGCATCAAGCCTGCGCTTCGCCAGACGTTTTTGATTCGGAGGGACTGGACCTGACTGTAGCTGCGGGGAACTTTGAATCGGTACAATGATACCCCTGGGGTGTGCTTTGCGAAACCAACGGCAGCCTGGCGCTTATGGTCGATCGCCCACCGTCTAAGACGGAAGGAGTCGGGTGTTCTATGTGCCGTCTCATTTGTAACGAGGAGCGACGACCTCCAGTCCAGGTTGTCAAAACCATCACGACAAAAGCGGTATGCGCTCCATCTAGAAGCTACCAGTGAGGGCCGGATTAGTAGTTGAGTCGGTGACGATCAGCGAATACCTGGTGTTGTATGTTTTTTGGTGTTTGGTCCGGCTGGCGGTGCTGTGTGACATTATCGTCCCTAAATACTAGTACCTTGATCCGTATTTTGAAATTTTATATGGACTACAAATAAGACCGATTGGTCTTTTTGATAAATAAGAGAGCTATTGACTTCTGCCGTATATAACCCGCATTTGTGGTTCCACTTTTGTGTCACAACTTCTACTCCGGAGAGAAGGAGGTTCGCTACAGTGGACCCCATAGTAACCCGACAATTACCTGAGGTAACACCACCTTTGGTTCTGTTCCTCGTTCGTTACCACCGATTCCATGAAGAGGATCCTGATGGCGACAAAAGAGTCCCGTTGAAGGTCAGGTCCAATTGATTCTTCTTTACAAGAATTGATCACCTGTCATTGCTTAAGAGGTAACGCTCAAAGTTGAGGATGCCGCGCTGATCTAGCACAACAAGAGTGCATCGCGGATCTCAAATATATCAAATCTAGGACTGAACAGATTCTAGCTCTGCCGCACTTTCTAATTGCTTCCAAGAACCATTTTCTTCCTTGTCGTGATAATGATGGTGATGGTGGTGGTAGTGATGGTGATAATGATGGTGGTGGTGTAGCACAACCTGCTGTGGCGGTCCTGAATTTACAGGCGAATTCGCCGGCAGACTTTGTAGGTTAAAATCAGCGAAGGTGCTAAGGGGCTGGATTGGCGACAATCTTGAACAGACTAAATCTGGTGGCACGACTGGTGTCTCTGAAGTGGCATCCGGGGTCTGGAATGATCCTCCGGAGTGGCATACCGTCGAGAATTTAGTTATTTTCGGTACCTCGATGTCAGGCCTGGTCGATCTCGGTGCTTTTGAGGTGCCATCGGACCTGTCTGAGGTGAATTCGTTGTAAGAATGCTGTAGCGGCTCGGATATGTGGCCAAGATCTAAGCACGGTGAGATAGTTGTTGAACTCAGGGGCTGGTCTAGAATGGAGTCGTATGATGTTGGATCATCCATGAAGCGAAAGTCGTCCACATCTAGTCCGGTGCCGTGTATTCCCACCACAGATGTAGCTAAATCACTGGCATCGATGATGTTGCTGATGCCAGCATTACCTCCAGCTGCTACGAGCAGCGAGGTCAAGGAGAGTGCGGGGCTGTCAGTTGGTGGAGCATTGCTGCTATTTGATGTATTACTCGGGTTTGACGGAGATGCTTCTGTGATAGTGGATCTCTTTGATGTCTTCGATAACGCTCGCCATCTGTTACGACAGGTGAGAGGTGGTCGGCCTGGTAGCTTTGCTGATATCGCAGACCATCGGTGACCAAGTGACCGAACACCCTCTCTGAGAGCTTTGTCCTCTTGTGGAGACCAATCACTAAGGCGGTCCTTGACTTTAGGGCTCAGGATATCCATGTATCTCTTCGAACATTGGTCATCCTTCCTTCCAGGTATCAGGAGGGCTACATTGAAATAAGTGTCAGTATGAACGTAGACAAGGACGGTAGAAGAATCTAGCTTACCGATATCGTGCCATGCAGGACCCATGCGAGCATAAGCCGACAGGAGAATGAGATCCTCTTGTGCTGTCCATCGACCCTTTTTGAGAGATGGATCAAGAGAATGAAACCATCGCTTTCGACAATCCTTGTAGTCTGTCAGATATGAAGCTATTTTGCCTTTGGAGAACGGGGTGTTTCCAACCTTGGCGGTGCGGTCTTGGAGCGCAGCGGCGATATCCTTCCAATACCCCTGGGGACCTCGTGCATCTCCGTAGCGGGCGACTAGGGTCTTCAGAGTTGCATCTTCCTCAGGGGTCCATATCTTTCGCGGCCGTGTTAAAGCGTTGGCACGCGGCGAGCATGGCGACGAGTCTTCTACCGACATGAGAATGACGAACGAACTTTATCTTATTGTCGGTAGCAACAGCTCCTTGTGACAAGACGACTCGCCTCGAGACTAATGACAGTGATGTTCCGCGTACAAGCCTGCTTCGAGTACAAGGTGGAAGAAGGACATTTCTGCGCATTCATCGCCGTCCTCATTCGTGACCTTTCCCTTTGCTCCCCGCAAAGTTTGTGCATGGTTAGGCCGCCCAGTTTCCCCGCATTCGGGGTGGGGTTTAGTGCAGCCGGGCCGGAAGCTTCTGACCCGGCCCGGGTCATGGCATTAGCTACCGAGCTGCGGGTCCGTATATCTTTAACTCGGGTGACGGCACGGGTGGCTCTGCGCCGCTATTCGAGTCCTCGAGTGTCGAAGCAAATTGTAAACAATACATGGGCATATATTGGCATATTTTCTTCGTTCAGCTAAACTGGGCTGGGCACACAATGGCTGGGCACACAATGGCTGGGCTGGGGTAGAGTAGGGAAGAGTATGTTACCCTTCAAACTGTAGTGAGTAATACATCCTTCAAGTACCTGTTAAATACATGCGTCGAGACGTGGTCTTCGGCCTAACGCGTCCTTTCTAAGGAGACATCTACACGCAATAAGAACGAGGCGTTCAACCGGAGTTCCCAATGCGAGCACTCTGTTAAACGTGGGGAGCGTCTAGGTGAGGCGTCCTGATGAGACACCGCCCCATCCGCTGATTCAGCTTCTACATCGGGAGGCCTAGCGGTTGGGAAAGCGTCGCTCCTGTGGCTGAACCGAATGAGAACCGTGAGTGGCAACCTTTAGCAGGAAAAACGAGGTCCTTGAAGTCAAGTCTAATATGTTACACAATGCAGCCAGTTCCGGTGGTGCGGATCAAATGCCTCTCATTCAGGTCGGGAAAGTATTCCGGCTGTTGAGTGCACTCTCAGGCATGTTGCGCGGCCAGGAGTAATTAAATGCTTGGCATAATCGAGCCTAGTTGCCTGGAGCCTGGAAACTTGTAAAGATGCTATGGGCTGCCAACTCTCTGCTCGGGGGAAACTGACCATGAGATGTTTGTGCGTCATGAGTCTTACGCCAAGTGCGCGGCACAAGGTGGACAGCCTGCTTGAGCCACGATGTATCATGCCGATCTGGAGGTACATGCATACGCCCTGTTCTAGCCTGAAGTACTGCCTACAAACTGCATCGCTCCAGTTTGCCTTAATGACAGTTACGTACCTGCAGATGCTGAGGTGGAGTTCCTACGATGGTGTGAGAACCAATGATGAGGTGTCGAGAGTTTCTTTGGCGGTTGCAGGGGGTCTTAACCTAACCGCATCTGACGGATGTGCCTTACGAGGAGTGCCGCCTTGCTGGGATGCTGCGGAATAGTGGGTGTCTGTTGGTGCGAGTGGGTGTATGATTATGACTTCCTCTCAGTCTGAGCCCGTAGAGACTCGAGAGCCAACATTAAGAGAAGCAATTTGCTGTGTCTGACACTGTTCATCCTCAGTACTTAAGTCCTCGAAGGCCCTCCGTGTTTGGGCTCAAGTATTACGTGCGTTCAACTTCCCGAACTCATCTTAATGACTCCCGTCGAAGATTGCCTGCAACTGAATCTTAATTTTACAATTTCGCAATGGGGACCAGTAGCTTTGTCTTCAAGCATGTCTTCTCGCTTTTATTGAATATTCTCTTCCAACTCTACCAGGCTTTCTACATGTACATGCCGTGGAACGAGTCCTCAATATCTAAGAACAACAACGGCACGAGCTTCACAAACTCCTTCACCGATATTGAAATAGCAAAGGCTGTCTTCGATACAGCTTATGGGACTGTGCTGAGGCAAGAGGCGAAGGACATCCAATGGTTTGACCTCTACAGATATGCCAGTTTGCGGGATGTGATTATAGTAAGCCTGTCCCGCTGACCACACCTTAACCAAAAGAAAACCTGAAAATGAGATGCCGACTTTGCCTGTCTATCTCGTGACTGACCATCAACCTTTTAGATTCGGTTGCAAGAGTCTGGATGGGAAGACGTCGGTGACAAGTTGCAGGTGGCATTTGATAGGTTCCATGATGAGACGGAGCCCCTCAACCAGACACAAGTAACATGGGCAAGAATCGTCGAGGCAACCAATTTTCCTTATGTTACGTCGAAGTTCGAGCCATTTCTTGAGGCATCGTTGGAGACAGAAGAGGAGCAGAACCATGCTCGGAAAGTCCTGTGCAAGATCTTTGGCGTTCGGGGCACTCTGAAATCGAAGCAAGACACCAAAAAGGTGCATGAGACCAGGCTGGCCGTGATCCAGAACGCTGAGGTAAGTCGTTTTTCAAGGAGTGTCTTTTGTGTATCGAGCTCAAACGCTGACCGAGGTGCATGGTAAAGGCTGCCTGGCTCAATACAGACCGCGAGACTCTGATCAATTTCGTCAGTAGATTGGCGGCTCTCACAGACGATGAAGACGGGGATAAAAGATGGGCGGACTTGCATGAGATGGTGGGGGCGGATCTGGCCTTGAAAGAGGCGCTTGTTGACCATCGTCGTGCGGTAAAAGACGAGCTGTGACACATCTGATCGCCCTCCTTATACCCATCGTCCCATCTCTGAGCTTAGATGCCGGATTCGCAAGTCCCCGAGATCGACCTGAATGCCGGCTAATGCCGAATGGGGATAAGCAGAATATACTGAGTAGAATGCCGCAACTGTATCGCCTCACACGCGATGTCATTTGCCCTGACACTGCTTCCCAGATCATTTGGCACGTTGGCCCATTGTGTGACGCAGTTTAGCACAAAGAATATCGGGTCGTCCATGTATACGGGCTGGTTCAATGCGGAGTTGGCATGATTGATGACTCTACGCGGTGACAATACGGTCGCAGACGGTGGATGAAAATTATGTAGTATAAAAGGCTACTAGAGAGGTAAGGTAGACCCAAAGAATATTCTTTCGTAATATTGCAAAATGACATGACCTGGCGAAGTGCCGTTTTCCCTCGATAATCCGGTAGTTGAAGAAGCAGAATCTTAAGTCGTAACATAATGGTTGTAGTCGCTGATCACAACCGGCCCGCCTGCCAGTAAATTGGCTAGTTGGGGGGAATCTACCACATCATCACACTCGCAAGAAGGAATCCAATAACGAATGCCGCCCTCGAGTTGCCTCCGAGTCTAGGCGCAGCGTTCTCGTCCGTCTCGACAGCCACACCGGCGCTGTTGGTCTTTGTTGACCCGGATGAGCCTGAGGTAGAGGCGCCCGGTGTGTAGTCTGCTGCGATACCGTCGATGGGGTGGGCGTAGGCCTGTGCGGGGGTTGTTGTCGCGACCCAGGCGATGGTGGTAGAGAGCTCCTCGGGGTTGTAGACGGTGACGGTGGCGGTTTGGCTGAGGTCGAAGTTGCTGTAACATGTGCCGCCGTAAGCCGGGCGATCAGCATCGGCGGTCTTGGAGGGTGCGGCAAATGTGAAGCCGCTGTTTGTCAAATTAGTATTTTGAACATAATCTTGGCTATTCTTGTCTCGAATTGTAGGGTTGCAGGAACTCACGAAGCGCAGCAGGCAATGTATCCGCTCGACCAGGTGCTGCTCTCTGTGCTGTAACCGCTTGGGCAGACGAGAGGGCTCATGTAGGGTGCGATAGAGCTGGATGCGGAGAGGGCGGATGAGTAGCCGTTGACCCATTGCGTGGGATGGCAAGATGCGAGGGTCGAGTTGGGCAGAGGTACGGGCTCGTTAATCCAGATCTTCTCGAGGGCGCCGACCAACATGGTCAAGTGGTTCTCGTGGCATTCTGCGGGCGGCGTAAAGGTCGTCGTGAGTGCCACCGTCGCGACGGGCACGGGGGTGCCGGTCGGTGCGGTGGTGACGGCAGGGGCGGCTACTTCGGCGGTTCGGACGGCCATTATGACGGACTTGAGATGTATTTACAGGTAGGTATAGCTGTAAATTCGGAATAAAGAGCGGACGTTGAATAACGATTATGATAATCAACTGGATCGTTGTTTGCTGATCTTAAACTTTACGAATAAGTCTAAGTTAAAAGAGTGGAAGGGGTGGGATAGTTGTTGATCAAAAGAATGTGGTGGCCGGAAACTCGCAAAGAAGATACTACGCGCGCAACGGGGAAGGGAAGAGAGAAACGGAGGCAAATGGACCACTGGCGCAATGGTAAACACCCAGGAGTTTTATCGAAATTCTCGATGGGACTGCACAATGCAACCTCCCACGCGGCAAGTGGGTTCGCATGGCAAACAAATCAGGAGTTTTTGACGAAATTCTTGGTTGCCAAACTGCGACCCTCCACCCGGCCCAAGTGGGTTCAAGAAAGGGGCGCAGACTTGTCCGGCCGGCCCAGGCCAGACCTCTCGCTGCTCACAGTCACTTTCTCTCTATCTCTCTTCTCGCTTCGAGGACTCGAGTCGCCACTAAAGCAGGCATGCCGCCGAGAGGTGCATTTGGCACCCTCCAGTCACCGCTGTTGGGGAACACAAAGAAAATGCATGTGGATTCTCGTGTTCGTTGGTTTCTATCTTTACCTACATGTACCTACCTCAGACTAGCTAAGGCACCGTCCTCACCGGGCCGCCATTTGCTTTTTGTAGCGCTCTGAACTGAGACACAACCGTTGAGTTAACCCGTTGTTGAAAAGCCTTGGAAGTTGGGAACGACTCGAAGCGGACAATTGAAGACACCGCGCTCTGTTTTGTAATTTAGCTCGCTCGGTTTGGCTAAAGGTCCGATTCATTTCAGCCGTCACGTCACAAACAGTGGAGACTTTTGTCCCGGAGGCCCGCTGCTTTTTCCCCCGGTGAGAGCTCCCACGCACACCGCGGACTAGATTGTCGGATCTACACAATCCTCCCGTGACTCTTCTCGGCACTAAAGCTTGCACTGCCGCGAGCCCGTTCTCGCTGCTGGCTGTTGCTTGGTTTCAGACGGAATGATTGGTAGGTTGCGAGGGCATTGACCTCCTCTTTTTCGCGTGAGGCTCTATCGTCCAACGGTTCATCTTGAGTGAACCTGGTTTTATGGGGGAGAAGCGGGGAGCAAATCTGCCAGGTACCCACTGGACTCGTGGCTCTTGTCGTGTGCAAACAATGTGAAGTTGGGAAGTTCTGCCCCGTCACTTCTCGAGGGCATGATGCTCATGAGTATAGTCTTGGTCAAGACTCCATCTTCCCGTCTTGAGAGGACTCGATGCCGAGGCGCGGAAGAGCTGTTTCTAGGCACGATGCAAGATGCAACGCCTTGGAAAAGCTTCTTTTGGATGATACTCCACAATCAACGGGTGGGAGCTTGAGAATCTCACTTGCCTTTGCCAAGACGACAATCTGAGAAAGGGGGAAGTAGTGTTACGTAACACATCTTTAGTGCCAAGCTTGCGGGTAACGTGACTTGGTGCTGCTGAAATCGCATTAACGGTGACATAACGATCAAGATCTCGTTAGCCAACGGCATGCACAGAACAGCCGTCGTATCAGCGCGCTCATTAATATGATCTGGTTTGCTCGGAAAAGTCCACATACATCTGGCTACAGATGCCGGGAGATCGGCTGAAAATTTCTATCAAAAAGCAGTCAGCATCGATCGCACTAATACCGCACCGTTCAGCCAAAATATCCACCCTGCCAGGGGCTCCGAAGAATCTTTGTGTGGTCTAGTGCAGGAACTAGCGAGTTAGTGGATCTACTAAGCAAGCCACCCGGGAAGGAAGAGACGAAAAATTCCAGTTGGTGACGTTGATCGATCTACTAGATCTTGGTGGCTTCCCGACTCCAGGATAATGACCGGTTTTTTTTTTTTTTTTTTTTTTTTTTTTTTTTTTCAGGTCAAAAGTTTCATCTATCAACGATGACCTAAGCAGCCCCCAAATGATGACTTCCAATGAGTACTTTACGGTGTGCTTCGACAGAGCCGGTATCTCTGTACCCTCAGCTGAGGTCAAGTGTATGCGAACAGCACAAGTCGCGTCAACTGTGCTGTCGCAACTGCTGTCGCAACAACTAAGTAGTGCACTGCAAGGTAACGTTTGTATTCGTAGGGTCCACTCCCAATACCGCTACAAGCGATCTTCCCCATCCAGTTTGTCCTCTTGACGTGGCCTAAAATCTGATGCCAACGGTTGCATTTGCTTACTGTACTTTTTGGCTCTCATTCTGAGAATGAGTTTACTTTTCTCTTCATTGTCAAAAAGATAGGATTTACTTCAGGGACATGGACGAATGACCTACGGCTGCGAGTGTTGGCTCAGCTGACCACGATCAACGCTGAAAAGCTCAAAAGCCACTGATATGTCTCGGAACCGAACAAGGACTCATTTTCCGTAAAAGTCAGTCTGCATTGACATGGCCACCTAAGAGCCTGTAATCATGTACGATGAGGCTGAACAGGCCCGGTGTAATTATGGTGTAAATATGGAGGTCTCGCTGCCACGCCATTCTCAGTACATGTAAGTTGAGAAATCGAAATTTTGATTGAGGGACCCATTGCTTGCTACATCACTTGTGGCTCAATCGCGTACGTGTGTGCATGAAGTGAGTGTGAATCATTTCAGTAACTTGGCGGTTTTGTTTCAGAGCCGGATTCTAACAGATAGAAAGGTCGATTATTGATGCCTGAAATCGCCAACGTAGACTTCTTTTCAGTGAGTACACATAGTTTGTGTCGACAGATCAACAATGGGCTGAGCGCACATACAGAACAGTGGCCCGGCTAAGTATCTTAGTCAAGCTCCAAGTAAAATCGACGCTGCAGGGTAGTCAATCGCTGCGCATGCCTTTCTGGCTTAGTCAATCAAAGCAATCGTCCGGGAGTAGCTTCGTATCCATGACGAGATGGAGCACCCTCAACCAGGTGAAAGCGAGATGCGTGGAGAAATCGACGAGCAGAATAGCACGAATTAAAATAGCCCAATCAAATGAAGGCCCAGAGGCTTGGGTCACGGCGGACGGGAATATCGGTACCGGTTCCGATCAGTATTGCTGTACAATCCGGACCATCACCCTCCGTTGATCCACCGGAGCTCTGCCTGATGATCCTCCCGACCTTATAAAGACAGTCGATTCGCCTATCCGTCGTAACAAGGCAACATCACGGCCGGCGTGTCGCCGGCGTGGCAGTCTTGGCTTCTTGTCAGCTGGCCAAAAGCGTCTTGAACGGGAAACCCTCCGAAAAGGAGAGCGCAACTCGCGATGTCTACATCTGTTGGTCTAATGTGGGAAACCAACTCCTATATATACCCCTCCAGTTCATTCCTTTGTTTCTGTCCTATTGAATGATGCCTCATCAAGCCGAGCGCGTTTGAGCATATATTCATTCCTTCATTCAGCCATTCTCGATCCGGGAAGCTCCCAGCCCAAACTCACGATGAAGATCTTCATGCCTCTTCTCGCGGCCAGTCTGACCAGCGCCCACACCATATTTTCGTCCCTCGAGGTCGGCGGCACAAACCAGGGCGTCGGCAATGGCGTTCGCGTCCCCTCCTACAACGGCCCCATCGAAGATGTGACCTCCAGCTCTCTCGCATGCAACGGGGCCCCCAACCCCACGACGCCTACCTCAAAGGTCATCACCGTCCAGGCCGGGCAGAACGTCACCGCAATCTGGCGTTACATGCTCAGCTCCACCGGCTCTGCCCCCGCGGACGTCATGGACAGCAGTCACAAGGGTCCCACCATCGCATACCTGAAGAAGGTCAGCGACGCTACGACTGATACCGGTGTCGGAGATGGCTGGTTCAAGATCCAACAGGACGGTTACAGCGGCGGCGTTTGGGGGACCGAAAAGGTCATCAATGGCCAGGGACGCCACAGCATTAAGATTCCAGAGTGCATCGCTCCTGGCCAGTATCTCCTTCGCGCTGAGATGATTGCTCTGCACGGTGCTGGCAGCTACCCAGGTGCCCAGTTCTACATGGAATGTGCCCAAATCAATGTTGTTGGAGGCACTGGTACCAAGACTCCCTCGACCGTCAGCCTGCCTGGTGCATACAAGGTAAGTAGCTGCGGTTCTAAATCTTGAGTGTTCGACCAATTGGACATGATCACTGACTATTGTATGCAGGGAACGGACCCCGGAGTTACCATCAATATCTGTACGTCATTCATTTTTTTTTTTGTTTCCTTACCACTTCGCAAGTACACTTCCGCTGACCACGATGTTCTTTAGACTGGCCTCCGGTCGAGTCGTACACGATTCCCGGTCCTAGCCTGTTCACGTGCTAAATACCCAGCCAGGTAGCTTGAACAACAACTAGGCTTGGTTGACGGAGGCTATTCCCAGCTACCATTGGTGGTAACCAACAGTTTCCGAACGTTTCAATCAGAAATTCTGAAGCTGCTAGTCAATCTCTACATGCACCGTCGTGAGGTTATTGAAGAGAACATTGAAGAAAAGAACAGTGGGCTCAAATCTTTGCTCAGAATGCTTGCCATCGAATGCCGCATGCGCGTAGTGGACGTCCCTATTGCCGTTTAGGTACCTACTTAGGTTACTGCAAGGTATCGTGATCCGCAAGAATGCCATAGTCAAACCCATGCACAAATTTAGGAGTTCTGTTCGTTACCGTAGATACAATACAATATTGATATTTAGTATTGTCACTGTTTGTCTTCCAATTCTTTCTCGTCTTCAACGATTTATAACTAGCTCTGCTTTCCGTTACAACAACAGATGACCGGTAATCTCTTCGCAATTCGAACAATCCTCAACACCTCTTTCCTCCCCTACGTTTCGATATCACAATAGCCTTGAACGCTTCCACTGAACCTGGACCAACAGAAGCAGGTATTGCCTTCGATTCTAATCATCCAGGCGACATCTTGGGTGCTCAAACTTACCTTGAAGCTCACACTTACCAAGTAAGATTTTAATCAAAATTGCCTCAAATCTTGACACCGATTATGGATCTTCAGACATGTATCAGTTCAAAGTACTAGGTATCTAATCGCACATAGATTGGTACCAACTTCTGATTGACATTCAGATCCACGTTGCCATGAAGTTTGCGTGGAGAAGATACTGGATAAATGAGTCAGATCTGTATGCACATTGCTGGATTCATGTCCTCCTATAATGCTCCTGTTCGGATTGATTACATTTTTTCCAAAATTCAGCTGTCAGATGGTTGAAACCTACTTCCTCTATCGATATGCACATAGAAATTAAACACCATGCTCTCAGCTTTAGCCGCAAGTCACCAAAGCGTATCACGAGGATCAATGACGAACGGCAAACAGCCTGGCAACAATTCGCGGCCTTGATTTCATTACATGGAAGTATCTACGCAGCTACACCGACCCGGTCAAAGTCCGGCGCCCATGCACTTCCCACGCCCGAAATACTAATCGTGTTGGCACCACCGGCAGTGAACCCTGTCAACTCGACCGCATAGGCCTTGAAGACATCGGCGGACCAATTATAACCACTGAGAGGGAAGCTGACCGTCTGCGCCGCGCCTCCGTTGACACTGATGGACGCCAACCTCTCGTTGTTGCTGCCGCCTAGGTAGCCAACGTCGCCATTTATGTAGTCGAACAGGACGGTCTGCGTGCCAGCCTTAGAAGTCGAGACGTTGGAAAGGACAACACGGCCGTTGGAGGAGCCGCCGAGGTTGCCGACCTTGTTAGAAGATGTGCAACCAGAGCAAGATTGAAGGTTCGCGCCGGAAGAAAGCGAGCCGGTGGCAACGGAGACGTAGTTGTACTTCGCCCCGGCGGCGGTCGAGCGCTGGATGTTGGAGAGGCGAAGCGCAAGGGAGCCGTGTGCGTTAACTTGCGCAGAATAGCTGTTGACGTTGGTGACGGACTTGGACGTCCAGAGGTCCTTGACCGTGGCGGAGGTGATGCCGAGTTCGGCGAGCTGGACGGTCAGCGTGCGGGCGGCGTTGCTGAGATCCACGACGAGGACGGCGATTTCCCCGTTGGCGAGGTCACCGGCCCAGAGGTCCCGGTTTCCGGTCCAGCGCTGGACGAGCTTGATCGGCTTGACAGCGGAGTCTTGATTGATGGCGATCAGGTCCTTGTTCTGCAACACGGCGACGGCCTGGTCAGACAAAGCTGCCACGTTGGTAGAGATCATGAGAGCAGACTTGAGCATGGCCCAGGACGCAAAGTGGGTGGCCTGCTCGTCGAAAGTCATGCCGGTGTTGCCGACTTCGAGAAGGTCGGCATCGGCGATGTTGCCTGGTCCGACAATGCCGGACTTGACGATGTGAATGGCTTGGTTATAGATGCGGTAGACGTTGCCCCAGCCCGAGGCGATGTCGTCTGACAAGCGGAACGAAGTCGAGATGCCCTTCGTCCATTGCGCGGGCCCTTGCAGGCCGCTGGATGCCGAATAAGGGGTTCCCCATTGGCAAATCAGCATGCCCGGAATACCGACGCGCTGAAGTTCCTTCCACATAACGGTGAAGCGCGTGACAAAGTCAGTTCGCGGATCCTTGGGCGCATTCTGCGATCCGTTGGGACCATCGGCATAGCAGTTGTCATCTGAGAGCCAAGACAAGTCAGCGCATACGTATGGTATTGAGGCCAAAGTCGCCAAATATGTCCTGGTTACTTACACTTGAGATACTCCGTGTTGAGAGTCTTGAAAAAGTCGGCGTCGGCGGCTTCGCGACCGAGTGAACCCAGAACGGGACTCGGGACCTGCGGGTCGCACATGCGAACGCCGGCATCAGAGTACATGGTCCATTTCATGCCTTTGGACCTCGCGAGATCGCTCAGCGGCTTGAGACCCTGAGGGAACGCGGTGGCATCGACCTTCAACGCGCCCGATGTGGCATTCCGCTGGCCGTCTCTGGAGGCCCAGCCGCAGTCGATCTGGAAGTACTTGTAACCCGCGGTGACGAAACCCCGGTCGGCCAAAGAGTTGATGGCAGCTGTGATGCCAGCGTTGGTCGGGCTGCAGGAGACCTGGTTGTACGAGTTCCATCCCATGACGGGCGTTGACTGGAAAGACTGACTCGCGGCCAACGAGGCGCCCCCGAGGCCGAGGAGGAGGAAACTTGAGATGCCCATGATGGATGTGTGACAAGAGAATCAGATGCCCTCGCTTCAAAGTCGTGCAGAGCTCAATACTTGACGCGATTCGACACTGGACATTCCAATCGTCGCTTTAATACTTCTAGAGTCGCGAAGTCACAAATCTGGCGGCAACCCAACCGCACGATGATAGACTTGCGCGCCAATAAAGACGGTGGTGGCTAGGACGCTTCAAGTTAGCGACACCGGCAGACGGTCGCTTTTAAGAGAGGACCTGCCGCATGGGATCTGCAATGAAACATCGTATTCATGGCGTCGGCCGGGGCTCGGATCTGAAAATGGAATCATCATCTTTGGGGTGCATACAGTCTCTCCACGAGACCTACCCCAATCCGATTTAAGGTACCCGCTTCCCCACAGAATTGATGAAGCTTTTCTAGCGTCCTCTAGTCAGGGTTGAAGAGGCGTTAGTGTCGCCTGATGACGATCGACAGCAATCCTCGGGGCGTTGAGTCGCGAACAGTCGCGAACCCGCAGCAGAGGTCCAATTCCATGGTCGGTCGTAACCATACCGGCGCTTGTAAGGATTCAGCATCGTGTTGACGACGGGTAACGGCAACATGCACTACTGGGCCTTTCCTTGATGTGCCGCGGGCCGCAAACTAGCCCGGAGGGCAGCCCATGTTCCCCAGAAAGGACTATCAAGCCAAGGACCGGCAATGCCGACTCAGGTGTGATCTCCTTGACTACTCTGGTTCATCACTCCACAACCAATAACCTCATATCTTCCTTGACACAGTTCATGAAATCAGGAACTCGGTTGGGACGGATGTATGTCTCCCAGTTGAGACTCGATCATCCAGAGTAGAACAATGTTGAAAACAAGAGATGATACGTAACAGTTATTTGAACCGAGAAGAGGAATAAAACGAAGTCTGGAGAACATTGGCTGCACGGCTTAGTTGCCTCCAAGTGAGTATGTAGGTATCTAGTCTTTGAGGAACCCCCTCGCCCTATCCCCATGCATGATTACTTCAGCCGTCTTGGCTTAGGTATCCGACCCCTCAATTACCCCTCCTAGGCGAATATCCGAGCAACTCGCATTTGTCGCTCCCTGCCTGAGATTGTCTACTGACTATTACTTCTTAAGTGCGGTACTTGAACTCATCCTTTGAACGCGTCCCAATCATACACCATCCACCATGCCGCTGTACAAGCCACCCAATCCGAGCGCTCCTGTTCTCTCGCAGTTTTCGCTGAAGGGTAAGGTTGCCGCCGTCACGGGCGGCGCCCGAGGCATCGGCCTTGAGATCGTCCGGGGTCTAGCCGAAGCCGGCGCCGAAGTAGCTCTCATCTACGCCACCAGCAAAGATGCCATTGAAATCGCCAGTCAGATTGCCAAGGACACGGGTGTGAGCATTCGCGCTTACCAGAGCGACGTTCGGTCCCGGGCCTCAATCGCCGCCACGGTTGACCAGATTGTTCAAGACTTTGGGCATCTTGATGTCATGGTTGCCAACTCTGGCGTCTGCACTGATATCCCCAGCCTCGAGTATACCGAGGAGACATGGAAAGACAACAATAGTGTCAATCTTGATGGTGTCATGTGGACGGCGCAGGCTGCTGGGAAGGTCTTCAAGCAACAGGGGCGTGGCAATCTAATTGTTACTGCGTCGGTCAGTGCCACACTGGTCAACATTCCCCAGAAACAGGCTGCATACAACTCTTCGAAGGCTGCCGCTGTACACCTAGCGAAGAGCCTCGCGGTTGAATGGGTTGATTTTGCCAGAGTTAATTGCGTGTCTCCGGGCTTTATTGAGACGGAGAGTGAGTAGATGGCTTTTGATCGGCTTCATCTCGATCATTCACTGACTAGAAGCTAGTGTTGTATGTTCAACCGAAAGAGCGCTTCGACAAGTGGATGGAGATGATCCCCGGGAAGCGAATGGCAGAGACGTCTGAACTCAAAGGCGTAAGACACAAATCGTGGTGTTCGCATATTGATCTGGATCTTCGCTAACTGCTAGATATAGGTATACGTTTTCCTGGCAAGCGACGCATGCTGCTACATGACCGGTGCTGACATTATTGTTGATGGAGGATATACCCTGACATAGAAACTTAGAAGATAGCTTGAAATCAGTCCTTGGATCAAATACTAGACCTCGTTGTTCCGTCAAACAACTCGCTACATGTAGTCTCAGATAGCTTAGTGCTTTTCTCCTGAGAGAACTGCACTCTCACTAGTCTTAGTGGTCTCGGTTCCATGAGCAACGCGCTGAACATGTGCTTCTTGTCTATCAACGTATTTCTTGGGTCTTTTACTGGCAATCGCGTCCTTGTCTCCAATGACGATGAGAGGTGGGTCGTTACGATAGTACTCATCAAGGTCTTCGAGTGTTCGGTTCGCTGGAATGAGTGTTAGATGGATTTTCACCGGAGCACCTTGATGATTGGACTGAGCATCGTCTCTCACCTGTTTCGGGATAGAAGAGGTAGATGACAGGCAAGAACGCAGCGTTCAAGACTGTGAACACAATCCAGAACTTCCATCCCAGATCTTGTATGCCAATCGGCGTGATTTGAACGATAACATAGTTCGTCATCCTGGATCATGTCAGTCGATTCGAAATAGAACGATGGAGGACTCGCCGTACCAGTTGGTAGCCGTGGCGACTGCTGCACCTTTTGTTCGCATGGCAATCGAGTTGATCTCAGTTGGATAAAGCCAGGGAACGCCCAGCATGCCCAAACCAAAGGCCATAAAGTAGAGAAAGAAAAAGACAATGGATCCCTCTGAAGCGCTGCGGTTTCCTCCCGGCCCGCCGTATCTGAGAAGAATCGTGATAACGAGGAATGCTAAACCTTGACCGGCAGTGGACAGAAGCATTAGTCCTCGTCGTCCCCATCTTTCGACCAGTGTCACGGAGACACATGAGAAGATCAAATAGGTCAATGAGTTTACTGCGGTTAGAAGACGCGCCAGCTCATTTGAAAGGCCTACTGCAGAGATCAAAACGGCCGGCATGTAGTAACTCATGATGTTGATGCCTGCAAGCAAAGATATGTCAGAAACACTTTCCACATGGAGGTTCCTATTCAATTCTGGAATCCATCTTACCTTCAAATTGCTGCATGAATTGCGTGCCAGCCCCCAGGATGATTCTGCGTAGCGGTTTAGTCGCTCCAGGATCAGGTCGCAACAGATCTCTCCACCGGATATGATGTTCCCTTTCGTATTCGATGCTGAATCGTATTTCTTCCTTCTGAGAAATAACAAACGCATCATCTTCTGATTTCGCCTCAAGGCAGGCAAGAATCTGCGTCGCTTCCTCCTCCCTCCCGTGTGACATTAGCCACCGGGGCGATTCTGGTAGCCATGGGACAGTAGCGAACAGGGCGATGATGAAGACAAATTGGAAACCCAGGGGGAACCTCCATGCGACGGCACCACCTGCGTATGATAAGCCAAAGTTGATCCAGTTGCAGAGAGAGAACCCGACGATGTTCATCATCATCTCAAACATGACTAGCTTCCCGCGCCAGTGCGCGGGAGCTGTCTCGGTCTGCCAAATCGGGGCGGTGGCCGTGTTGACCCCGTTGCCGATTCTGTTACATTAATGTTAGGGCGATCTTGTATCGATTCGTAAGGCAGACCATTATCAGCTAGTTCTTACCCTAGGACGATGCGCCCGACAAACATTTGTGCCAAACTATAAGATGATGCCATCAAGATGGCCCCGATGCTCATTATCGCGGTACCAATGAGGATGGACTTCGTTCGACCCAATGATTCCCCAATTGTGAAGGCCAAAATCGCACCAACAAAGCAGCCAATATCGTATATCGCTGTGATCGTGGATAGCATACGAGTTTTCTCCGGCCCGACAAGATCGTGAAGCTCAAGGAAGTCGTCAGTCACGATGACACCGCTAAAGACTTTGCACTTGTCAGCAGTCGACTCAGATGGCGGTGGACACCTGTTAATACCAGCTTGGTCATATCCGAACATGAGCATGTCTACACTGCATGCGAATGTAATCCAGTAAGTGAGCCATTTCCCTTTGAGCCCAAAGTACGGCGGTTTAGCTATAGCTGTGGTCATCTCTATTGCATGTGGAGAGATTATCGAGAAAGAGTCAGCTTTCAAATGAGGTATGTGCTAATGTAATCGGTGGTAAAGATTTTTTGTAAAGATACTAATCCTTAGGATAGTCTAATACGGATCGAAAGTTGCGAAGGTAAGTCCGGGTATTAGAACAGATCCTCGGATTACCTGACCCGGGGGAGCGGCTGACAAGGGTGCAGGATGTGGTCCGATTTCCTCCCCGTGGGGTTATGAGATCTGCGTCACTGGAAGTCTGGAGCATCTGCCTGCATACATGATCGCGACTCCCTATTGGTGCCGGATAAATTGGTTTGGGGAGATCAGGGTAATCATTTCCTGGACTGCAAATTTACCAAACGATTAGCGGGATGGTTCGTTTCTGCGCAACATATGCCAAGCCCTCCCTTCCCATAATCTTCAAAGCCGAGTTACTCCATCAGGGAGAATGCTTAAGATGACGACGATGAAAGAGAGAATAATAAACGAGAGTTTTCCAGGAGGCATTGCCGTAGAAAAGTAGTATGTAAGGCTGATAAGCGACACGGTCAATGCCAACAATATTGAAATTCGAAATCGCTTATTGCCAAGGAGGAGGGGTACTTGATCTGCTAATCACCATGCAGGCAAGAGTGCTGCAAAGCTCCGGCAAGAAAGAACCAAGACCCAAGTTGGCTCGGGTTCTTTCGGAGTTTTTCATGCCTGGCATCACTTCTGGGAACTTGTCAATAGCGGTTCAACGTTCGATGAGGTCCACTTTGCTAGTTCTGTGTTGCTACACTGCTGTATCGCTGTGTTCATAGTCGGGCGTCCGTTGATCTTGCACTATGAGCAGTTTTCGAGGCTCAGACATTTCGAATGATACTGAGTGATCACTTCTTTCGTGTACCTAGGTCGTGAAGAGCGCTCTAAGAGAGTGTCGTTACATGTATATCTAGGGAAAGGTGTTGAGAACTTCTGTATTCGACCTTAGAGACAGTTGAGGCTAATTATAAAATCGTGACTCTACTCACGCTACCAATGCAAGGATGGGTTCAAACCCACAATTATCTCGCAAGTGTACGGAAAGGTAGCAAATAGGCATGCCGCCATCATAAGTCAATCACCATTCAACAAGGTGGTCAAGCATTGCACCATTTATGACTAGGGCAGTGGAATAAACCTTCCTGGTTGGTGAAGTTGAATTTGGCAGATACCTACATACTGACTCGCTCTTCTACCGGCCCGAACTTGAAGCGTGTTTACTTCTCCCAAGCACAATGCAAATCTCCTTGATCCTTACAAGTCATATTGGATGCCAAATGGGTTCTCCCAGGAAAACTACAAAGCGAAGGCCGTTGCCCGCACTGCCCATCCACATAAATGTATAGCCCATATGCTTATCCTCGTCCGCCAATACTAGGGGTAAGCCCCTAAGAACCCCGAGGCCCTTCGGGAGCCACTCTATGGCGCTGTACGGGCAGGCTCTGCATGCTGTTAGTCCATGGCTATCTATGTTATGAGCGGGCTGTATTTGCGGGTGTCTGACATAGAAGGTGTCTTCCAAAGGTATGAAAGGTGCCAAAAGCGTGGCTTCACCCAACCTTCGACCAAGGCAGTAGGAACTTGGGGGGTGTCTTTGATCTTTGATACTGGCGTTTAGCTTACGATTCCGTCCAACCGAAGAAAGGTTAACCCTCCTTCCTTTCCAGTCGCAACTGAAGTCTACCTTGCTTGGAAGGGGCGCTTCGCTATGAAAATCCAACTTCGCTAGCGACCGGAAGTCTTCACCACCCTAACCCTCTCTGCCACGACCACAGCAAACTTGCAGTAATTACGCGACATCTCCGTATCAAACATGGGGCCCGAACTGACCTCTAGCAATTTTCCGCCCTTACATCCGGCAGCTGGCGAAGCATCAGTTAATGTCTCTTTCGTAGTGGACAAGAAACCTCCTCCGGCAAACATCACTAGCCTCCCAAACGAGATCCACGACTTGATAACCTCGAATCTCTGTGAGCACTGCACAGGCGGCTCCCATGTCGCCAATCCAGACCGACCCAGCCATACCAATAGCGCCGACCTTTTTCAATCTCCGTCTCGTCGACACTCATTAGCGGGGCATTGTGACTCCGTGCTTTCACCGTTTTTGCGTTCCTCGTCTAGGAGCGCCCTTACTGGTGCGCACTCTGTTCGAACGTCTAGATCTAGCCAAGCACATAAAAGCAATTTCGTTGAGAGAAGAGAAGAGATTTGTGCCCGTTGATTGACCTTCCTTTACATGGTCTAGATACAATAGGAGGAAGTTTTCAGACCTCGCCTATTTTATCTGCTTTGATCTGAATTCGTCGGTAGACAGATCTCTGGAATGGTCCGATGAAGTTTGCCGCTTAGGGACGGGCTCGTGGGCACAATTGTTACACCTACAAACACCAAATTTGGAAGGGGTATCCATCTACAAGCAATCATATCTACCAATTGCCCTTCATGTCAAGATAAAATCGACCTTCTTGGCAATTCGTCGTAATATGGGCATTCCCACGATGCTCATCTGCGAGAGATCACCCCGCTTTCCTCACTATGCTGGGGCTATTCATCCAGAAAGATTCGACAATTCAATCCTTTCTCCTGCTGATAATATTTTCGACTTATATAATATCGCCTTCAGCTCCCTGTCGAGGCACTGCGGCGGCATTGAAGAGATTCAGCACGTTCAACACCTTCACACGGTTGATCACCACCTCGACAAGTGGCCTATGTTCACGCTAGCGCCTGGCCTCAAACGACTACGCCTTGGGCTCAGCTGCCTTAAGTACTGGGAAGAAGACTGGCCGCCTTATGCTATGCACAATATTAACACCAAAGGGGTTTGGAGAAATCTCGGCCGATGTAAGTCACTCGAAGTTTTGAGAATCGACTGTCCGAGTGAGCAGTTTCGTCCACCGCTAGGACGCGACGCCTCACGAGAGAGTGCCAGACTGGCATCGTCGCTGCCGTCCACCTTACGATGCCTGTCTCTTTCAGGCTGCCGAGACTGGTTCTTCGTCGTAGGTCTTCAAAGGCTGATCGACCGTATCATGAGCGGAGATCTTCCTCACTTTCGTTCATTACATACCATCGACAAATTCAAGGCGATAGAACCGAGCTCCGAGAAGCTCGTAGTGACAACAAAGGTTGAGGAGTTGGGAGTGGAGCTCAAGTTTTATGAGCAAGACGTAAGAAACAATGTGGATTTCGCAGGCGTAGAAGATGAAGGGTGGACATTGCATGACAATATTGGAGGGTCGCATGAATTTGTGGTCGCGGCCAAAAGAGTATCAACACGAGGCTCCGGGCCCAGAGAAACACTATCTTCTTTTGTTTGAATATTACCGTAGTCAAGAACAAAGTGTGATTTTCTAATACACGAGATTATCCCCCAATTCTTCCCAGAGATCACATCATCGCCAGACAGGAAGTGTGTCATTTACCAGGTGCCTCGTAGACTGATCTGTCGCGCAATCTTTACTCGCAACCTCTTCTCCTGCATTACTCCATCAGCCACACCTCTCCTGGATCAGGTTATTCTAGAAAGCAGCAAGACCCCCGAGTACAAGCATGCCAAGGGCACCCATAGAAGCCAAGGCAGGAGCAGCACCAGCCTGGGAAGCAGTGGTAGCCGTGGCAGCTGTGCCGCTAGCGCCAGCAGTCGGTGTGGCGGTGACCGAGATGGAGGCAGTCGCGTTGGAAGCCGCAGTAGACGCAGAAGTGGCAGCAGACGACAGAGAGGCGATGGCGGAAGAGACGACGACGGAGGCGGAGGCAGAGGCAGAGGCAGAGGCAGAGGCAGAGGCAGAATCGACGGGAGGGGCGGAAGCGCCACCGGTGACCTCGCGGCAGAACTTGCCAGCGGCGGGGAGGAGTTGACCTGTTGTCGAGGGGATGTGTTAGTGAAGGTGCCGAGACTCTCGCGTGAATGAGTGAAGACATGATGTAGATGGAGAGTGTTGGAAAGACGAGAGTCAAGTCGACATACCGATAGCAACGTCAGAGCCGCAGGCTTGAAGCACGCAGTTGACGCCGACGGTGTAGATGCTGCGGTAGTTGTCCGCCTCGCAGATGCAGGCAGAGTCGTCGATGCTGCTGCATTTTGTGCCGTCCTTTACGGCCTTGGTAAGGCACTCGATGGAGCACTTGGGGACGACGTCGGTGAACTTTTGTTGAGCTACGGCGAGGCCAGCGGTGGCGAGGAGGACGTAGGAGTACTTCATCTTGAAGGCTGTAGTCAAGAAACTTTTGGTGTATCAGACAATGCGAGAGGCAGACTTTTCGGTGATATGAACCAGTTACCAAGCAAAACTTAGACGATTTATTAGGCGCCGGAAAAGATTAAGACTCCATGCACGTCTAACTCACGACGCAGGTATATGACATATTTTATATGTATAAGCACGTTAAGGACCTTCCAAGTCCATGCATGTAGTGCCTTGAAGGGCTGGTCATGTTCCCGGAGAATGTGAGAGTCAGGCTTCTGCATGTGGCGTCCGCACGCGAGGCAAATAGACCCTCCCTCACTCCATCACCAAGCTTATTAGAATGAGGCGTTCGTGTTGAGTGATCCGATGGTGCATTCAAAGCCAGGGTCGGTTAGATGGTCCGGCCAACTTGACAAGGGGGTGTACAGCTATGCATTGTAGCCATGCCATATCAGGATGCTCGGTTAGAGCTCTCACACTTCATTCAGGTCGCGTCCAGGGTCTTTTTGACGGCGAGGTGGAGAGGGGGACGCTAGCTTCGCCGTTGGTGAGAGTGGTCATTGGTTAGTGGGGAGTGAAGAGATTGATAAAGGTTGGAGGGGAAGCATGGGGTAGGGACGGAAGAAAGTTATCTGATCCATCAGATAAGATTGGATGGCGTCGGCGTTCTCGGTAGGCCTAGTGGGCGAGTTTTCAGCTGTGACTCTGGTGTGCTCCAGTTACATCAAGCTAGTCCCAGTTCTTCATGGGTTCCCCTGCCCTTGCTCGGTAAGTGTTCCGATGAGTGAGCGCTTTTCCATCTTGTTGGTCATATTGGTGATGTTGGTCCATGGTAGGCATGGAACTTTTGCCCAGCCCGAGGATGAGTCCGGAAAGGCATGTGAAGGGTCCTCAACGTGGTCTCTTTGGCGTGTTCTTACGCCCTACTACATGATGCAGATTGTTGGTAAGGTGAAGTTACTCTGGTTCATCAAGTGTCAATTTGGCCGAGACTAACTCAGTGCCTGTTAAATGTCTTGCCCTCAGGACTGGATAAATCCTATCATGCTTTGCGTCGATGAATTGACGGGGTGAGCTTCAAGCAACTCGAAGTTTTGGTAACTGGAGAACATACGGCTACTTCGGCCCTCGGCGACGAACATGCCAGTAAAGCGGAGAATCGGCAGGGGTAACGATGTGAGCCGGGTTCATGAGCTTGACTGTTGATGTGACAAGGCCCAGTTGGCTCGGCCAGTCTGCTCTGATTCGGACGACAGCACGTGGATAATAAAGGGAAGCGCAATGCAGGGGACAAGGACGAACTTGGGCCTCATGCTGGTGAAGTTCGAACTCTTGGCTATGGATTTGCACTCTTAAGAAAGGTATGAGTGAGTCTACCTAAGCAGGTCTATTTGTTGTCGGAGTTTCCGATTGATGATCAATTAATTTCAAGAAGCCAAAACAAAGTCTTGAGCTCGGCTACTATGAGTGATTTCTTGTCTTGTGAGCAGTCATGCTCAGCCAATTGCCTACTTTCAGCCATCAACGGATGCGCAAGGAAGAGAAGAACCTTTCAGGAAGGGCTTAAGGTGTGGCTATGTGGCTGAATGTGGCTCAGAGTCATGTGGCTCACCATGCTGTGGCTGGCAAGATTCCAGCCACATGACGGAGTATCGTCCGGCGTTGCCTGATTCTTCCTCTCCGGACGATTCCGTCCCGTCGAGCCGGCGATTGGTGTGCCATTGCCGCGGTACGTACTCTCCCACTCCCGACAACCGGCCGATAACGCAATCGTTTGCAGCACACAGCAGCAATTGACCAAATGGAAGGCACATTGCGCAGAGTCACTCGCAACTGCAGTGGCAGAAGTCTGCAAGTGGGTCCAACGTCACGTTGGCCCGCAGACCTGGAACCCCGCCAAAGCAAAACCTGCCCCTCCATGGCCAATTTTTAAACCTCGCGTCTTCCCCTTCTGACTGTTTTTGTGAAGTTATCGCAGACCGACGTTGCGATCGCAGCAACCCATACTTTGGACAATTCGCTAAACAAGTTGCTTGTTGCTATACACACATTCTCTCTCTCGCACCATTCCAATCCATTCCGGACGCCATGGCTACGATTGATATCGTTCTCGGCGCCCAGTGGGGGTAAGCTGTCAACATTCTCGCGGCCCAAAATTGCTCTACCTTTTGCTCTACACACCCACACGCCAAATCACCATTTCCCACTTTTCTCTCTCTCCTTTGTCTATCCCATGTTGCGCACTTATCACAACCGTCAATATCCGGCCAGCAGAGCGATCTATGACAGGAAGGAACCTCCAGGGTGTACACGTATCAGTCGTGTATGCGTATGCTCTCGATGGATCGCGACATCACGACAAACATTCATCCCTGCTGTGCCATTGACGACCTGCCGCAGAACCATGGACTAACATATCGCGCGCCAATAGTGACGAGGGCAAGGGAAAGCTGGTCGATGTGTAAGCCATCCCCCATGCCCTCAATATCGCCGTCGGACTCCTCTTCTGACCTTCACGATATAGCCTCGGACAAGACGCGCAGATTTGCGCCAGAGCTCAGGTTGGGGTTTTTGTACCTTTTGGATAATCAATGGCATGCTGATGGCCCTAGGGCGGACACAATGGTAGGAGTCACTCCAACTCCTGAACCCATCGCGACGTAGTTTCTAACCCGACCTCCAACAGCTGGTCACACCGTCATCGTCGATGGCGTCAGCTACGACTTCCGTAAGTCTTGATCCCTTCGCAAAGCTCCTCTTAACCCCCGTCATGCTGATGACTACCCTCAACAGACCTTCTCCCCTCTGGTCTCCTGCACCAGAAGTGCATCAGCCTCATCGGATCCGGCGCTGTCGTCCACGTCCCGACATTTTTCAAAGAGATGGCCGACCTCGAGGCCAAGGGTCTGAAGAACATCCGCGACCGCCTCCTGGTGTCCGACCGCTGTCACATCATCACCGACTGTCACATCCAGGTCGATGGATTGGAGGAGCAGGAGTTGGGTGGCAACAGCATCGGCACCACCAAGCGTGGTATCGGCCCGACCTACAGCACCATGGCCGCCCGCAACGGTATTACCATCAGCGAGATGTTCGACGAGGAGCTCTTTGAGCACAAGCTTCGCCAGCTCGCTCAGGGCTTCAAGAAGCGCTTCGGTGATCTTCTCGTCTACGATGTTGAGGACGAGATCAAGCGCTTCAAGCAATACAGGGAGGATCTTCGCGTAGGTTTCTTTTGCAATGACAAGACGTTTTTCTGGTGACTAACACGCCTTGGCAGACGTTTGTTGTCGATGCCGTTCCCATCATTGCCGACGCCCAGAAGAACGGTAACAAGATCCTCGTTGAGGGTGCCCAGGCTGTCATGCTTGACTTGAGTACGTGAACAAAATAGAAGATTTCTAGACGCCTTGCTGATCTTGACAGACTTCGGTACTTACCCCTACGTCACATCATCAAACACTGGTCTCGGCGGTGTCTTCACTGGTGTAAGTTGAGGTGATCCCCGAATCAACATACTCATGTCCTGACACGTCAATAGCTCGGTCTCAACCCCAGAAAGATCAACAACGTCGTCGGTGTCGTCAAGTCCTACACCACCCGCGTCGGTGGCGGCGGTTTCCCCACGGAACTCCTCAACGAGACGGGTGAGAAGCTCCAAAAGATTGGCCACGAAATCGGTGTCTCCACCGGCCGCTCCCGCCGCTGCGGTTGGCTCGACCTGGTCGTCATCAAGTACTCGAACGACCTGAACCACTACACTGCTCTCAACCTCACCAAGCTCGACATCCTTGATACCTTCCCCACCATCAAGGTCGCTGTCGGCTATAAGAACAAGCACACGGGCGAGGACTTCGCCTCCTTCCCTGCCAACATCAGGGCCCTTGACGACGCTGAGGTCGTGTACGAGGAGCTCGAGGGCTGGAACACGCCCACGACTGGCGCCAAGACGTACTACGACCTGCCCAAGCAGGCTCGCGCGTACGTTGAGTTCATTGAGAAGTTTGTCGGTGTCAAGGTTGTCTGGATCGGCACTGGCCCCAAGAGAGAGGACCTCATCTTCCGTGGATACTAGATGCGGGTTTCTATGTGCTTTAGGCGGGAAATGTACCCAAACGAGGGTTATATATCACAAAAGATGAGACATTGAGTCTCCATGGAATTATCGATAGAACTTCGATTTGCACCTGAAAACAATAGATCGCACACAAGACCACAATCTTCGAGACTTGCGCCTACTCTACAAAGCTTCTGTTCATAACTCTTCCAATCTCCAATGTCGATTTCTGGCCAGCGGGTCCGAAGGCGGGTCCGAAGACTCAATGGTGCAATTCATTCATTTCACCCAAGCAAGACAAGAACTAAAATGGAACAGTGACTCACATTGTGTCTGCACTCAACCGCACTTTGATCAATTTACAATGTCATCGTCACAACCCCACCCCCAAACCTGCCAAACTACCAGCGGGGCCGAGGAAATTCGGAACCCCAATCCCATATTCCTTCCCGACATCGGGAGGGGCTGAGGCATTTAGCCCGCCCCTCGGCCCCCTCCAACATTCCGCCGAATAAATCAGCTAGCAAAATTTTCACATTGACTCCAAATTGGGAGTTCGTCATTGGCCGTGCGCGAAAACATTACAGACCCCCATCTACTCGTCAAAGCAAGCTCAAGCTGTCCACCACCCGCCAACTCTGCAACGCAACTTGAATCGCAACCCCGAGTTTTCCGGACACAGACGAGCATCTGAGATGTTCACAACTGTCTGGCCGGTTGGCCCAATGGCAAGGCGTCTGACTACGATACACGGTGGCATCAGGAGATTGTGTGTTCGACCCCCATGCTGGTCAAAATCTTTTGCTGGATGACCTCTTGATTGTTTTGTGGACATAGGAAGTGCTCCCCTATTCTGGTTTGCACGTTGCCTTGTTGTATTTGACTCTTTTTATATTAGCTCCGAGCGAGTCTGCTGCCCCCTTTCCATTATTCATATCTAAACTCTTTCATACCTGTCACACTTTCCAACCCGCTATAGCCTATCTCCGTGTAAGTCATGGAGTTAGCTACCTTGGTCGTAGGCTACGGCAACCGGCTCAAGGCAGTTCTCTCGATAGCTAAATATCGACTACAGATTCAACTCATCATCTCTTCGTCGTCTCCACGTCTACTGAAAAATTACAAAACGTAATCGGTACATTTTCCGTCTCCTCGACTGAAGTCTGGGCAAAGACTCCCAAGATAGGACCGGTGAAGTCCCGGGCATCAAGATCTTTGACTGCAACGGTCCCGAGCTCTTCCCATGTGTAGCCAACAAGGTCAGGACTCTGCACTCCGGACACATCAACATCCTCTCTATGCAGTACAGCATAGAACTTCCACTCAGTCTCTGAGGCTTGGATCTTGAAGCTTATCTTCCGAGTCTCGTTTTCCAGTAGAAGGGAATTTGGGAAGACTCTACTAAGGCCAGTCGCAGAGTTGAACGCGTGACAGACGACAGCTTTAGCATCGGAATCGTACGCGATCGAGACATGGCGGACGCTGTCTCTGTACATTGCCAAACCTGCTTGAAGCCCCTGCGCTGATTTCATGTTGTTGTTCAGCTCAAGGCAGGCAATTGCCCAGTCAGTCAGAGACCGTTGCCTCCTGCCGAGAAAGGTGCAGGTTCCAGTAGGACTTGAAAATCCCAAACGGCTCGGCAAGAGTGTTACCCGGTGTTCATCATCCTCCGAGAGCCGATACTTGGAAAAGTCGGGATCTTTAATGAAGACGTTCTGTACGCCAGCGGGCGGGTTTCGGGCCGTTGAATCAACCGACGACAACTGAGCGTCTGTCAACTCCCTTTCAAACTCCATCTTGGGCTGATGTATCCTCGGCCACCCTCCCTGAGGCCACTCAACAGGCGCGAGAAAGCTCTCACGCCCCATAGCAGCGCACCCATCACCATCCCTCCTGATGCCGAGCACCGCAGCCCACCACGCTCCCCTCGCATCCTGGAAGAGCTCGCCGTGACCGATGTTCTGGATGTACTCATCCTTGCCATCGGCAGTCATGATCGGGTTCCCCCCAAAGCTCTCATAAGGTCCCCAGATATCTTTGGACCTCGCGATGGAAAGCATGTGGTGCTCAAAGGTCCCGCCTTCAGCGACGAGGAGGTAGTACCACACATCAACTTTATATACGTGCGGTCCTTCTGTGTCGTATCTCGCGTACCCACCCCAAATCTCTCGTTGCTCAGAGAGTTGCTTCCCGGTATGGACGTCAATTTCGACCTGTTTGATCGTGCAACTTGGCTGCTTTGAGCGGTCCATGACGAAGCAGCCCTGGAAGTATACACGATCGTCGTCATCGAAGAACAGACTCGGGTCAATGCCGTGGAAGTCCACGGATACAGGGTCACTCCACTTCCCGCTCCAGATGTCAGAGGTATGAATGATGAAGTTTTCCAGGTCGGAGGATCCATTTGAGGAGCCGCAGTTGGTGCAGACGATGTAGAATCTCCCGTGATGGTGACGGATTGTGGCGGCAAAGAGGCCGCCTGTTGCGATCATTGTGTGGCCTGTGTCTAGGGTGAAGGAGTTTGTGCCTGCGTTGGCGAGGGTGAGTTGCTCGGGGCGGTTGATTGCGTTTCCTGACGCGGCAAGTTAGCCAGAGTACCTTAGTTCTCTTGGTGTGGGCAACTGATTTCGTACCAATATGATCCCAGTTCTGCAAGTCGCGAGAAGAGTAGATGGGCAGGCCGGGAAAGATATGAAAAGATGAGGTGACGAGGAAGAAGGTCCCGTCGACCGTGACCACCGAGGGGTCCGGGGCAAAACCCGGGATGATGGGGTTTCGAAACTTTGGCTTGTTAAACATCTCGAATGACTTAGAAACCTGAGACGGGTTTGATTGTTCTCTGGCGTCCTGATGATCAATTCTCCCGGGTTGCCCTTCACTTATAAGCTAACCGAGCAGAACGGGGCATTCTATCCGTCCCCCCGCACCGGAACCCGGAGCTCGTGCCGATAAGTCATGACCCACTTGGGCAATTCGCCGCGGAGAATTGGGCATATCGTGCAATCTCCCGGCTGATGCAGCTCTCTAGAGACGTCTGCTCCTCGAGCTTCTATGAGTTAGTATTTCTAACATGATTGTTTTCAGGAAAATGGCTGTGTCATCTTGTTCTAGGATAACGAATCGACAGCGATCAGACATTAATCCGGAAAGTTATTCGTTACGATTAGCTTGTCTCGTCGCCTATGCCATGACACGGTAGACCTGATACTCATCACCAACGCTCACCGGCAGAACATTAAAGGTCGCATAAGAGTCGATCCCTTCGGGTTCAAGCGTCACAAACGCATGCGCCGCATTCTTCTGCCTAGTACTGACCCAGAACCCCCCAGCTGGAATCCGAACCTGCTTGACGACAGTCTCAGTCGTCAGAGTCGTGCGAGCAATCCCTTCATACTTTGAACGCGCGACTTCGGCACTTGTGATGTTGAACGCTTCCACCTCGCCTTGAAAATCAGACTGCAACGTCTGTACTTCCACGCCAGTGACGCGCAGGCGTTCAGCAACATCAGCCCACGCGCGCGAGAAGACGTAGGCCTCTGGTCTCGAACGAGTCAAGTTCGCTACCACGGGTGTGGTGTTGAGGAACTGGACGGGGATATCAACGAGTTTACCCGTTGTCGCTTCGATGAATTGCCAGGTGATGTTGGTCGGCCGAGCAGACTCTGTCACGATGATGTCGTCGGTGCTGGCGATGAATTTTGCGCGCGCGTTTTCTACTGTTGAGTAGACTTCTTCAGCCCTATCAGCAGCCGTCTGGACAATCGTCTCGACCATAGTCAGGCCTGTTGCGACACGGCGTTGCCAGTGTTGGTCTGCTAGCCCGATGCCCCGCGTCTCGGTGAGGAACATGATGGCCTGTGTCAAGGCGACGGCACTGTCTCCGATCTTGGCGTCGCCGGTGGTCTCTTCCAGAAGGAGGTCGTCTGTGCCTGAGGGACCGACGATATAGGGACCCCATCGGAGACCTCGTCTTTCCATGGCTGCGGCGATATTATTCGCGAAGACGGCTTCAGAGATGTTCCGGATATCGGGATGGATATTGGCGTTCTTCATGGCGGAGAACTGACCATCCTGCGCATCTACCCACTGCTCGTTGGCACCAAAGGGCGTAGTAGGACTATACTCGTGGCAATCGACCCCAACATGAGGCGCAAAGCTCACCATCAGCTGCTTGATATCCCGAGTCTGCTGGCGCGCAAGCTTCGTGTGGTCGCGGTTGGGATCGAAGCTGGTCGCAAAGTACCGCTGAAAGTACGCCACGCCGTCCGGGTTGTATCTTGGGAGCATCATGATGTCGACCTTCTCTAGGATCGAGGCTGCCCAGGTGGCATTGGCGTCGAACCTGCCAAGGAGGGCGAGAAGGGCTTGGTCGCCGGCTGGTTCGTTGCCATGAACGCCGCCCTGCATCCAGATGCGAACCTTTGCGGGAGCGCTGGCGTTGCCGTAGATGTTCGGGCTGATATCTGTCGGAAGGCCTTTTGAAGTTGAGAGACAGACGTAGGGGATTGAGCGGCCTTCTTCAGAACGGAAGTCTGGATTGTGGTAGGTCATCCATTCGTTGCGCGTAGCGAGGGTCTGGAGGAAGTAGTCTGCGAATTGTTAGTTGCTGGAATGCATCATGAGATAAAGCTCATGATCCTTCACCGAGAGTTGCCTGGTCTGTTGGGCCGCTGGTGCCATTGGCAAAGGTGGTCGGAACACTGTCTGGGCTAGCGAAGGCGGGTGAGCGCAGTTCAACATCCTCAACCTCTGGAAAGTTCGTGGCTACTGCCTCGCTATCCGGGATCACCTCAACTTGGTTACTGGCATAGGTGAGTTGAGCAGCAGCGAGGCTTGCGCGTAGTAGGCCGATAGCCACGATTTCTTGAACGCGCATCGTTAGGCTGATCGTCACGGAGTAAGCTCCGGGATTCCAACGGCGTTCTGTGGGTGGAAGGCACGAGACAATGGGGAGCGAAGGCGGGCAGCACAGAATGCGAGCATGTCTGCTATTCTATTTATCCTCGCCGGGGCATTTCGGCCTTCAGCCGACACCGATAATGTCGCCAAGGCCTCATTTACTCTGCCCCAGTGCCTGCCAATGCCACAGACGTCATGATGTTTCCTCTGGCGGTACAATCATCACGGTACTTGTCCTCGAACTATGCAGGAATAGGAATGTGTTTATCTTGAGTGTGGAGGAGGCCCCTCGAAGTGTGGGGTGAAAAAGTCTTGGAACGACTTCCGGGGCTTCCAGCGATGTCGCTCGCCAAGAAGTGTTATCTTGCCAAGACCTTAAGGCCCAGGTCGGCGGGCCAGAGGACCATTGAGCAATTGAGCAATTGAGCAATCACACTTCATCTTATTTAGCCTCTTGACTCATTGATTAAGTTTGGCAGGTTACTGACTTTCAGTCCCTTCACCGGTGAAGTCTTAGTGTCCGACTCGCAACCTGCGAGCTAACAACACTACAAACGGTATCAATGTTGTAACTCTGCCGTTGACTTTAGTGCTATATTGCAACAGACGAAGTCTAACCGGGCCGAGAACTCTTGAGCTGAGGAATTTTACCGTTCTCTCTAGTTAATAACTCAATAACTAGGACTAAACATCACGGAAAACAAAACTTCGGTATTGGTCTGATATACATTGACATGACAATTGGTTCCTTGAAGGGTTGCTGGATTTCATGGACGAGAAAATAAAAGGAAAGGCGTGCTGGCAACAGAAATCAACAATACCTCTCGTCTTTTACGTCGACGATCGCACGTAGCAGGGAGTATGCGTTGAAGTTGAGATCGCAATCTAGATCCAAAGATATGCATAGAGGATACTCCTCCCCCCCCCAGTAGCCTTGATAAGGCTAGGCAGTGGGGAAGTAATGTGTCTCAACAGCGGAGCGGCCTACATAGGAAAGAGGCAGGAAAAGCTCAAGCGCGAGAAAAGGCTTAGATGATAGGTAGCGGAAGAGAAACCCGGGACGTTCTTCGAAAATAAGGTATTCAGGGGCAATTTGGTTTAATTCACAGAAACCACTCTTTGGGACATATCTTGAAAGGCGAGCGTCACAATGATTGAGAACTATCCACAAGACTTTCAGTCCGGCTTAGAATTTATAAGCGGTTGACCATTTGCCTGAACTCTCGCCGACTTTATGAAATCCAGGCATAACATATAAGACGGTTAAGCGTAAGATCACCTGAGTCTTTCGAGATTTCCGGTTTCTGTTAACTTTGGTTGATTCCTTCCCCCGAAGGATATTACATCTGTCCGCAATTTACTAAGGACACACGGACAGACCTGGATCACATTGCCACTATGGTCCAAAGTATGTTCAGCAGACCCCAGATTGCGCCGAAAAGCTCCTAACAACGTACATATAGTTCCATGCCGGTATGATTCTGCGGGTATGTATAGCCGAGAAATATACGTTTCAATGACTGATGAAATTCATGTTTCCGCACAGCTTGAGATAGCATCCAGACGAATTCCAAACTGCCAATTCTCAGCTCGGCTATTCTATATTCACCCTCAATTCCAACTACAGACTACTTCAAATCCCGCCCAGCCTGCGTTACGACTTCTGATATGTATGACGAGGTCCAAGAGAACTCAAAATTCTCAGTTCACGAGGTGCTACGTAAAACGGTTCGGTAGCATCAAAATAATCATTATAGTAGTCCTTCGTCATTTGGTGCTGCACAATCATAGTCCGATCAGTCCAAGAACCCTCCACGAGAGGCCACTCTATCTTACCTTCATTATCCAGTCCACTGGTTCCGACCTGAGAATATTATCAGCTACGTGCCTTTCACTCGCGCTCATGAGGATGGGCTCCACAGACCATTTCTCAATCCACGTAATCGTACCCGGAGAGTCATGAACTTGATACATCTCAAAGTACATCAACTCGGACTCTCTTTTCATCTTCTCAATTGTCGGCTCGGCAGCTCGCAGGAATCTCGAGACATCCTGTGGCGCAACGTGAACAGTGACCTGAAAAACTGTCGACATAATCGCTGTGTCCTGCTTTGATTTGCTGAACGATGGTTGTCGGACGAAAATCTGATGCGCTGATGTCAAACCTGCTGAGCTCTGATCCCGGGGAGCTCGGCCTTTAAGTAGTCCGCAATAACAGTCGCCCCGCGGATCCGAGGCCATGTCCGACGGTAGCTCAGAGGATGAAACGTCTGATGTCTGGCCAGGCATGTAGACATCTTGATGATAACCCAACGACTCCTCATGCACCGTGCCAGTTCGAACCCAATTTGTGATGTCATCCCAGATGACTAAATCTGCGCCTTGGTGAGGACCACCCTTTTTCGTCCTCCTTTTTGGCCATCTTTGGGCTTCTAAGACACCTACGTTTGATGATACCAGTTTAGTAGGCCGGTGGAACATTGAAAGGTTGTCGCCCGGTATAGAACATGACATCGTGCTCTAAACGAGAATATTGAAGGTAGGGACCTAGGCGCTGGCAACATGCAACTCTCGTTGGTATAGATGTAAACGTCCCATATGGCATGGCTTAATCCGAAGACATGAGAGAGATATCATCCGTAATGAAAACACAGGCAAACATGTTAACATACTTGTCCTTTGTGAAGTAATTACCCACGTCACAATTCAGCCCAAGATATCGGGTCAGGCCGTCAGATCCAAGCTCTAGAGCGCGCAGCAATAAAACAACAAATGAACAAAGAAGACCGTTGTTTCGTGGACCGCATGCATAAGGGCTGCTTAACTCTCCTCACAGTTCTGTTTAAATGTGTCAATAGGAACGAGCTGCATGGACTGCATTTAGTGGGCTGCAAACAATCAACACCTAGAAACAGCGGTTGAGATTAATAACAACAAGCCGCTGTGGATTTGCATAATCTGCCCGAGTCCAGAACTTTTTCAATGGAAATCCGATCGTTGATAGAAAGGTCTCATACCCTTTGAGCTTCCATATTGTGAAAAACCTTTGCGACGCTTGCGGGTGCTTATTCCCAAAGTAACCTGGCTGGCCGTTCGCTAACCCTATACCCTTCAGGAAGCATCGATAATCTATAAATGAGTGACAAAATCCTTCTCACTCTTGAGTTTCTGGACGTATATTTACCAACAACACCGTCATCCTCAAGTTCTAACACCGGCCAGCCAATGCCAACTGACCTGTTGCTCTTAGTTCGCGACCTAGCCGAATGCCCCTTTCATGCATCAGACTCACTACACTCGATCTCATTACCGATTTATAGTTAGTACGTCATAGTGGACCATCTTGTTGCGGACAAGTACTTATCAACTCCAGCTCATGATGGTGCAGACCTCCTTCATAATGATCATTCTTGGCGCAATTACGGTATCCTTGGCTACTGCTGTTCCGAGACAGGATCCCAATATTCTCTACTGCAATTGTACCTTTACTGTAAACAGATACAATCGAGCTCATACAGACCTTATTGCTAGCTACGACTGCTGTGACGGTGCGGGAGGTCGATGGAACGGCACAACATGCCCCCTGAACTCTCTTGATCCGCTAAGATTGAGACGATTTTCAAAATGCTGCAACAAGCATGGGGGATTTGGATGTGTCTAAAAGCTAAGACAGCCTCAGCGGCTTATCTGGCTCGCGGTACTATTCGGACTTCCAACTCGACAGTAGGTTCCTTCATCGTACATTATATCTAGATACATATTCATGCTGCGAACATTCAAGGTTTCGCCCCCGATAGTCTATCATCTGATAACGAGTAGCTAGACTTTTCCCTGCCCTCGTCAGTTCCTTTCGGTGGTGTCCGGCGCACTTCAGCTAGCCAAGCAAGTACGAATATAGTTGTACTGATTAACAATGTCGCACAAGCAGCGACCAAGGTCCAAGAAGAAGCCCCGTATCTCGTTGAGATGTCGTGCATAATTCGCAAGTTTGTGGCTAGCCGGATATCCGTACTCCTCGGCAACTCTTTTCTTATCTTCTCAAACAGTGAGAAGATGCAACCAAGAGCCGATACGGCGAACAAAAATGATAGAGCTGCCAAGATCGCACTGGCCAACGTCGTGAACCGATTGCGTTTGATCAAGTTGGCAAGAGCTGAGAGAAATCCTAGTCCAGCTGTGGCAGTTGCAACAGCAGGCAAAGGGAATCCTCGTGTCAAATCATGCATGCCTCTGCTTTTTATAGAGGAGGAGACCCCGACAATCATTAGGCGAATAATGATAGCTGGGTTGTAGCCCGGCGAACCCCCGAACTTGAGGCATCCCTGGGGGTATCTCGCCCTATTATAACATCGCATATCAGTGTTTTCATCTTCTCCTAGACATATTGTATGGATCTCCTTGCGCAGGTGGAAACTTTTGAAGGGGTTTCACACTCGTAACTTACCATTCTGCCGCTGTTGCCCGGCACCAACCCCATAGACCAAAGTCAAGAACAATGGATGGTCCATTTGATCCACGAGACTCTCTCCTCGTTGCTACTAAAGTGAAGATTGACAAACTTGTATTGGGTGAAGATAGGCAAGTGACAAGAAGAAGCCCAAATGAGCAGATCAGTAGGGCTGCACCGATCGCTGTCAAAAAACGGGAGGAAGACATTGTCTGATGATGTCAAATTGGTATCAGTCGTCCAGGATGAAACACCTTGAGTAATTTGTGAGTCTATGAAGAGCAAGAGATGATCAACTGAGAGCGCAAGAATTGGGGAAACAGCTGAAATCCCGGGATACTGCAGATTTTAAGTAAGTCTGTTGTAAGAGATCAGCGGATAGACAAGACACTTTCCGCCCGGGTCTAGCTAGGTTAGAAATAATACCTAGGATAAGCTGACGACATTGTCTCACTCCAGTAGCATCTTACTCTCAAGGCTGACTGCCAGGTTGACTAAGGTACCTAGGTATTCGGCTGCGTTTGAGTCTGATGTCAATAGCTGCTGGGCGCACCTACTCACTAACCAATCGTTTTGCGATTGGATTCGGTGTAGGATTGATCGCTGCGACTAGCAACGCTGTAACACAGCAAGTCCGCAGGCGCTTGCAGGCAGCCAAGCCGTTTTGATCTGTAGCGGATTTGAGTTTGAGATCCATGAAGGTTATCCTGCGGCTTTGTATGAATATTTTTCGTGCCATTACATAGTGCAGTCAGTTGAAAGAACTGATGGGCGGTTTGACCTCTCAGTTCCGACATACACCTAAGGAGCCGAACTTTCATGCGCAAAGTCTGGACTTATTATCTTCCTCCTTCATCTACATGTTTCTCTCCGAGGAGGCCTTGATCATTTGATAATTATTATTGCTTCAAAGTAGTGATTTTGTAGATTGTCTCTTTCGTATCTGGTTTCTCAAGATCGTGGAGCAATCGCTCTCTAGCAGAACATAATCCAACTTACGCCAAAAGAGTTAAAGGTCTGTATGTATTAGACACAGAACCGAGTATTGCTGATGGTCAAATTGATAATGAGTCCTCGACTCCATAGATGCCACATTCGAATGTATACAGAGCGGCAATATCTACTCTAAGGTTGTTGCGCGATATGGAGTAACCTAGGTCTGAGGTGTGTCATCGCGCTCAGAGCTAAGGAGTTGGGTTCTTCTAGAAGTCGTAGGCTTGCAGGTCTCATCCCAGAACAAGTTCCCGAAGTTCAGCTCAATCTCAACCTACGTGGCATGGGTTAATTCCCGACTATACCTCGCACCTTTTAGCTGCAGACTATAGTTGGGCGTAAACGGCATTTGATCAAGTGCTTTGAGTGCAACAATACGATTTGGGGATACCTAGTTAGAATCCGATCTCTAGAATATGGTCAGTGGAATTGCGGTATCTTGAAACTCCTGCCATAGTCAATCCGGGTGTTCGTTTCTCAGCCGGCGACCGCTGTTCTTCATGCCATAAAACCTTGGGTACACAGTACACAGTGCAGCCCCCTCTGATTTCTCTGTGTGACCCCTCACAAAATAGACGAGGAATTAACGTTCTCGTGACAGATTCTCAGGGGCACCCTGCTAGACTTGGCAGGTCACCTTCCGGTTCATCCGTTCAACCGAGACCAAGGTATATTTCGGGGTTCATGACGTTCTTGGGTCGCCTTCGTGCTTCTTCTCCGGAGTGGTCGGGTTCAGTAATCCATCCAAACGGTTTTCAACTTTTCCTCGAAATAAGAATGCAACTAAAGACGTACCCCGCTCGACGTCCCCCACAATCGTCCGGTGACAGTTCCATTACGCCAAGTTGCGCCAAGCCAGGCCAAGAAAAACCTCCAGCTCTTTGGTTCAGTTTCCCCAACTTCTCCCCAATGATCCGTTCTTCAAGGTTAACACAGCCTTCAAAGGCCAAGGGCGAAGGAACTTTGGACGAAACGAAGCGTTTCTTGCGTCGTTTTCCTTCGTGAAAACTCGGAACAACGATTCAAGCCGCGCGCCACCCCTTTCCTCGCCATCATCTCGGCGAAAAGACCATTTCCATCAGTCTGCGAGTCAGTCCCGCTCCTCGCTTAACACCCATGGCGATAGCGAAGGAAGGTGTTCTCAGCGCATCCATAGCTTCTGGACCTTTGGACCTTTGGGTCGAGGGGGCACCCCAGGGATTTCCCGTAAGTTTAATTCCTTGGCACGCGATCCACTGCCGAATCCATGGCATGAAAGTTGCGTGCCTGAGCAGGTTGATTAAAGTTGCTTGGTGACCCTTGCTTCACGCCTTCGAAGAAACGGCTTTTGGGATGTCGTGACCTATCACGTAACCGCTTGAAGCACACCCTTTCGGGGCATACCCGCGCGGATGGACGTGCAGAACCGGACATGTTTGGACTTGGGCGAGCCCTTAAAGCTCTAGACGGAGGGCGTTCCTTCCGATGGCAGACGGTCACTTAAAGACCCTTATCCTTCGTTCTCTGATTCAACTACCGAGAACCTTTGGAGCTAGCTCAGTTTGACCTTGGAAAAACGACGTTATTCACACGCCAAAATGCAGCCTACAGAAATCCTCGCCATCTTGGCTGGCACTTACCAGCTTCTCAACACCTCAGCGTAAGCTGTCCTCAACTTCAATCTTCCAGACTACAATATTGATCAAAAATCTAATGTTTGACTTGTGCAGCACACGTGATGGAGTCGCCGTACCTGACCGAACATACGGTTCCAACCCCGTTGGCATTCTCTCCTACAGCAAATCCGGCTTCATGTCCGCAACAATCACATCAACAGACCCCGAAGATCGGCCCGCGAACTTAACATTTCCCTTCGAAGATTCACAATCAGACGCCGACTGGGCCCTTGTCGGCAAGCACAGCATCGGATACGCAGGGCCGCTCCGGATCAGCGATGCGTTTCCCGCGAACGCAACCTTCGGTCAAGTCATCCACGGGCCATTGACTGTAGCCAACGTCCCGTCCATGGCTGGGGGTAGCCAAGCGCGCAATTACACACTCTACGAGGATGGAAAGGTTTTGCGCATCTCATCACAAAGAGACGGCGGGAATCGTGGAGAGCTTTGGTGGAAGAGGCTGGACTGAGGGCAGGAGCTGGAGACGTGATTCATGGCGATGTTTTCGAGGAGCCAGTGGTTCATGGTGGTTCATGCGATACCCCCCTTCCCAGTTCATCAACGAGCTTCCAAGACATCAGACTTTACCATCTTACATTACTTGATATCTTGACCTGCCTTTTTCTTCGAGAATTATTTTCATTAATACGTGAGTGCCGGCAGTCCGCGTCTATTTTGGAATTGCGGCACGTCCGTGATCAACCCCCCCTCCCCCAAGAACTCTCCTTCGTACTTCCTAAGATACCTTATCACAGATTGAGGGAGAGGGACTTTACCGGTCAATATACACATGTATTCCGGGACGTCCAACGACGCTATTTTGACACTATCTCGCCGGGATGTTTCTAGATGTGTCTTAGTAAGATGCAGAATTTTGCTGGATCTGAGGTTGAGTAATACCTTTGCCGGCGACAGTTGGCTTGCATCTTCGCTCGAATGCTTTCAATTTTTCACTGAGTTGCATGAATAGAAACAGGCTCTTTAGAATCTCACTTAAACCAAACAGCATCTCTTGCGGCGAGTTCCACTCCACGTGACTTTTCAACGTCATAAACATCCTGCTTGCGCCTGCATTACGCAGAAAAACTTACAATTTTGATTGGACTCGCATTCGCCTGCAACACTGATGGGACTATGGCTGTCAGCGTGTGTGGCCATTGCCAAGACCATGCAGCTGACAGCCTGACCTTATCGCTCAACCCAACCGACCTCTTGTATTTGAATGCCTCTCAACTTCATCATCCGTACGAAAGCGGGGTCGCTGGAGACCTCGAGACAAGGACCATTCCTTCGCAACTAGGTGACTCTTATCATGGCCGAATTAGCGGCACTTGGTGTTGTAGCCAATATCGTCCAATTTCTAGAGCTAGGGCTCAAAGCATCGATCTCCATCGTTAGTACATATCGCAGTATTACCGACGACGGATTGCTTCCACGATTGGTTGACCTGAAAGCCATGGCAGAAGATCTGCAACGGCGCTGTGTTCGATTACAAGCAGATGCCGATATAAAGATGGAGGCAGGCATGAAAAGCCTTCTACAGCGTTGCATAAAGACTGCAAAAGAGCTTGTTGATGAGGCCAGCGGTCTAACGATCGTCATCAACGGCAGGTCGCTCAGGTGGATAAAGATCGAAATGTCTCTCAGAGTGTATTGAAAGGAACGCAAAATCAGCGGCATTCAGGAAAGATTAAGCTTCATTAAAGCCGAAATATTGGAGAGACTTCAAACGCTTCTCTTGTAAGTTTTTACTCCTTAATAGCCTCACAAAGCTAATGCAGCCCTTAAGTCACCACCGTCGCGAGCTATCGGATCATGTAGGCTCTTTGGGCGATGCTTCAGCAGCATGGAATCGTGCCACGAACGCCAGGCTTGACCAATTGGCTAAGGACGTCGGCAGACTCTTGGAATCCACAAACGACGCTGCATCTGCGACACAGCTCGAGAGAATTTCCGCGACGCTGTCCCGCTTCGCAGAAGAAGCGAAGCATCAGGGCAATGTTCTGCAAATCCTCAAAAGCCTAAAGTTTGCACAAATTGTTGAACGACAGACCGAAATACCCAAGGCTCATCAAAATACTTTTGAATGGATCTTCCACGAAAACGTTGACGTCAATTTCGCGTCCTGGCTTCAAGCCTCAAATGGAATATTCTGGGTCACTGGCAAACCTGGCTCTGGAAAATCAACTTTGATGAAGTTCATTTCCGGACATGAGACGACATCGCAGCTGGGAAATCTTTGGGCTAGCCCGCGACAACTTGTCGTAGCTAGTCACTTCTTTTGGGGCATCAGGAGTGGTCTTCAGAGTTCTCAAGAAGGTCTTCTCAGAACATTGCTGTTCCAGATCATGGTACAATGCCCGGAGATCATTCCTGACGTTTGCCGAGAGAGATATACTAGTACAACGTATGCTCTTAACTCATGGACAATTGAGACATTACTAGATGCCTTTGAGCGACTCAGGAGTATTCGATTACCATCAAAGCGCATCTTGGTGTTTATAGACGGGCTCGATGAATACAAGGGCGACCACAGGGACCTAGTTAAGTTCCTTACCAACACGTCTCAGTCTTATGACATAAAAATCTGCTGTGCAAGCCGACATTGGCGAGTGTTTGAGGATGCTTACGGCAACCTTACCACCCGCATCCAGATGGACCGACTTACAGCCACGGATATGGCAATCTATGTCCGTGATGCTTTGGGCCAACATGAGCACTACCAGTGTTTACTGAGAACTCATGAAGCTGAAGCTACGAAACTTATCGAATCCATCTCGCAGAAGTCAGAAGGCGTTTTCTTCTGGGTTGCCCTGGTTGTCAAGTCCCTCGTTCGCGGCCTTGATAACTGGGACGACGTAGGCATACTACAAAAAAGAGTCTCGGAGCTCCCTTCAGACCTCGACGAGTTTTTCCAGCGAATGCTTGACTCCATCGAAGATGTTTACAGGGAAACCGCGTATAGAACATTCTCTATGTTACTGATTGCGGACATGCCTGTTCCCGTGGTCTGCTTTTTGATCATGGACACCTACTTCGACAACATGATGAGCTTCAAGTCTACAGATCCGTTCAGATCACTGAAATCAAAAAGCGCGTCTGCGACGAAATATTTGGGTAGCAATTTGACCGCGGGGACCGAATTTCAGCCGGATGATGAAGAAGGTCTTTACCGTCACTATCAAGATCCAGATCATCCAAAATTCAATCTCTTGATATACATGCGGATCAATCACGTGGAGAGGCAATCCAGGCTTGAATATCAGGTTCTGAATTTAACAAGAAAGAGAGATCAAATTTTGGCTCAATGTCGCGACCTGGTCCAAAGCTGGGAGGTACAAACGCAAGCCCCAACCAATTTGAGAGTTGGATTTCTCCACCGGACAGTGGTAGAGTTTCTCCAGCGTTCCAAGAGTGCTCGGTCGCGAATTCCACTTAAACACCAGCGGTATTGGCTTGCAAGGTCGTTTGCAGAATTTGATGCGCAATTGCGAGGGGCTAAGAATGGAAGGGATGTGGACAGGGACTTTCTCTTCAGGTTTTTATACACGACCGAGCAAGCGGAGCCGCACGACATACTAGCTTCTCTCCCTGGGCTTGCAAGACTATGTGAGCAAATGATGGATATGTGGAGAGGCGAAGTCAACGTTCGACCTCCTTTGGAGACTATCTGGCTTGTCTCGCAAGTTTGGGCCAGAGCATTTCTCGCGATGCCTACCACCTTATCGTCGTCTCCACACAGAAACTTTTATCTCTTTACTGCCATGAGAAGTATCCTGAAAGGCTCGATGTATGTGGAGGTCGGCGACTTTCCAGACGTTGTTCAGACACATTCTGTGGATCTTCCGGTCCTACGTGACCTCCTTTCTTGGGTCAACTTCACGGGAGACGACCCAGACATGTCCTATCCGTTTAAGAATTTGTCCACATACTGGAGCGGAATGATTCTACGTCACGGCGCCCGCATAATGCATTTGAAGCTTGCATATTGATGGTAGAACATGTTGCAGCTATGGACCGCAGGTATTCGGACCACGAATCTAGTGCTGACACAGATGTCAAGTTGAAAGTGGAAAGCATTCTGGAAATGTTCGACACTGTCCAGCGTCTTGGGATATTCACAGAAGAAGAGCTTTCCGGCTTGAGGGGAACCTTTCCTCCAAGAGTGGTAAAAGAAATGCCAGTTTCCAAGGAGCGGAGATGGTGGCTTATATCTTTCTTCAAGTGAAAGGGCAAAATCTTTGGGAATTTACAGTAAAAATTGAATATCAACAATGGTTTCCATCCATTTTGGAATTTTGGCACACTCGTTTTGCTGATATAGGCCCTTATGCCTGTGTCCCCTTATTTCAAAAGTCTCGTTCTAATACACATCACCAGACACTTCAGTCAATAGCTTTCAACACGTACTTGTCCTGCCAGAAACGGTCATTGACAGCCGGTGCATCACGACGAGCAGGAGCAGCCCGCTCCTGGAGGCTCGAAGCAGCCAAGTACTCGCTGCGCCTAACAGCCGCCTTTGCAGACACATCACGCTTCTCAATACCTCCGTAAGCACACTTGCCACCGTTGAAAGCAGCGTTTGCAGTCGCCTTCCAGATCTCAGTGACATCCTTGATCATGGGCAGAGTCCAGTAGAGGCGGCAGTCAGCCTCCTCACGCACAAACTGCGCGGGGATACCATCGTCCACGTTGTCCCTCAGAATCTGGTCGCGGACGTTGACGGCGGCCGCCAGACTGCGGTTCAGGGGCAGGTCGCCGTAGCGGGCGAAAGCAGCCTTTTGCTCGTCGGTGGAAGCGTAGGGGAGGAGGAAGGTGGTGTAGTCGTAGATGTTGCTCCAGTCCAGGACCTGAGAACCCTTGATACCGCCGACGCCCTCAATGGCGCCCTCAACGGGGAGACCGCCGAAGGCAACGGACTTGACGCCGCCGTGGAGACGGAGGAACTCAGAAGCAAGAGTGCAAGTGGAAGCACAAACACCGTCGTAGAGGATGATGATGTTCTCGGCGGCGAAGGGCTGGGGCAGACCGGTCAGGTTGCCGTACCCGTTGATCTCGATACCAAGGCCGAAGGTGGCGTTGGTGGTGGTCAGAGGGTCGTTGAGGTTCCAGCGCATCAGGTCTGTGTAGGAGGTGTTCTGGAAGACTTGGGGCGCGAACTTGTCCTCGTAGGAAGTGAAAGGCTGGTTGGTGAGGTTGTAGTCGTAGCGCCAGTTGAACCAGCTCTCGGCCAAGGAGATCAGGTTAGCATCATCACTGGTGTAGATATCCACGTCAGCCACGATGTCAGAAACAATCTGGGCCGCGGCGACGAAGCCGTCACTCTCTTTCCAGCGGGAGAAGCCGTCCTGATCCGTCTCGGGGAATAGCTGGCGGAAGAAGTCGTAGCCCTGGAGGATGTAGCCACCGCCGTTCTGCTGGAAGTCGATGACTAGCTTGGTCTTGCCGGCTGCGAGGGCGGCGGTGTAGAAGTCCTCGGTGACCTTTTGGAACTCGGCTGGGCTGTCGCTGGCGAAGGCGGTCAGGACGACGACGGCGACGTCCTCGAAGCCTTCACCCTCGAGGAAGTAGCCGGACACAACGCCGTCGCTGGTGACGATGACGGGCTCTGGGTAGCCTGGGAGGATAGCGGTGGAGGCGTTGGAAGGAGATGTGCCGGAGGGGGTGGCGGAGGCCGGACTGAGAGGGTTGCAGAACTTGGCGTAGAAGGACTGGCCGTCTACGATGCCGGTGAGATCCTTCTTAACCCGTGCATGGTTCTCGAAGGTGACCTCGGTGCCGTTCTCGAAAGTGAGGGTCGTGTTGGCGCCTTGGTAGATGTATCTGCGCAGACCACGTTAGTTTGGCTAGGTCTCACATGCCTTGCATCACTCTTCACGTACCTGACACGACCACCAGAGCTGAAGTAGCCGTTGCCGATTCCGGTAGCCTGTCCAGACTTCTCAAAGAACATGGAGTTGTAGGCAGAGTTGGCATCACGGTTCCAGTTGGCCTTGTTGACGGTGTCCTCGAGGAACTTGGAAGCCTCGATGCCGTTGATGAGCTTGACTGCGGACGCAGTCTCGGGGGTAGAGATGACCTCCTCTGCAAAAGAGTTAGAAAAGCAACCTGCAGATTCATCATTGTCGAGTCAGAACGTACCGTAGATCTTGATCACTGGCAAAGATGAGCCATCCTCGCTAATGGAAACCAAGCCCCGCTGACGGGTCCACTCAAACACCGCCGTGAGCAAGTCGGGGTAGTAGACAAAGTGTCCGTCGTGGCCGGGACCAAACACCTCTTCGTAGAGAGCAGACTGGAAGGCGTATTCGCTGGTGTAAACATCGTCGACCAGGTTCTGTCTGATGCTCGAGGCGGCTGCAAAGAGGTCGTAGGCCGGGAAGTCGTACTCTGGTGGGGGATCCGCCTTGTAAGCAGCGTCTGAAGGCAAGTTAGTTCTGGTCCAGGATCAAGAATACGTTTGTGAATGATCAACTTACCACTCTGCCATTCGAGGTATGGGAACAAAGAGTCCACGAGCTCAATGGCAGCCTCCTTTCCGAGAGGGACGGAGTTGAGACAGTCGTAAGCCAGTTGAGCCGGTACAGACGGGACAACTACAGCACCACCCTTGTCAGTCTACGTCAAGGGGCATCTCGTTATCGATTTTCCAAGTACCAGTCGGAGCACGCGCGTGCTGCGAAGCCCAAGCAGCGCTCACGGCAGCACAAGGCTCAGAGCTGTTGCCTGGGATCGTCGAGTTGGGGAATTGCGCGACAGCGAGGTCAGCTGCGCTGGCCAGCAAAACCGGCACGGCAATCGAGGAGCTCCGCATCTTGCCAATTGAACGAGAGTTACACGGCACAACTTTTGGCTCTCGGGTCGAAAGCTGGGCTGCAGTCTCAAGCTCAATAGACGCATCTTCGATCGCCCGCAGACCGCGGCGGCGCGTCTCTTATACCAATCTGGCACTCAATAACCACCATTGTAGTCGTCATCCACTTCTCAATGGCAATCGACACGAGGGGCAACAAACCCGTTGTCGTTTTCTGGAGACCGTCGATGTCACCATCGGATGTCGAGTGGGCGTTCGTCCCAATCGCATGAGCTTGTATTGCTCTCGTTACAGCAGGAGCTAGCTCAAGATGGCAGGTCGCATGTGCGAGGTTACCACAAGACTGGGGCGCGCCCCCGGTTGCCGCAACTCTTGGCCTGCATATCTGCACCCGAGCGGCGGTAGGCCGGGTAGCAATGCCTCACTTGTTTTCCTACCGATATTGGACGCGACCGAAGTTGGAAAGTCGTTGACTAAAGACGAACCTTTGAAGTCCGTTAGTCCCGGTCTGAACGGACTGTAAGAAACTGTATGACCGTGTAGAGACTTTGACTTACAAGCGAGTCAGTCTTAGTCAATAGCCTGACTAAGACTCAAGAGTCTGACATATCCTCGCCCAGAGGTAAAAGGGAGGGGTTCCCGCTCGACAGATGAGGGGGGTTACGAGCTGCGAGACGGGAAGCTACCTCATTAGCATGAAAGGACGAAGATCGGCAACACGCGCCTTATCTATGAAATTAGTGGTCATATCCTACCGTTACTGTTGTTTCGTTGGTCTGAAGACCGTTGGGACCTTTGGTCGGCATAAGAACTGTTTTTTCGCTCTAGCTCCGGGTTGCGGGGGCACATGGGAATAACACCTGCTGAAGACAGGTTAGGCCGGAAGGCAAAGCTCCCTGGTCCCCCGGCAAACAAGTGCCGTGTCACTATCGCAATTCACACCATTGGCAACAGTCAACCGTGATCTCATCTGTCCGTGCCTGGCGATGGCCTCGGTCCGGCCACGCGATACTGAGGAGCATATCTGGGCATTACCCACTCTGCTCTTGTCCATGTCGTTTTGTTCGATTCAGCAATTCGTTGGGTTTAATTTACACTCTGGTTGTCAAAATATCGTAACGCTTCGAAGCATGGAGGGAAGATGTCGCCAGTACAGAGTTCACGTGTGACCTTTCCCGCAAGTGCCTACCTGCGCCATAGACGTTTAGTCCAACGATTTCTCATGACCGACCTTGAGACGCGTTAGGTCCAAGTCAGAACTCTTCGCAATTAACGGGTTCACTTTAAAAAACACTAGTGTTTTAGACCCTCGTTTCGACCCTAGCTCCAATCGTAGTCTAAGGAGCTATCCTCAATTGAATCATTGAATGTTACACAAACAGTGGTGTCAAGCATCAATGATAATCATGGTTGCTTGAATGACTCCTCAAAGCTCCAATCGAGAGCGGAAGTTGCCTTTTACTTATTCATCTCATGATGTATATTGAGACAGACGATCAGCAATCAGAGCTCAATCAGGTACAACATCTCTGGTTTTCGTTAGCTTAATAAAGCCGCACGCGTAAAATTGGCCCGCTCTGATATTTCAAGCATTCCAAGTTACATTGGTTCAGGCTTTCAACCACGGTATTCTCATGGACTTCTTCTCACTCTTCAATTTCTCATTAGAGTATCTATATCATTGGGAAAGGACTTAACTTCTGGTGTTTATTGGATCGAGTAGAGCGAAGCACTGAATAAACCATTTCTAAGCAGGACCCTAGTCCCTGGCCTTCTACTCTCAATTTCTCACAGCAATTTGCTTGACTAGATATAAGGCTAGCCCAAAGGCATACTATGTCGCTCTAATCGCAAACATTTCTTGGGGTCTCCAATGTTTCTATGGACACCCTTTGACATTGCAACCGTGAGAACCCTCGTTGCAGGACAAGACTGGTGCATCTCAGTAATATCGCATTGGGAAAATTGGAAAAATTGGAGAGCACAACTGGGCAGGAGCTCATTCTCTAGGTTTTTCTGGCGTTGAAGTTGGAATTACGTGGGTCACGTGGGCAATTTGAGTCTTTGACCGATTATACGAAGGTTTGCAGGGAAGGCACGAACCCAAAGAAAGTGCAAAATCGATCATAGAGGCCAACAGACCTTGAAACTCTATTACCAGAGTCCTTCCGTATCGATAAAAGGTGGTATACTAAGCGGTTCGCTTTTTCCTGGTATAACTCCATAAACTCCCTAAGCCATCATGATGTCCAGTCGTAGTATCGTAAGCAGCTGCGCGCCGGCCAACTGCAGGTATCTCTTGGTGGGCTCTTCACCTACTGGGAAGGATCAGACTTGGGCACGCTAGGAAGCTCGGCCGCGATAGCCTTGGCCTCCTCTGTTTCCTTCTTTGAAGGGCCATCCTCGGTTTTCTTGTCTGTGGCTGGTTGGTCCTCGGGAGGGAAGAAGACACTGTGAAGAGAGGATTAGTAATTGATTGACTGCGCAAGGGAGATTCGGAATGTCGACATACGGAAGGGTCTCGTTGTAGGCTCTAACATCCTTCATCTCGAAGGTACAAAAGACAATCTTGTCCAGCTTATCGCCATCTTCTCCATCGAGGAACTCTCTCACGACTTCAACAGCAACAGGGGCCGCTTCCGAGCTCGGATAACCGTAGACACCGGTGCTCAGCGCGCTGAAAGCGATGCTGCGACAGCCGTTCTGGACAGCAAGCTTCAGGCTGGTATTGTAGCAACCTGCAAGCTTATCTTCGGAGACATCGGGTCTGAGCTCGTCGTAGACGGGACCGACAGCGTGGATGACCTTATTGCAAGGGAGGTTGTAGGCGCCCGTTATCTTGGCAGAACCAGTAGAGCAACCGTTCAGGGTCCTGCATTCCTGGAGTAGTCCCCGGCCGGCAGCGCGGTGGATCGCGCCGTCGACGCCGCCTCCTCCAAGAAGACTCGTGTTGGCGGCATTGACAATCGCATCGACGCCGAGTGTGGTGATATCGCCTCGGATCACGGCGACTTTTTGGTTATGCGACGCGTTATGGGAGAAGATGGCCCTCGGTGTGGAATGGATCTTGCCGAGCTTGTAGAGCAGCTCAACGGTCGGAATATCGGCGACGGCGGTGGTGACCATTTTGACTGCTTGTCGGATGGTCATAGGCGAGTTCGCGGGTTGCTTATTCGGGTTTGGTGTCGATGAATTGGCAGGTTTAGGAGCGGGCGCGGCGGGTTGATTTCGAGGTGTTGGTGACAAAGAAGCAGCCAATCGAAAACAGGAGAGGTGGGAGCCCATGACGAAAGACCCCGCGCTATTTAGGGACGGGAGCTTACTACGTAGGTTGTCAAACTGTCGGCGGTACGTACCCTTTGCTATCGAACGTGTAACTCCGATGAGTTACTTCTCAAGAATGGAGAAAAGTCGAGAATGTGTGAAGCTGAAATGTGGCAAGAGAGTTACTTATAGTTCAATTGCGAAAATTCCTCGAGCGCGCAAACCTTGAAGACGAAAGATTCCCACAAGGTAGCTGGCCATTAAGGCACTTCAGGAGGTTCGCAGCAATTCAGAGAGGTGCCTTATCGGAAGCTACTCCAATCGATAAGGATTTCATCTTATCGTCTCTTTGTCGCATGTCACAGGCGCAAGTGAGGGAGGCACGCTGAGCCAGTGCAATGACCCCTCCTTGGATCCATTTGAGTCATCCCCGCCGCGAAAGAAGACCTGGAGTGTTGCCCCGCCACCACAATCACACATTTTCCACGACGTGAACATCTCGTGGAGTCCAATTGAACAAACTTTGATTGCTCAGCGACCACGCCGTACTCCCAGTGTTCCACAGACTATACCTCCGATACTACCCTTCATCTCAGACCGAACACCGCAATCATGGCGGAGGCTGCAGCGGACCCCACCGCCAAGTTGGCCGAGTCAACGGCCAAGCTCCAGCTCGACGAGGAGACGGGAGAGATGGTCAGCAAAGGCGAGCTGAAGAAGAGAATGGCAAAACGAGCGAAGAAGGCCGCCACGGAAAAGGCAAAGGCTGCCAAGGACGCTGTCGCAAAGGCTGCCGGTGCAGGCGACAGCAAGCCCGCTCCGAAGCCCAAGGCGAAGCCCGAGGAGGTCGTCCTCGACCCGGAGGCCATGTTCAAGCAGGGCTTCCTCCAGGAGGTCTACAAGGAGAGGCCGTCGGATAATGTCGTCACGCGTTTCCCTCCCGAGCCCAATGGCTAGTACGTAAGCCCCAATGCTTATCTATATCACACCACTAACAGCTCTTTCCAGCTTGCATATTGGCCATGCCAAGGCCATCGCGGTCAACTTCGGTTTCGCCAAGTACCACGGAGGTGTCTGCTACCTGAGGTTCGACGATACCAACCCCGAGAAGGAGGAGGAGAGATATTTCACAGCCATTGAGGAGATGATCAGCTGGCTGGGTTTCACGCCCTACAAGATTACGTACTCGAGCGACAACTTCCAGAAGCTATACGACTTGGCCGAGAAGATGATCACCTTGGAGAAGGCATACGTATGCTACTGCGGCGGTAAGTTCCTTTCTTGGTGGCAGAAGCAGTGTTTTCTACGTTTGCTAATCATCCAAACTTAGACACTGAGATCAAACTCCAGCGTGGCGGCGAGAAGGGCGCTTCCCCTAGATTCCGATGCGAGCACGCGAACCACACCATTGAAGAGAACCTGCAAAAGTTCAGAGATATGAAGGATGGCAAATACAAGCCTAGAGAAGCATTCTTGCGCATGAAGCAGGATATCACCGACGGTAACCCCCAGATGTGGGATCTCGCAGCCTACCGCATCAAGACCGACACGCCTCACCACCGCACGGGATGGGACTGGAAGATTTACCCGACATACGATTTCACGCACTGCCTGTGTGATAGCTTCGAGGGTATCACCCACTCCCTCTGCACAACGGAATTCGTTCAGAGCCGTGTCTCGTACGAGTGGCTCAACAAGACTCTTGGCGTTTACGAGCCGATGCAGCGCGAGTACGGCCGTCTGGGTATAACGGGTACCGTCTTGTCAAAGAGAAAGATCCTTAAGCTGGTTGAGGAGAAGATTGTCCGCGGCTGGGACGACCCCCGTCTGTACACTCTGATCGGTATCAAGCGCCGTGGTGTACCTCCTCGTGCGATTCTCGACTTCGTCAACGAGCTGGGAGTCACAACGTCTGTCTCCGTCATCCAGATCAAGCGCTTTGAGCAGACGGTGCGCAAGTACCTGGAGCGCACTGTCCCCAGATTGATGATGGTTTTGGATCCCATCCCGGTTGTCATCGAAGATGCCGAGGCTACTGACGTGGAGCTTGCCTTCTCTCCTAAGGATCCTAACATGGGTTCACACACTATCAAGTTCACCCCGACGGTCTACATTGACCGCGCCGATTTCAGAGAGGTCGACAGCAAGGACTACTTCCGCCTTGCACCCAACAAGACGGTCGGTCTGCTCAACGCCCCCTTCCCCATCAAAGCTACTTCCTACACCAAAGATGAGGCGACAGGAAAGGTCATCGAGATTCGGGCTGTCTACGATAAGGAGACGAAGAAGCCCAAGGCTTTCATCAACTGGGTCGGAACCGAGGGTTCCAAGAAGGTCGAGGCCCGTATCCACAACTCTTTGTTCAAGAGCGAGAAGCCCGATGACGCCGAGGGCGGCTTCCTCAACGACATCAACCCCGAGAGTGAGGTCATCTACCCCGATGCGCTCATCGAGAGCGGATTCGACGAAGTCAAGAGACGTGCACCCTGGCCTGAGGCTGCGGGTGAGAGCGAGTTGGGTAAAGGTGGACCGGAGAGTGTTCGTTTCCAGGCGACGCGCATTGCCTACTTTGTAAGTTGCCCACAGGTGAAGCATAAAATTCGGATACAAGCTAACGCCCTAGTAGGCCATTGATTCTGACAGTACCGATGAGAAGATTATTCTCAACCGCATTGTGTCGCTGAAGGAGGATGCTGGAAAGGTTTAGGTTACAATTATTTCCGGGTTGGGACGTAAAGGTGGACAGATGGATCTGGGGAGCTTTCGGAGTTGCATAGATGGCGGGCTTGATAATACCAAACAAAATCCCACAACAAGCAGTGTGGTGAATCAGAACCTTTTTTGCAAAGAGTATTGATGGGGGTTTCCTTCAAGTGATTCACTGCAGTTCACGATACGGGCCTTTATATCAACACAACAACTTGGTATGTTGACGCACTCATCGCTCAATACCTACAACTACAACATCATCATACTCCACGTCGACTGAGTTGCGGAGCTACTTTCGATAAAATGAGATCCAGACAGTCTTCCCGGATGCTCGGGGCATTGTTGGCCGCTGGCTCCATATGTTTCGCCATACCGCAGGAGATATCGCAGGGTATCCGGCTGTTAGGGCCTCAAATTGGGGAGGTACCTCAAGAGCAGTCACCTTACGAAGAGATACCCTACAATGACACGCCACACGAAGACTCGCCCGAAGAACTGTCGCCTTATGGGCAGCCTTTATATGAGAAGCCTTCTCTCAACTCGCCAGCATACGAACGAGACCCAGCCATATCCATCATAGAATGGGAAGTCGGCAGCCCTGCGCTCTACACGGCGCGCTCTGTCGACGACCCAGATGCATGTCCCAAAGGAACAGGTAGACATTCCCTCTAGCCCTTCACTCCCTTCCACAACATCCCCCCGCCCCCAACCTTTTCAAACTCATCAAGACTGACGTCCCCTCCTTGAGTATCCTGTAATCTCCCCCGCAACTGGAACTGCTGCAAAAGATCAATGCCCTGCTGCGGGCCCGGCTGCTGCGCCCAGGGCTACGACTGCGTCGACGCCGCCATCGGCGTATGCTGCTCCCGAGGGAAGAAGCTCTGCGGCGGAATGTGTGTTAGTGGGGAGTGTTGTGGTGTCTCGGGCGGGTGTAGTCGGGATGAAAGGTGTTGGATGGGGAAGTGTTATCCGAAGGAGAGGGGGCCGCCGGTTTCTTCGGGGGCGGGCGTTGTGAAGCTAGTGCCGGCTACGGGGGGTGCGGGGCCGGTAGTGGGAATGGGAAAGAGTGTTCGGGATGTACGGGGTGGAGAGCCGGATGGGGGGAGGAGGGATTCAATGTTTGGTTTTGTTGTTCTGGTTGGGGTTTGGGTTGTTGATGAAGTTTGGGGGGGTTCACTTTGGGGGTAGGGGCGGAGGTTGCAAGCTGTCTGGTTAATGGTTCAAGTTGAGAGACAGATAGGAGGTTGTAGGAATGGCGTTCACGGAGTTCTTGGAGTTTTTATGAAGGTCTGTATGGTAACTAGATTTCGTTGCGTGTTGTTTGTTTACTGTCCCTCCAGATGTTTAGATGAATTGGTTTCCCGCCGACAGTACTACAATCTCAGAGGCTTGGGTTTGCTGGTGTTCCGGCTTTTAGAAACAGTTTCTCCCAGTCCATCAGTACTTGATCTTGATGATACAACCGGAAGAGCTTGAATAGGTGAAGACGTGTGAGACAACTATCGACAAAGGCCTGACAACATGGAGGCTAGACGTGTATTGGTAAGAAGAGCTCTTCGTCCTATCTTGATCGTCCTGATACGATGGACGGGCAGGGGGACCAGTGAGTTATGAACATGGGCTTTACTATTTATTGCAACATATGACATCCAGGGTCTCTTCAAAACTATACAGTCAGCCGGAAATACGGATAGTCAGCTATTGTCGGTTCAAGGAGCCCCTGACAAGCAACTGCGTTTCAAGGTTTCCCTTGCCAAGTCCATGTCCAGATTCGGCTGACCGAAACCCGTTCGTTAATAAATCACGGTTTTTGGTAGAAATGGCAAGGCGGATCGGTGCACCGGCTGCATTTCATCCCGAGGTCGAGGGCATAGTCCTCATAATCATGACGGCATTGCTGAGTCTTTGGTTTCCCGAAGCCGTGGTACTGGCTGCATGGGGTTGATGAGGGACAATCAATGTGATGCCTCTATCGTAGACAAATTCGGATCGGCATCGGAGGTCGCGACAAAGTTTTTCTCGAAATATGAAGGAAAGTCTAATGAGCGATATGGCTAATGAGATCCATTCAATTCATCAGAAATTGCGTCTGAGCATACAACAAGCTGCAGGCGGATGAATGAAGAGCGTGTTCGCATCTGAATATGGCAGTGGTTGTAATACTGTCATCTACTGAGTACCTTATTTTGGAGGCGAACGTGGATATGCAGATATTAGTTCATGAGCGATAGACTTTGAAGGTGCTCATCACACCGGTAATCAATTCGGACGACAAGGCTTCGTTCGCTGAGGATAGTCGGGCAAATGTGGAGGATAGGCGTGAAAAGTGTGTCCGTGGAGATTGATGGTGTGGCTGAAGATAGCACGTAATCAGGGTCCCTTCGGACGGAAGTTCCCAATTCTCAGGGCCGATTCGCCCGATGGCCGCTTTGGAAGGCCGGGCCCAAAAGGTTGGGTCTTGGCGTTCTTTCCGGCGTCACCGGTGATTTGTGAGAAGTGGCCGGCCGGATAACCTTAATCGGGGGCCGGGTCTGCAGACGGGTCCGTGCCTAAGGAGATTGGGAGTGAGGCGGGCGCATCTGATTCGTGGCTCGCCTGATAGGGCACAAGGGTGGGTCGCCAGACCTTATCCACACTTCAATATTGACCAATCATAGTGACGAGGTTGAGAGGACGGGTTGGAGGGGTGGATTGGTGGGATTCGGCCTGGCCCTTGCATGGAAGGTCCAGGGTTGAGTGAGTGACGCCAGGGAACCCCCTTGAAGGAAGAGGTAAAGCGTGCAAAAGGAAAATGGGATGTGTGTGGTGTTCTTCTTTTGCTCCCCTCTCAACTTTCGACGAGTTGCTGCGGTCTGTTGCCCTTTGCTCGGAAGATTTGAACTGTCATCTGAGGAGATGCGGCGAACTCGGGGGTTTGGGGCAACTATATTTCAATCAATCCAACGCCCTATATATCTGGTTCGTCAATCGAGTCATGAACTCTTGTCAAGGTATGTACTCCGTATACCGCCTCATTTGGTCTAGATGATCCCTCTCTTTTTGAGTTGAGTGAGATTATCCACCCACCGGCCGAGAAGAACTTTCGTGTAACATGAAAAGAGGAGAGGGGAAAAAGGAACTTTGCTGGACCCTGCTTGCCGTGCCGCAAATCCCAATGTGATTTTTTTTCTTTCCCACGATGCGGTGGTGCACGATGTACACTGGCGGCTCGCGTGCGGCGCAACAGGCGGGGGAAAACGCCCGGCTAAGCGGGCGAAGGAATGCGAGAGCTCCAAATGGGTCCTAGTCCGATATGTACCTGGCAACGACGAGTGGAAGTGCGCGTTCCTTTGGGTCTTTTTTTGCGTTGGATATTCGAAGTAGTAGTCGTACAATAGATTTATGTTGGACGCATCGTGTCTGGATCATCTTTGCATGTGGTTTGTCAATTCGTGTTGGTGCTTACTGGTGCAATTTCAAAGGCGGGACATGGCTGAAGAGACACCACTCAGAAAAGAGACACCAGCAGGCAGCCGTTTGAGACTTTTCTGTTCTTCCCTTTTCGGCTGTTGGTAATACCGCACTTTTTTCCCTGCTCTTTTTTTCTTTCCTTCTCATCTTATGCGCGCCCAGTCTTTGTCGCCCGGTCTCGCCCTGGGAAGGTACGAAGTCGGACGTGCTCCTGAGTCCTGCCTTCCCAACTCTCCACCATACCTGCGCGCCTGCCTCACGACCGCTGCTCTTTCCAATTGCTTGTTCCTCCCTTCCTCGCCTCCTTCCTTCTGTGTAGCCGCCAATCCTTCCCATCGTGACCCCAAATTCCGTGGTTCCTTCCTATTAGCTTAGCTTAGCTCCTTCTCGCTTGCCTTGAATGCTTGGCTGACGGCCACCTTTAGCCGTGGCTTCTTCGTTGGGTTCGCCCAAACAAACGTGACTGTGTTTCTTTCCTCCCCTTCTCCTCTGCTTTCGCAATCTTCGCGACTCTTGCAAACTTGATCCTCATCTCAAACGCGACATCCGTACATTCACACCTGCAAACCTACATACAGTAGCCTCTCGCTGTTTGTCTGTCCCGTTTGTCGCAGAGGGTGGATTGCGCGTTCTTTCATCGCAACTCGGCAACGTCAAGCACCTCATCGACTGCGATCCCCCTTCATCAGATCGTTTCCACTTCGGTCCCATCTCCTTGGATTGTGCCCTTCCCAACGCGAAACTCTCCGGCAATCGACCGCACTTCAGCGATCCTCCCTCCATTGCAACCATCATCCTCTTCCAGACATCCAGTGGTTCCCGTTGTCGCGCTCTACAATTCCCTCGAGAAAGCACCTGTACTCCGCAAACGTCTTATCAAACACCAACCACATCCTGGCCACATTCACCACCCCTCCACGCGTCCACCGTCACTTCGCTGCCCATTTCGCACCCTACTCAACGGCGATATTCCTGGCAGCGCCACACTTTAAGCTCAGAACGCTGCGACGCTCCCCTCCCCTCCCTCCGCAGAGGCCACTTACTAGTCCCGGCGTCATCAAGCAGCACTAGCACGCCCTCCAAGTCTCCAACCCGTGGCCCCTTTGGTTCCTCGAGAAGGGGGAAAAAAGTTCACGTCGTATCGCCCGCCGCGATATACGGTGACCCGGAGATCCCAGTCGAACCTGGAAAGTACGGATAGTCAGCCTGCACACACTTGCTGACGCCTGTGGCCTGCCTGGCTCGTCCTTGCAACCTCGACGTTCCACTCAAACAGGCCTTCTGGCGACCCGCTCCCGCTCCGGCTTGCTGCTGGTTGCGGTCAATCTATCTGGCTACGTGCCTGTCAGCCAGTCTCGTCGAACGAAGAGGGTCCCATGAATAGAAGTCCATTTAGGTAGCTAGAATGCCACCTTCGCCGTCGTCGCCACCCCCAATCCTCGCCATTACGGCCACTTATCTACACCTGCTGGCCCAACATCTTCCCCGGCCCATCTACGAAGTCCTCCAAAAGGTTCACCACCACATTGCGCGCTCCTTCGCCGCCGTCGCCTCTTCTGCCATCGTCGTTCGCATACACTCTTTTATCCCTGCCCAAATGCATCGCCCACTGGGCTTCTCGGCCTTTCTGGTCACGCTATTCCTGATATTCGGGCTACCCGTCATCCTCGCCCAGAGCGAGCCGTTCCACTGTTATCCGTACCCGCCCGCCGATAAGTTAGCGAGTCCCTTCATCACCCTGCAGCCGCATTGTTGTAAGGGCACAATCGACAATAAGTTGAGAGTTGGCAACGACTGCGAATTGGCGAACGGAGGAAAATACAAGACAAAGTTTGGACAGGATCTGGGAACGTGTGCGACGGGCTGGGTGGACGCGTGCTGTATGCGACTGGTATGCTCACATCAGACTGTCCTGTTCGGAGTTATCACTAACGGCTGACCTAGCATTACCCGCCCGAGATTGCACGGCCAGAAATGTCGTATTGCGACGCAGGCTTCCTCGTCAAGGCCGAGGCGAAGAACATTATCGATGCCCGAAGCTGGAACCCGAAGAAGTACGGAATTTGATGACAGGCAGCAAGAACGGGAACATCAATCACACGAACATGGCCACGGGAATTCGAGCTTTATTCGATGACATTCAGCAACGGCAGGGTCAGGCGAAGCTAGCGAAATATGGGCACACCTCCACGGTTCACGATGCCCCAGGATATCCGGCGTGGGGCGAGAGATCGAGCGAGACCCAGCGAAACCCCAGCGGCTTCAGCGAGTCAGGGAATCTCCATCGCCGCAACGATCCGAGGGAAGAGAGCCTCGACCAGCCCAAGAGCACTCAGAAGCCGCCGTGTGCTGTTTGAGAGGGGAAAAACACACCAACACCTAATACGACTGGCGAAACACAGGCATTTAGGCGTTTTGCGGGCGACGACTGCATTATGATGGCACGATTGCGACGGTCGCCCTCGTTCGAAACAACTTAGGGCTTCCGCATTATATACCCAGGGTGACTGATTTTCGTTACCTACCATTTGCATCTTATCTTGTACAACAAAGCAGACAGAATTTTTTTAGACGAGGGGCCGGAAGAGGGGGCCGAGGGGAAACGAAACACAGATGATTGACTGCCGGAGGCCGTGTGTCACCATGGTCTAGTCAAGTTCACCTTACTACGTATACCTAGTGTGTGTATTATTAGGAGTGTCTCATGGTTGTCAGTCAATCCGATCTCCGCATTTCGGAATAGTTTGACCCTCATCGGTTCTCATCGGACATGATCATCGCCCAGTCTGCCCGCTATCTAGGTGTCGTGCTGCCCTGCCTTTCTGATGAAGATGAGGACGACGGCCATGGCGCGAGAAGATGAGTAGAGTTGACTATTTGACGAGGAGTCAGCAATGCGATGCCGTCTTGTTATCGTCCAACTGTTCGGTGTCAAAGCCTCTGGAAAATGGCCTGACTGTCATAGTTGTTCACGCCCGACCGAACTATCGAGTGGCGATGGCGTCGGGTTCGGTATGCACGTGTCACCCCGCGGGGTAGGTACTGGATGGTGGCGAGCGGTTCAATCGGCTGCGACGGTCAGCCCTGTGAGAAGAAAAGGGTTGGACCAGTGCAGCAGACTGGCGAACTCCTGTAGGTTGACCATGTTTTTGGAGGGGGGACCTCAGTCGAATGAAGCGATCCCGTCGGGCAGATTACTCGGGAGTCGGAACCTAGGTGAGGCATAGCAGCGAAGATGGCGAACTCTGCCCGTGAGATACGCGGATCTACGAGGGAGCCGACGAGATTGCTTGATATTCTAGCTGTTAGGTTTGGCTCACCACCAAGTAGGTAGCAACATCCTGCGCGGGCAGTACAACTCTCTTGATTACAATTTCTTTTCTGCCCAGTAGCTGTTTGCAACAATGACAAAACCTGTGGAGAAGTTTAAGGGTAGCATTCTATGCGATTTTGGTGGGAGATACAAAGCGATACCGAAAACTCAGAGCTCAATGAGATAGGTAGGCAGATACTCATCGTAGTTGAAGCACTTTCATCCACATGAATGGTCCAAAGCCCAACGTTGGTTTAATGACGACATGCTTTACTTTATTATTATACTGGACTACTTACCCGTTCATTCTAGTTGTTGAAAGGCGTTCGGACGGTTATAATTGAGTGAGAACGCGAGTACGATAAGAACCATTTCGAGGTGCATCTTTCTGCAGGATGATGTGCAGCTATGGGGCATTCTGAGCAGAGAAGCAATTGAGGTAAGCTTTGCTCACAGCTTTGGTTGCAGCTTGCAGCTTGCACAGACCGTCCCGTTAGCCACAGTACGTATTTCTCCAGTCAACCTTGAGAGGCACGACGAGGGTGGGGCATCGGATTAATCGGTACGTATCGTCCATCCCGATCCGACCTCATGTCCTCCAGTCCTCCGGAAGAGATGTTCCCGTTTCATCTTTTCTTTTCGGGGCACCTCACGACTCTGTCCGTTGAGCGCAGACTACCACCATTCTTTCACCCAATACTCCCGGACGGTATCGAACCTCCTTTCGATGATGAATGTGGTTCCCCTGGCGTTTCCAATTGGACGAGTATCTATCGAAAGGAAACTCTGGACAAACCATCTGCACCCCTGGTGATCATAGTGGTCTCTTTACACTCGTCTGTGTCTCCCTGCTAGCTGCAGATCACTCTCCACGTTCTTCTTCTTTTGGGTGGAGAGAGGAGCAAGACCCAGCTCGCAACATGGTCGGTTCTGTCCGTCACACGCGCAGCTGGGCAGCGGACTTTAATGCAGGTGGGAAGAACTGAAGAAGAAGTCTAAGTGGACTCTTTTCCTAGTCTGGCACTCTGGACACAGTGGACAGGAGTCGAGGGGATAAGACAAGCACACGACGAAACCGGGGTCTGTGACACTCTGTCACACAGCCGCCACACGCGGCAGTTTCACCGTGCCCAGTCGGGACCAATAACATTAACCTCCCGTTAGCCTCCAATGCCTCTCCCGACTGCCTCTCATGCCCTCCACCCAATCGTCTTGAACCTCCTCGACCTCGCCCGTTCAGCCAGCCTCACATCCCCCACGGGCGCCCGACCAACCTGCTTCTGAAACTGGCCCGCTGCCTCTGCACGACTGTCTCCCTAGACCGTGCTTGAAGTTTCCTGTGCCTGTGCCTGTGCCTGGTCCGTCGTCAAGTCGTTGTCTGCCAAGCGGCAGTAACATGTCCTCCTAACCCCGTATTGGGATGAAAGCCACCATCAGAGAACTTGGAACGCCGAGGTGACAGAAGACAGCGACACAAGACAGCTCGGCACGATCTTTGATGGCAGGCTGGCAGGACTGACTGGCATGCCAGCCGAGCGGCGTCTTCCCCGCCCGTCGTCTGCCCCTCCACCCCTCCCTCCCTTCTTACTTCTAAGAAGTGTTCCTGACTACTCCTCTTATATCATGCGACAACCTGTGATCGTCCGCGGGGTTGGAGCAAGGCTGCTCCCTTCCTTTCTCCTTCCGAGCCCTTAGATTGGGTCTCTCCTTTCTCTTCCCCTTGTTCTTAATATTCTTATTCGACTGTTACCGACTTACCTCACCCTGGGCTGGTACCAGTCAATGAGAGGCCTACTGAGAGAAAATCCCATCCGGATTCCCAAACATCATTCATGCAAAATTGCGCGTATAGAGTAATAAGGCGCCGGGCAACTCTTCCCTGCGGCTCATCCAAGGTTCCAGTTCCACTTCATCAGACAAGCTAGGTCGTTGCCACCACACTCGTTCTGTGCTGGTTGGCTTGCTGGTTACCACCATCTTCCTGCCCGCTTCTCCGCTCTTTTGTACCGTTGTTCGCCTCAATCTACTCGCAACAAGCGCGCTCTTAATCCCAATTCTAATCCAGAGGATCGACAAACACCCCGACCATTGATCTTCGTTTCCTCCCGCGAAGGGGGCGAGCCAAAGAGAAACAAAACAAACAGAGACGCTTGGGACGTCAAACACCACAACGACAACTCGAGGGACGATGAACATCAGTTGACGGTAGACCCCGTCACCCTCCCCTCCCTCTTTCGACTGGACTTGTCCGTCGCTCGAGAAGACGATCCCGCCTGCCTCCCTCTCCTCTGATCAATGGCATCCGAGGCGAGGGCCAGGGCAAATGTGCCCCGCAGAGTAGGGAAGCAGACCACGAATGGCATGGACTCCTATCATCGTTACGTAGCAGAATCAAGTACGCCGCCGCCGCCGCTACCACAAGGGGATATCATCGCCCGGCCGTATACCAGTCACTCCCGTTCCTTTAGCACGCCGCGTCCCTCAATATTAGAACCGCCTTCGTCAAGTAGCAGCAGCGACCCAGAGCAATCGAGAGCGCTGCCAGTGCCCGAAATCACCATTAGCAGCCCAGGGAAACCGCCGAGGGCCAACCCACGATACTCATTAACTCCTCGCCAGGCAACATTCCCGCCGATCAACGCTCAAAGACTAGCGGTGCCTGGGGTGAGGCCACCTCCACCCACGCAACAGATACCACCAGCCCCGCGAATACAAAGAGTTCAACCACGACCACTGGTGCCCACACCACCAACTACGGCCGATTCCGATGATGCGAGGAAACGAGATGGGTTAATCGACGTCGTTCTTCCGTATAGACCGTTCTATCTCCAGAGAAGGGTACTAAGCTCTTTTGCGGTCCTCTTCGCCGGACTCATGGTCACCGTAGAAGCTGTGCTGGATCTATCAAATAAAAGAGGAGGACTTGGTTCACCCGACCATGGGTTCAGATATCTGTGGCAGTACGGGTCGGCCTTCATATTCACCTGTATTGCCGCGCTCTGGGCAAGACCGGAACATCAAGCAAAAGCGAGCGCGCCGTGGCTGCGGATGGCAAAAGGACCTGCGAGCGTGGACCGAACCCTGATGCTCGACTATGTCTTCATGTTCGAGCCGTGGACCATAGCGAAAGCGACAAAGAATCGGGACTGGCTCGTTGCGGCTACGGCATCTGTCGGCTTGACGCTCAAACTCATCATCGTCATTGCTGTGGCACTCGTCAGTCCGACGTTCCAGATTGTGACTGCTCGAGGTGCGAGCTTGAACCTACACAACACGTTCGTGAACGATCCTACTGGGTTACGGAATGCTGGTGCCCTGCCTTTCTTTACGATGACCGCCCTCCAGACGAAAGGCCTCAACTTCCCAGACGGTACTTCGAAAGAATTCGCCTTCCAATCATTTTCTGCTGACTTGCCCGCTACTGCTGAGCTGAGGACCAACGTCGATGGCTTCGAATCCGAAATCGAGTGCGAGCCGGCACAGTTCAGCCTAACTGGTGTCCAGTTCATCCAAGCTTCGGATGTTCAGCTCAACGCCACCATATCGACCCCGAATTGCACCCTGACGCAGACCATCCCTAATATGGCGCTGATTGGCTTCACGCTTCCTACCTTCTTCATGGCGTTCCAGGCTGGGATGTGCGGGAATTCGCCATTCCCCGACGATGGAAGGGTCGTCATCATGACGGGAGCAATTCAGATCAACGAATCCAGTGTACCGACGGAGAGCGACGTTTTCAATGTGCCCATTTCGGGTGCTGTCTCAAGGTCCGCGGCACTCATCTGCCGTCCGTCATACTTCCTCACAAGAGTCCATGTCACCAAGAACAACACGCAACTCATCAAAATCGAACGCAACCGCTCGGCAGCCAACAAGACTCTCGATCAGGTCCACCCTTGGGACATCGTCCAAGGGCACTTCAACTCCTATCCCACTGATTCGCAGATTCTCGCAGCGATACCGAACATCAACAGCCGGTACCCCGGCATTGCCATTGTCGCTTCCGATGCCGTCATGAACTCGGCCGTCGCTATGCAGATCAAAGACAATGGGCTTCCTCCGATTGAGACCTTCTTGAAGACAGACAACCTCACGCAGATCTCGACGGCGTACTGGAAGCAGTATACCGCTCTCGTCGCACGCAGCTCGATGATGGGCGAAACGCAAGAGAAATCTACCGGTACGGCCGTCATCATTGGTGAGCGACTTAATGTTCGCCAAATCCCAGCGCACCTCCTGTCTGGACTCCTGGGCTTCGTTCTCATGCTCGTGCTCGCCGCGATTGCACTAGCGCCGGGAAAGGGCTTCTTGCCCCGCGACCCCAATACCATCATCAATATGGCCACCCTTCTCGCTCACAGCCGCCAGCTTCTTCAGTGTCTGCGCGGCACGGGTGCCGCCGACACATCGATCGTGCGGGAGAAGCTTCTCGGCACGAACTACTACACTGGTGTTGAGCCCTACGAAAAGGCAGAAAAGGAAGCAAGGGGATACTTCAAGATCTTTGGCGGTGCTCCGCCCCCTCAGAACCAGCCGCCCGAATTTGTGCGAAACGTGGACTGGAAGCACCCGTTGCCGCTGCGCCCCTGGGCCAGGCTCGCCGCTGTGATGACTATGATTGGCATGATTGTCGCCCTTGAGGTTGTGCTTCGCATATCGAATGCACGTGCGGGCATCGCGACGACCAAGGCTAATACCGATCGTCACTTTCTATGGACGACAGGGACTGGTGTCATTTTCGGTCTTGTGGTGCTGTACCTCGCTGCCGCAGACTGCGCGACACGATGTCTAGCGCCATACGCGAAGCTCAAGGAGGGGGGATCCTTCGAGACGACAGTTCACCTTGACTTCATGGACAAGTCCAAGCATAGAATTCTGTTCGATGCTGTCAAGACACAAAACATCGCCGTCGTTTTCACTACCACCGCTCTAATCGTCGCGTCGCTCCTGGCGACCTTCTCGGGTGCTCTCTATAGTACGACACCGATCCCATCTACGCGGCCAGTAAACCTTCAGACTCTCGACAGCTTCATCAATGCGTCGGCGCCTTGTCCTACCTGCACCACCGATACTCTCCTGGCCTCCTTGATCCTCGATGCGAACCTGACTTTCCCGTCCTTTACCTTTGAGGACCTCAACTTCAACAGCCTGCAACTTTCGGAGCCCCTCGACATGAAAGATGGTGCTGGCACGATCATCGCTACGGTGCCTGCCCTTCGCTCGCGGCTCGACTGCAGACTCTACCCGCAATCGGAGATCAACACAAACTTTATTGTCCCCGACATACCGAATCAGTTCTCGCAGGACATGAAGGTTAACATCGCCGGGGAGCCATGTCTCGACCCGTCGGTCCGATCCAACGCCGTCTTACCACCGGGGGTGTCTCCCTCGTCCGTCTTCGGCGTCGCCACACCACGGTCTGCCGCTTCGTCTCAGTGCTCCGATTTCACCTACGTCTGGGGTCAACTCTCTGATACTACCCCCATGCAAGTGGGCTACATCTCAGCCTTGGGCTGTAACGAGACGCTCGAGACCGTCACAGCCAAGATCCGCCTTACTGGTGCCTCGCTGCACGTGGACACCACCTACCCTCCCGTCGTCCAGGAAAACACCGCCAAGCCAATCAAGCTTAGGTTGCTTCCCCTGCAATACGGACTTCTGGCCAATTTGACCACGGGCAACCAGCTCGACCCCTTCTTCAGCTCCCTCGTCACATCGCGATTCGCGGTACCCGCGGGGAACTTGGGCGATCCGGGCCTGGGCAAGAGCGGTCTCGTGGCGGACGCCATTGTTCGGCAGCACGGCATCCTTCGCGCGCAGAACCTCAATGTTAACTCCCGCCGTCGCCTACCCGATATCACGGCACAGCAAACCATTCCCGCCATGCTGGAGTCGACGTCCGTCACCTCGCTGCGGCGCCTGGTGCAAGATAACGCCTCGACGCGCATCATCCAGTCCGTGCTCGGTCTTCTTATCGCCCTGACGCTCGTGGCGTGGCTCCTCACGCCCGGGACGGATACTATACTCCCGCGGAACCCGTGCAGTATCGCCTCCGTGGCGGCACTACTGGCCGACGGCAATGTCTTTGGCTTCTTGGGCCGTGGGGCGGAGTGGCAGGCGACGGAGGAGATGAAGCGTAGTTTCTTGGACGGGAGCCATTCGATGGGGTTCAAGATCGGCTATGAGCGGGTGAGGAAGCGGAGAGGCGCGGAGGATGTAAACGGGGTTAGAGGAGACGGGGATATGGCGTACGGCATCAACGTCAAGCGCGGGGGCGGGTGGGGTGGAGGTGAGGATGTTGGGCTTGGGATCTTGGCGAGGGTGAATGGGGCGCAGAGGGGGTTTGTTAGGGGATGGGGGAAGATGTGAGCTTTCTTCTCGGTCCCCGATTTTCTTTTTGTTTATTTCTTGTATTACACATGTTTGGTCTGTATAGTAGCCGGTGAGTCTTTTTTCTTTTTCTCTTTTTCTCTGGAGTTTTTCGTTTGTCTAGGGACGAACTTTGGGAGCGGGATGATACCATATGCGAGAACTCTTTTTCAGAAAAGAAAATGGGAAGAAACGGGAACCATGGGGAGTCTCGGGTTTGAGATCATGGTTATTATTCCTTTTGAATGTACTTTTATCTAGTCGTACTTTAGTCTGACCAATGTTGAAACATTTGGATGGGATTTATTAATTCTCTGAGATGTTCAAGCGCGAAGGGTTGCGACGTTGTTGATCTAGCGGCTGGATGGGAGCGCGAGTTATGACGAGGATGCGGCTCTCTCAGCCCATGGGGAATGTTGCCGTCGTCGCAGGAAGCCTGTTGCCAAGTCTGCAATTCCAACGTGGAAGAACGGTTGGTCAAGTGTAAATGACTTCAATCTAGCGACACAAATCCCGATTGCGATATCCTTCTCACTTCACCCGCAACCAGGTACGTGAAGATGCGATGGAGATACCGATACAGAGAGCGGTCCCGAATGTAACCTCTCCTCATGAGGCTCTCAACGTAGTCAAGATGAGGGGGGGCTCAGCACTAACTCTTACTTTCTTAGCAGTGGCGGTGTCAGCGGCGATAAGTGCTCTGCAGTAAGACGTTTGAGTGCTGTGTGCCTAGCTGTAAAGTGCCCAGCGTTCCTCATCCCGGCGACGATCGACTCGGCAAAGTGGGTTTCGTGCATTCGGGTCCCTCGGGTCTCGGGGATAGCGGGGACGGGGGGAGGGGATATGCCGCTCGGTGGGCCCGAAGTGCCGTCGGAAGATTTTTGAGGGACATCGTGAACGGTAAGAGTGTTTTGCTTGGGAGGTATATGTTGTGAGGTAAGGTATAGGAGTGGATGGAAAGGGGGCTTGAGGGAAGGGTGGTAGGTGTGGTTAGGTGGTGAGTCTTGGCTGCGGGAGACGAGCGCCTTGAATCGTGTCTGGGGTCTTGGCGGGTTATGCGATCTAGAAGCGGCGTGGCGCCGGGAAGAACGGACGTCACGGCAGATGCTATTGATAATGGTGACGAGCAGCAGAGTAGAGACTGTGGGAGGAAAGAGAACATTGCAGACAGGAAAGGTGGTACGTGAGATTTTCTTTATGCTGGTTTTGATCAGGTTTGGATATCATGTCCCCCCAATGTAAGCGCCTATTCGCTTTCCTCATATTTTTTGTCCCTGTTTCCCGTCTATTGTCAAGCGGACTGTAAAGTCCACTGCGGACATGCAGGAAAGTTCAACTCCATGTTTTCGAAAAGATGAGAACCATAAAAGAAATGCTGGTCTAATTGGGTCCCGAGTCAGCCATGTCCACATCTATTGCAAGTCTGGCCCCTCCAGGGTGAGAGATTCTGCCCTAGGAGAGGGGGAGGAGAGCAAACACACACCATGCGAAGCAATTGAAAGTCGTGTCTCTTGAGAGAGAGAGTGTGTGTGGTGCATCTAGACAATGCTGCAAGTGCATCCGATGCGCTTCTCGGGGTCGACGCTTGGGAAGCCGACGCAGATGCGGCCCTCGGCCTCGCAGTTGACGTTGCTCTCGCCACAGACGGTGTCGGTGCAGGGGCCGTCGAAGCGGGCGGCGACGGTGGCGGCGAGGAGGGAGACGATGGCGAAGACGGCGCGCATTTTGGCGGTTGGTTGTGGTTTTGAGTTGAGGTTTGGGGTTTGAGGTGGAGGAGTTTGGATGGTTGTGAGAGAGGGTTTGAATTGGAGTTGTGTGGGTGAAGTGGGATGTTGATGGTGATGGGATGACAGCAGGAGAGAAAAGGCGGGATGATCACTTTCTTCTTATACACTGATCCTTCACGTTGAATACTCGAGTCAAATTCTACGGGATGGACACGATAAACTTTGGAAACATTATGCCAAGGCCTTTGGGGCATGGATGAAGGGTGGTGAGGTTAGTCTGTTGAGGTTGACACCGCCCTCTTTCCGCGAACTTGCGAGGCTAACTTGGCTTGGATGCCTTTGCAAGAAGAATACCAAGGCTCTCGCAACTTCTTGGAAAGTGCTCGAGATCTGCTCGATGTGGTTACAAGGAGGATGCTATTTTCGAGGTTGCTGGTATCCGTAGCGGAGCTGTCCTGAACCACTTGGTCAGTGAGTAGTGGTCAGTCAAGCACATGATTATGCCTCAGAGGCCGGCAAATTTACAAGCCTACGGAGTACTGTGGTATTGTGGATTAGCTGATGGCCTAGGTTGTTCACCTTGAGGTCCGTTCTGCGTACTTGGCGAACGGCAAAATCCGATACGGAGAGGTCGACGACCAGTAGGTAAGGTAGTGGGTGAGTACGGAGTAGAGAGGACGGTGTGAGGACGGGGATCGGCCTGCTGTCCGCAGTTCGCTGCTGCTGCTGGGCTGCTGCACCGGCTCTGCTTGGATGGTCTTGGCGGCCTGCGTGGGCAGTGTTTGGGGCTATTAAAAGCCCATCGAGTATATGAGCTTGATCAGTGCTCTTGGCGATGAGGTGTTTCCAATCCACCTCTTGGCGGCCCTTCCGTTGGCTAGGTATCCGTAGTAGGCGGTAGGCGAAGTTTATCCATTGAATCGCAAGACAAGACTTTCAAGGTTTTGACATGGATTGGCTGGATTAGGCTGGGCTGCTGAGCTGCTCAGTCATGATGTTCTCCATACGGGGCAGTATTCATACGGATACATCTCTACAGGCGCATTGGCTATCCTGCCCTGCTCCCTCATGGCAAAGGTGACGGGTAATTTGACGGACAATTAACCGGGGAATTTCCTCTTGGGAAATTTGATGGGTAAGGAAATATGTCGCGTGAGTCTTTTTCTCTTCTAGAGTCTCATGTCTTGGCATTCTGTCTGCGAGATGGCAACTAGAGAATTCGCGCCCGTTGAAATCTAAACTTTCGCACAGAGGGACATTCAATAGGCTAGAGAGGCAAAGAGAATGGGGAATTAGGGGGGCAAAGACGTACTTCCCCAGTGGCTTAGCGTTGTTCTCCCGTCGGAGGGCCTTGGCTACGGCACTGTTACACGATTCATGCGCACTCGTCCCCAGGGTAAGTGATCGCGAGTAAGTATGCGTAGTGGGCGGCCGTGCCCGACGAGACCAAGACTTGATAAGATCATCTAGCCTCCATATTGCAGCTGGGAAGTCGCATGTTATTTATGGTTGTTATGTGGAGTCAACCGGCGTACAGGCCCTGCTGATGGAGTTTTGGGTTCTAGAATGTGTTGGAGCTAGGCGTGGCTTTGACATTTGCATCCCGTACTACGGAGTCTGTGTCTGTACTGTGTAGTGTGACGGCCGGTGGATTACTCCGTATGCTTGGATTTGACAGATTGACGTGCGCAAGTGAGAGCGAGGCACGGCAGTCTGGATGGGAGCAGGCGGGTAGTCGTACGGCATGGCAGGATGAACGGCGAAATACAAGGATTTAGGTTTTGTTCTTAGCTTTTTCCTTCTGCTCTCTTTAGTAGAAAGGAGGTGTTCGTTTGATGATTAGTCTTCAGCAACCTTTGGACAGATGGTGAAACCGGGCTTCTGGGCTCTACTCAATCTCGGAGACAAACCTCTAATCTACAGAATCTTGCGAGAAGGCAGGGCAGGGCTGTAGAGAGTGGTATACGATATACAACGCCCAGAGATCTCCTTTGGACAGCCGCTTAGAACTCGATTACAAAACAAGCTTCTCGAGATCACCCGGAGGCCGAATTTCCAAGACCTTAGAGATTAATAACGGTCTGTACCATTAAGACAGACAGCGCGCGCTCCCCACCCGCTCGGCCCAAGCCCACATACTACCGGCCTGTCTCACCCAGAGTGCTCATCTTTCCTGCGATCTCCTAGCACCTATTCGCCAAGACAAGTTTTCGACTCATGGTCATCCTTGCCATCTTTTCTCCTCGACTGATGTCTAGATCTGGGTAAACAGGCCCGATGATCGCGGCATGGTTGCCAAGAGTGGCAAAATTCACCCGTATTCCAAGTGAGCTGGTTCGTCAGTTGTCTGCTGCGGCTCCTTAGAGGTGACGTACGGCAGGAAGTCCAAGAAGGCCGCTGCTTCATAGTACCTTCTATGACAGTAGCCAAGGGCGATGAGCCTTTCGGAGAACGAAGTTTGTTAACAGTTGGCGGATTAGTGCGAGTTATGGGTGATCAGTCCTCACCACAGACCGGCTATGACGCTTCACCACGGACCAGTAGCAGTCGACTCGTGACATCGTAGAGAGATCAGACTGATGGATTGGTAATCTGCCCACGATCATCTCCCAAGATTAAGCTAGGCATTAAAGCTCAATATCTCATTACTCGGCGAATCTACTCGTTCATACTCTGTACAGATACACCAGCCCGGCAACATGTAAACCCATCTCTCGTCTAGTGCCGTTTTTAGAATGTCACGTATCAGACTTTCCCGGTGGGGTGGATAGTGCACAGATCAGCGGAGCTGTCCGGTGCCTCCTTTTCCATCCAAACCCAGGCGTTCGGGCAACGAAATCCGGGGCGAAGGGAAAGATACCCCCCCCCCCCCCCCCTTTCTAGATTTCAACCATGTCCCTTTCCCCGGACCTCAAAGGTGTCTCCGGAAAGGATGCGCTTCAGTATTCAGCACGTAGTCATCGAGGCTGATGAGATCGGGCGGTGAAAAGACGAGGTAGAAATATTTCAGTGTCTCCGCCAGCCAGAAACTCTAAAATGGGTGGTTATGTAGTGTTAGTTAAGCGAATCTTGTTCCTTTTTCTTTCTCCCCTTCGTAATCTCCCGATTTAGAATAGAAAAGTTATCCCTACCCTAAGACATGCTGACATGGCAGGATAACACAACAGGAGAAGCAGCGGAAAGGAAAGCAAAAACTCGAAGGGAAAGGAAAGAAGCTCACCTCCATGTAATCCTCTTTGGGAAGCTCATCCTGTTTCTGCGTGACATCCAGTACCGCAGCATTACCGTGCTCGACGAGCGTGCCGTTACTCACAGCTTTCCACATCTCCCACGCGGCCTCCTGGAACCCCTGGTCGCCCGTGATGCGGTACAGCACAAATACGCTCTCAATCGCCTCGGGTCGGAGGATATACCGCGGGTCCTTGGCCGTCGTGAAGCCTTTGGGCAAGTGCTCCTTATACTCCGTCTTCAACTTCTTCGCTGCATCCCACTTCTCCTCATCCCACGCACAGGCGTCTCGCCGGTCGCACTTGACCATGTTGTACCGCTCCGGCATCATGCCCGTCGGCATGGCCTGGTAGGCATAGTAACATCCCAGCGTCAGCCGCGCACCGACGGTAACCCACTCCTCTCTGCCCAGCACGCGGCCCGCGAGAGCGTAAATGCCGCCGATGAAGCAGGATAAGTGCTCGCTCTCCGGGTCGAGGGAGCGGTTCCCGCCCGCGTCGACGTCGACGTTACCCGAGATGAGGACGTTTTCGCCGCCGGGGAGCATAGGCCGGAAAAAGAGGGACTCATTGGCCGCTTTGAGAAAGTTCTCCGTCATGGTGCGATATTTTGGCTCCGCGCCGTTGAGGAGGGCAATCATCTTGGGCAGGTACTCGTAGAGCGAGTCGGCGCAGCCGCCGATGGTGAAGGTCGAGCCCGTGACGACGTCGCGGTCAGCCATGTGGACGAACATGGGCCACATGCCTGGGAGCTTAGTCTTTTGCTGGCCGTCGTGGAAGAGGTCTGTTACTTTTGCGGCGGCGTCATAGTACTTGGGGTTGCCGGTGAGCTGGGAGAGGCGTGTCATCTCGAGGGAGAGCGTGCCTGGGGACGCGGAGACGACGGAGCCCTCAACGATGAGGCCCTTGCCCGACTTTGCGTCGTTGAAGTTGATGAAGTCTACCGGCATGCGGTGCTCCGTGTTGAAGGCGCCATACAGCAAATCGCCAAGCTCGATGGCCTTGTCGAGGAGGACACGGCGACCGCTGAGGTCGTAGGCGGCCATGAGACCTCCGAGGTAGCGGATGTTGGTCTCAAAGGTGTTGACGCGATCCGAGGTGGAGACACTAAAGTCAATCTTGGCGACGGCGGCGACGGCCTCCTCGAACTCGGGCTTGAGACCCATGATCCAGAGGACGTCGAGGGAGTCGACAAGGGTAGCAGCCCATCCGGAGAACTGGTCCTTCGCAGTCGCGGATATTGGGTTAAGGGCGTCCTTCATCCAGGCGTACTTTTTGTAGTTTGCCCAGTTCATTTGGAAGAGGCGCCGAACTTCTTGCCGGCGAGCTTCCCGGCGCCGGGAGGCGGAGAGGGACTCGGAGGGGAAGCGGTGTTGCACGCGGGGGAGGGAGCCGCGGCCGCCGTTCCCGGGCTCCGGGACGCGGGTGGGCGGGTCTTGGGGCGGGTACTTCAGGTCGACGGCGGACCAGTCGAAGCTGGATTTCGGTGTCGGCGGTTGCTGGGCGAAGCTTTCTGTGTTCATGAAGCGTTCTAGCATGGCTGTTTCTGTGCGCGGGTGTAGCCATGTTGTGTCAAGGATGTAGATGACGCATGTTATTGTGACGAGGGTGAGGACGAGGGAACGCACCCGCGTCCAGCGGTATGACGCCCTTCCCATGATGGGTTTGTGTGTTTCTATGTGTCTGTACGAGTACGGAGATGCGTGAATGAGAGGCGATGTGATGGTCCCGAGTGATGAAGCCTTCTCGATGGGTGAGGCTAGGCAAGGG